CCCCCCCCAGAAGAAATTAACAGCTAATTCCATGTTACAGAAGTTCAAGGTGCGCATCGAGGACCCCCCGCGACGAAGACACATGGTCTTCCTGGGAGGTGCCGTCCTCGCCAACCTGGTAAGCTTCTTCACTTCTTCCCTCCTTCCCCTGTACACCCGTTTTCCTGTTCGCAAGTCACACCATAGCTAACATAATTACCTAGATTGCCGACAAGGAGGACATGTGGGTTACCAAGCAAGAGTGGCAGGAACAGGGTGCACGTGCCCTGGCCAAACTCGGCCCTAGATAGTTTTTCTCTTTCATTCAGTACATACGTTGTATATTTCATTTCAACCTGACCTACCACCTATTACTACCTACCATCTATCGGGAGTTCTTCGCCCTCCTTGCGAGTTGAACCAAAACGCCTCCATCTTACGCATTCCCCGAGCAGCCTCTGTCCCCACCCCCTCCTTCCTTACCCAGATGCTCTATTCTCATAGCTCCCGTCTTTTGTTCAAATACTACGTACATACTATTACAGGTTTTTCTGGTGTGTCGGGGAGATCAAGTGAAGTAAGGTCCGGCTTGAAGTCATGTCATCTAGTATGTAAACAAAGAAGGGATCGAACTTCAGCTGTCTTGTATGTTTACTTCTTGTCATATCTAACTGCTCATTACGCCACTCCTTACAACCAGTTGGTGTCCTTTAGTAAATAATCTCAGACAAAAGTAACCGGAGATCATTACGACGAAGAGAATCAGCACGGCGTGGGGACTTTTTATAATTCAGTAGTACAACTAACCCGAAACCGTTTCCTCCCAAGTCTATATCTTTCTATATACTGTAGTAACAAAAGTGTGAAAGTACTCCTAATAAATGCATATACACAGATGAAGGCAACCGATATCAGAAAGCTATCAATCGATCCGCGCGACCAATAGAAACAACACAAAACTCCACCAGTGGGTAGGAAGGGGTTATATATATATCCCGTCTAACAAGTGATGTCTATTCATCGATGTCGGACTCGGATTGGTCATTTGCCATGCTCTTCTTGCGCTCTTCGTTCATTTCTCGGTATGTGCTCCAGCTTAGCAGGAAGAAGGCCCCAATGATAAGAATACCGCCAATAATGGCCGCAGCGGAAGGGGGCTGACCGGTCCGGAGCCAGTCGGCGATGGCGACGAGGAAGATGGTAAGCAGTGCTGCCACAGATGAGAGGACGGGGGAGGTGAGCGAGATGAGAACTAGGAATGAGCCGGAGAATGCTAATTCGAGGAAGGGTCGATTAGCATAATTACTTGACGTTATACGTTAGTGGAGATCAGGGCTGCAAGACTTACTAGCATTAGCAAGGACGGAGATCATAAGCATCCATGCGGCTTCACCAGTGGGCCAGCGGAACGTTTCCAGGCCTAGGATATGGAGAATGGGCAGCGGAATCCAGAGAACAAGAAGGGTGAAGCACCCAATGAGACTGCCAAAAGTGTTGGCAAAGATCATGCTACGGCCGGGACTCGTGCCCTCCGGAGGGCAAGCATATCTCTTATAGAGCACCTCGTACAATCCATAGAGCACACTGCCAACTCCGATAATGATGTTTCCGAACAGTCTATTTTCTGCCTCATCATGCGCTTTGCCGACCGTGCCATCTGCAGTCTTCTTGCTTTCGTCCCTATCTCCATACGCGACGACAAGAACCCCAACAATCGCTACCACGACGGCAAACACTTTGTCAAAGCGAAGCTTGTCGTTGAGGAGGGGTATGGAGAACGCATAGGCAAAGAAGGCGGAGCAGTTGTAGATCGCGGTCAAGTCACTGGCCGTTGTCATGTTGACCGCGACATACCAAGAGCCACCGGCTATGGTGAGGGCGGTGGTGACGAACGCGGTCGTTTTGAGCATGTATCGAACCGGTGATCGCTGGGAGTCACGAGAAGTGAGGTGTAGATCTTGAGCTTCCACCATCTTAGCTGTCGTTCGAAGGAGATAGACATGGCGTCGCCAGAATGCCGTCCATGAGAGTTTCCGTTGTTGCAAGCGGAGAATGAGGAGCTGTGCCGGCCAGAGCAGGGACCAGGAACCATGTGTAAGATAGCTATATATTAAGATCAGGTCAAGAGTTAGCGTCGCCCGGCAGTCAACGGGTCCATGCGACTGGTGCACCACTTACAGCATGCAGTACGGTTTATCCCAGTGCAACTCATGCTGAATATATACCGCGGTCTCCGTCTGCACAACGAAACTAGCCAGACTCAACAACAGGAATCCGGACGCGATCATGTACTTGCGCCGAGTCTCCTGCTCCGCATTGCGCTCCGGGCTCACGCCCCTGATTGTGGGCCGCCGTGAATGGTGTAGCATGGGCCTGCCCTCTGCCTCCCCATGGCCCAGGCTGGCGTTTGACAGTCGCCCTCTGTGCTCATCCTTGAGCAAGGGTTGATTTGCTCGGGTGTCGGCTGGGCGATGCATAGATGGGCGATTCAAGGGCATTTCATCATCCGAATCGTGAGTGTCGAGAACCAGCTCGGGGTCCCTAACCTCCCTCGAACCCGAAAGTTGCGCACTGTCTGAAGCCACCTTGTCTTAATCTTCCGTTTAAACCCTTCAAGCGGGAAACAATAAAGAAGGAATGCAGAAAGCAAAGAAAGAAAATAAGTATAAACCTTTTCTTAGGGTTGACACCCTGCAGTTAATAAAGAATGGACTTTGCGCGTTGACAGAACGACGATGCACGAGACCGCTGGTTTACCGCGGGTCGCAACTGAATAAGATAGACGGAAAGGACAGTAGGAATATGCAAGTATAAGAAAGACTGTTCATGTGGAAATTGCGCATGGAAATCAGAAAGAATCCAGGTCAGTTGCCCCCGGGGAAAAGACCGGCTGACGAGGGCATGCAACACGGTATATAATGGGCGGCTCCGGGGCGAAGCACCGCCGCTGCGGCCACGTTTGCCAAGTACGTCAGGGTTAGGGGGGTGTCAAGGAAACTGTAGCCAAGACTTGGCCGCAGTGAGGAGTAACAGAGAAGGATGATGATAGGGAAAAAGGGAAGAGCAAGAGTGAGATGAGATTGAAGCACAGCAGTGCAAGTGTCAGCGGAGAGGGAGAGGGAGAGGGAGGAGGAATGAGATCTGGCTGATGCGGTTACATTGCAATTGCAAGCAGTTCGGAAGGGAATCGCAGACGATCCATTGATACGGGGTTGGTTACTTTACTTACTCCGTATTAGATGCGACTCTCGCATTGGACTGGCCCACCGGGACCCCCGTTTCATCCCACATCGGGAAAGCCGCGTCTCATCTCACGTGATTCCACGGGGACGCATGGGTGCCTTCCGCTTTGGGACATGCCGTGGGTTTTCTCCAGGTTCAACCTTTCAAATAAGTTATCAACGTCTTCTCATTTATAGTAACATTGTTTCATCCATGCATAAATCACTAGCTATCACCAATATGAGTCGTATTGCATCTACGCCCTCAGACTTTAAACGAAACGCCAGAATTCAGAAGGATTCTCTAATACTCCCCGCTCAGTGTGCAAACCGGAAATCTAGCCGCTGATTTCCTTCATCTCTTGTGGTTGCGACATAGTCGACCCGTTGATCCTCAGTCATGGCGTTCCATTTTCGGTCCCGTTGGCGGTTCCGTAGCATATAGTACGCTTTGATCGCCATGTAGATAGCCATGTTCACACCCACAATAGATAAGAGCACTCGATTGCCAATCACGTAACGTGGTGCATCCCCTACAGATCAAAGTGCGCAAAATATTCATGATCAGCCTATGAATACAGCATTGCAGGCTGATGGGTGAGAAAGATACTTACAATCCTGGTAGATGTTCGAAGCTATGATGGCAGATAGTTGTGTAGACATGTTGTATATCGCAGCTGCAATAGCCCGAGTTCGCACACTGTTGGAATTGCGGGACACCCATCCAGCTTGGAGTGCATGAGCTATTGAAACTTCACGTCAGTATTCTTCTACCAAATGAGCTTGGCCTCAGCATCAATCTGCCTACCATTAGGAAATCCGAGGAATAGTGTTAGGATACTCCATACGATCCACTTGTTGGTTTGGCTGAGATCTACCACATTCATGTAGATAAGGAATGGCAAGCACCAAAGCTGTGCCAAAACTCCCATCCAGGCAAGTGAGCCGAATATTTCCCCTGCATATGTGAGGAGAATCCTTGTTATGATTCCAATGGCCTGCCTGGCAGTCAGAACTGTCATAGCACGAGCGATTCGGTTTCCCTCGTTCTACTTACACTGTAGGGGAGAGATAGTAGAATGGTATTAAAGGTGCTGAACCCATAGTCCTTCAATTGTAATGTAAAGTACTGCGAGACAGTAGCTGTTCATAGGCTTAGTCGACGACGTCCCTAAATTCGTGCGCATGGGATATACAATGCGGTATACTTACTATAGGGTGCCGAGAACAGAATTCCGACAATGTATAGCGGCCACAAATCAAAGTCTTTGATACTCATCCATACAAGCTTGGCCGTTAGTGGCTGGCGGTTATGCATCGAGCCCTTACTCGGGTCTTCTCGTAACAGGCGATTGACCATGATGGTCTCCTCCCTGTTCATGTTTACATCTCAGTATCCAAGTACTTCCTCGTTTCATCTATATTATGGCTCACCTTGCTGTAAACCAGCCCTTCTTCCCACGAGCCCAGTGAGCTGTTTGTGTCGCTGAAGGTGGCAGGAGAATGATAGCAAGAAGGCCTAATGCGAGGGTGAGGAGTCCCTGTTCCGCTTGAATCAGACGCAGTGGCAAAGACAAACATTGCTTACATACCTCAATCAAAAAAAGCCATCGCCAACCAGCTTGCCCACCATGACCGCCCAGATGAAGGATCCCATACGCCAGTAACCCCGCCAGCATGTCAGCCAGAGAAGATGCTGCATACCAGTATCCAAGACGTATCGATAGCTCATGGTGCTTATAGAAATACGAGAGATAGAGGATGACCTGCTCGGAATTAGAGTGGTACACCGAGGACGAGAAACAGTAAAGCCACTTACAGTGGGCGTGAAGCCCCCTGAAACCAACCCTATCAAAGCTCGACAAATTAAAAAGGAGACTCTGTTGGAAAGCCAGAACTGGCAGCTAGCAACAATCGACCACGAAATCATCTGTATAGGAATCCACCTGTCGCAGCCAATTCTCTTGCTGATGATCTGGGTGGGTATTTCACTGAACATGAAACACAGTCTGTACAATGTATTCCCTAAATTGTAATCTGTAAATTGTATAAGGCATGATTCATCACATAGGAAACCCAACTCAAGGGATGTAGTATACTGACCATCACGACTTAGCCGAATATCGGCCAGGAAATTGTCGGCATTGGCTTGCTCTGATTTCGTCAGTGGATCAGGTGGGATCAGTGTGTAGATTTACCCACGAATATTGGACTTATCGAGCTCCAGGGCAGTTATCATTATGCAAGCCCATATAATGATACGTAGGTCCAGCTTCCTGACGATTTTCTAGATACACATAAGATTAGCACTCGTCGGCTCGCATTGAGCCTCGCATACATACATCTTCTTCAGCCCAAGTCCATCTTGCTGCCGGGTCGAAGCGATGAATGCCTTCCCAATCGGGGCGTGGTTTGTATTCCTCAACAAGATCAGGGTCATCGTACACCGAGGGTTGCGTTGCAATGGCATCGGGATCACGGGGCTGAGATCGCTGAAACCAAGATTGTTTCTTCTTGTGGAGGTCACTGAGTACTTCATCGGCGGAGATGGCAGTAGACTGCTGCGTCACACTTATCACCGTCTTCTTCTCGATGTCTGGCGTTGCGTAACCACTTGCCTCCTCGTCTGGATGCTTCTTGACCGTAAACGAGCGGGCAATGACAAGAGACATATTGTAGCTGTAGAGCAAACTACTTGCCCAAGTGACTCCTTCTGCGCCATTACGATCAATGAAGCCCGCAAGTCCATTTTATATCTTCTCGTAGTTTGCTATATATTTGGACCACCCTTGACTTGCGCGACACGCAAGGAGATAGGTTAGAGCAACTACCGCAGCTCTAAGCTCACATGGCCCTTACAATTGTTGCATCGTCAATGTTGGGATCTAGATCACAGCATGGACGCAACCTGCCAAGTTACCAGGGTCTAGATGAACAAGCCTCGAGGTCCAAGGACAACCGGGTCTGCGAACTCCTTGGAACAGCTCCTGGTATCTAGTCTATACCACTGGTACATGCCCGTTATTGATGTCAGGCGGCTAACTGTCGGCACAGATGCATGACAGTAAGGTGTCATTGCAGCGTCCACTTGGTTCTGCACGATTTCATCGGATGAAGTGAGGACTGCATAGTCGCGCAATTTACCTTGTCTTCAAATACCTCAAGGTCAGTTAAGACTGAACTTCAACCTCCTATGCCCTTAACGCTCCGATGTGTCACCACTGGAGATAAGCCCCCAATTCTCTTAGAACTATACTTTCCGCGGTAGCACAATGAAGGGATATGTGCACTTGTAAGGAGTTGGAGATAAGGCTTTGGGTGAGATTCTAGGCGCAATGGTAATAGAATGTGGCACAGTAGCTGTCAGGCGCCTACCCCAGATTAGCTTAGGCAATGGTCTAGGTTAAGTGCCATGCAAGGGTACAGCATAAATCCTATAGAGTCCATTCTTGACAGTGTATTATGCGAGGATCATCCCTGGGCAGCTGATAATTAGCGCCATCCAGGCTTCGCAACATGAACCCGACAGACTGCAGACATCGGGCAATACCTGGATGCGTGCAGGCGAAAGGATCTGGTTCCAAGAGTAAGCAGGAGGAGGCGGGGAAAGAAGGGGAATGTGGGTTCTCACATGTGCGGCACAGTCACCTGCCTGGAGATATGCAGAACATGCAGGAGGATCTCGATCTAGACCCACCGATCTTCGAGTCGGTTCAACCACTGCATAGCTACATGGCCTGGACCGGTGAGTTTCTGCGTTTCCCATTCTACTTCTATCTTACAGGAAATAGTTGCTAGAACACGTGCTAAGAGCTTTCGTAGCGAAGCGAGTTGGATTTGCTCTCATGAACATTGATTCCTATTGTTGCAATCTCACAATTTCAGACATGCCAGATACCTTGGTATGCATTCAAGCCTTAGCATTGGGCTTGAATAATGCCTCTTTGGTGTCGTATGTATATTTTAGCTGAAGGTGCCAATAGTCGGGAGCCGAAGCCTTTGCAACCAACCAGGCCTTGTCCAGAGCCTCAACCACTTCATCGGGTAGCGGGCCTTTCTGGATATCCTTGAGGTTGCTTTCCAGTTGAGAAAGGCTACTCACTCCTACAATAATTCCATCACGGCCATTTTCTTTGATATTCAATGCAGAGTGATGGCGGATCCACCGAAACGCAGTCTCGGGCAATGTCAATCCATGCTTTTCCACAACAGGCTCGATAATTCGTAGAGCGTCAAATGTCGCATCCTTGAAATACCGACTGCGGTACAATGATCCACTGTTGGCCTTATCACTGTACCTACCTTCTTCTGGCACATCTTGGGTCTTATACTTGCCCGAGAGAAGTCCACCAGCAAGGGGGTTGTAAATTACAATGTCAATGCCGTAGCGCTTGCAAGCGTGGATTAGCTCGGTCTCTATGCTGCGTGCTATGGCGAAAATAGTCAGAAACAATTTTCCGGGCCATACGAGAATTCAGCGTGTATGCAGGGGGGTGACTCACTGATGGCATTGTACATGGCCTGGTAGATTGTCGGCCGGACCCAGCCTCGTTCGTTGCAAATGGTCACAATCTCCGCAACCTCGAAGGCAGTGTAGTTACTCAGACCGAGTTCTATGAATTTGCCTTCCTTGTGCAGTTCATTCACAGCCTCCAAGGTTTCCGCAAAGGGAACCGACCTGTCAGGTGCATGAAGGTAGAAGATATCAACACTATCTGTTCCCAGTTGCTTCAAAGACGTTTCGAAGGTCTCTCGCAAGACACTAGGCTTGTGCATGCCCGGAGCCTTCGGATACACCTTTGTTGCAAGGGTCAGACCACGCTCCTTCCACTTGGCTTGGGCAGTGAACGCTTCTTGTTCTCCTCCAACATAGATTCTTGCCGTGTCGACCTCATTGAAACCTTGCTGTTGAAAATAGTCCAGGCATTTGTTGAAATCCTCAAGGGAGGTGATACGAGCACCCTCAGCTTCATTAGGCCCAAAGGTCATCAAGCCGAGGATAACCCGAGGTGCGGGGTTCTGTGCGAGGAGCGGCATATTGAAGTCGAAGAAGACGCTGCTTGGAACAATTCAGCTGAGAATGACCAAGTGAGGATAGGAAGCATCAGATGTATGCGTACCTCGGTTAGAGGAATTCGGGAAATCTTAGGTAGTCTGTTCCAAGGGACAGCGGAGTTTGGATGGTGCCAGGAAGGTTTAGGCCTGAGGAAGAAGGGGATAAAGACCCAGCCGGTGGGAGGGGTTCAAATAGATAAGAACTTCCGGCTCCCCCACACTTCTTGTCGCACGCAACTCCGGCCGTCCCATGGCACAAGAACCAATATCTATCATCTGAGGCGTCGATGACGAGCTTGGATTAATATTACCCGGTTACACATGAGGTGATTTCCCACTGCAAACCGAGTAAGCTGAGAGATATATATCCCGGCCGTCAGCGTGGTGGCCATGCTGAATGGTGGATGAGATGCCCAGACTACGTACTTAGTAGCTCCCCCGCAGGCCGGTGGTAGTAGCCCAACCAACAAGCCCGTCATCGGCAGCTTCCTTGTCTGGTCAACTCAACATTTTCTCTACATGTCCAGCACTCCATAACACACTCTCTTGCATTCATTCATACATACAAACATTCATATCAATCAAGATGACTGTGCCAACAAAGACTCAATATTCTATTCTTGTCATCAACCCCAACACTTCAACGCACATGACTAATGCTTTGATACCCATACTGGATAATCTCGGGCATGGTGGCATACAATTCGACTACTTCACAGCTCCAGCATCCGAATCAGTCACGCTTCCCGATGGAAGAGTGGTAGAAGGAGTGCCCAGTATCGACTCTGGTGAAGACTCTGTCAAGTCGGCTTTTTATTGCATGCCCTTCATAGAGCAACTGGTGTCCGAGTACGATGGCTTCATTGTGGCCTGCTTCTCAGCTCATCCCCTCGTTGGTATGCTCAAAGAAAAAGTCAGATCCATCGAAGATGCAGAGTCATCGGGAGTTCCCTCGGAACTCAAGGTCAAGAAAAAGTACGTGACGGGTATTTTTGAAGCGGCAGTTCTCGCTGCCCTCGGTGTGATCAGTTCATTTCAAGCCACTCCGGGCCCAGATCTCGGCAAGGCCCAATCTCGAGATACGTTTGGCATAATCTCGACCGGTAAAGTCTGGGAAGCTGAACTCAGCAAAGCGGTCGCCGATATGCTCGGCAACTCGGGAGATTCCACATCCACCGGTCGGTTTGCCGGGGTGGAAACAACTGGACTGACTGCCGTCGAACTACATACTACCCCTCCTCGCGAAGTGAGAAGGAGACTTGTTGAAGCGACAGAACGGCTATTGAAGAAAGCAACCCATCCTGTTGGTGCGATATGCATGGGCTGTGCCGGTATGGTGGGCATGGAAGACGCAATAAGAGAGGGATGTGTCAGAGCATACGGACGACGGAAAGGCAGTCAAGTCAGAATAGTCGACGGCGTTATTGCTGGAGCAGGGATGCTTGCGACGGCTTGCAAAGCCGGTTTCTAAGGGCCTGTCGCCAGTCAGTACACCATCTCCCATGGTGAAGACGATTTAAGACTGAGGCTATGTATTATCATGAGCTGCGGCCAACGCACCCAGCTACGAAGAACGAGCTGCCGCTGTCTGTACTATTATGAGGAGAGAGAGTCTTTTATGTCATTTTAGCTAGTAGCCTTGTTTCCAATGGTTTTCTGTGAAACCCGGTGTGACTAGTTCAATAATTTTCATCCCTTAGCCAAAGCAATAAAATAGATTTGATTAGACGTAAACTTCACTATCTAGCCTTCGCAGCATACCTGGCAGCCGTTTCTGGCTACTTACCATTGAAAGTGAAGTTCAAGCCAGGAACATTCGGTAGGCCATGCTGGTTTACTTTTGGGGCGCGGAAGGTTTCAAGGCAGTCGACAAGGGACTGTTTAGGCCTAAGGCCCCCACACACCTAATCGAGACTTGAACTTCCCCGCGGAACGCGCTACGCGTAGACTATAATCCACGATCACTTGCGGTGATCAAGAAACAAGATGCCCAGGTGAGTTTGACTATCACAGCTTTCCTGCAATACGTTTAGAAACATGGAATTGTTCTAGCAGAATCTGATCTCCATCTCTAGGGAAATCATAACGATCCAAGCCGGCCAGTGCGGTAACAATGGTACGGATTCCCACGAGAAGCAGCTCCAATTATAGCTCTCGAACAAACACCGTTTGGCATATCTTGAGGCGTCGCTAACCTATAACTGCGTTAGTTGGCGCTCAATTTTGGCAGCAGCTCTGTCTTGAGCACGGCATAAGCCAGGATGGAAACCTGGAGGATTTCGCGACCGAGGGCGGCGATCGTAAAGACGTCTTCTTCTATCAGGTATACCTGTCACTCTCATAATGCTTCGATAACCTAAGAAACTGATGAAAAATGCTTCTTAGAGTGATGACACCCGCTATATTCCTCGAGCGATCCTGCTCGATTTAGAACCTAGGGTACGACCCCTTCCGCGAAAGACCATCTCGAAGGAACCAGTGTGATCGCGCGAACGGTGAGCTGAGAATTTTCCGATTAGGTCCTCAATGCCATCCAGGCTGGTCCGTACCGAAACATCTACAATCCAGAGAACTTCTTTATCGGGCAACAGGGTATTGGCGCGGGAAACAACTGGGGAGCAGGCTATTCTGCAGGCGAGGTCGTGCAAGAAGAGATCTTTGATATGATTGATCGTGAAGCAGATGGCAGTGACTCTTTGGAGGTATGATACCGGTGCAATCATGATACATAGATGGCGTGCAATCTTGGGTTTGCGATTGAGCATGGTGCTGATGGTCTTTTTTTGGCAGGGATTCATGTTTCTGCATTCAATTGCAGGCGGTACAGGCTCAGGGCTGGGCAGTTTCATACTGGAACGCATGAATGATCGATTTCCCAAGAAATTGATACAGACTTACTCCGTCTTTCCCGATACGCAGTCTGCGGACGTCGTGGTCAACCCATACAATAGTTTGCTTGCAATGAGGCGGTTGACGCAGAATGCGGACTCTGTGGTAAGGCACTGCCACCCCAATGAGTTGATGACGGGCTTCGCTAAATTTGCATTCCAGGTGGTATTGGATAACGGTGCTCTTTCAAGGATCGTCGCGGATAGGCTCCACGTACAAGAGCCTTCTTTCCAGCAGACAAACCAGCTCGTAAGTAACCGCCCGTCTGCAAGCCTACTGGCACTAATCACTCCTAGGTTTCTACTGTTATGTCTGCTTCTACGACGACCCTCCGTTACCCCGGATATATGCACAATGACCTCGTGGGAATCATCGCTTCCCTCATCCCTACACCGCGCAGCCACTTCCTGATCACCTCATACACCCCATTCACCGGCGACAACATCGAACAGGCCAAGACAGTGCGTAAGACCACTGTTTTGGATGTCATGCGCCGTCTGCTGCAGCCGAAGAACCGCATGGTTTCCATCAACCCCAGCAAATCCAGCTGCTACATCAGTATCCTCAACATAATTCAAGGAGAAGCAGACCCGACGGATGTACACAAATCACTCCTCCGTATTCGGGAGCGACGCCTGGCATCCTTCATCCCATGGGGACCAGCGAGCATCCAAGTCGCATTGACAAAGAAATCTCCCTACATGCAGAACACTCACCGAGTCAGCGGTCTGATGCTGGCGAACCACACCTCAGTCGCGACACTGTTTAAACGAATTGTCCAGCAATACGACCGTCTGCGGAAGCGAAACGCCTTCTTGGAACAATACAAGAAGGAGAGCCCCTTCTCGGACGGCCTGGGCGAGTTCGACGAGGCCAGAGCAGTGGTGATGGATCTCGTCGGCGAGTACGAAGCCGCGGAGAAGGAAGATTACCTGGATCCAGATGCAGGAAAGGAGAAGGAGTTGGGGGTGTGAGTGTGGTTGTGGTTGTGCTGGTCCAATCTAATGTCCCACTTGCATCTTTCCTCATACCTCTTCTTGTTCTTATTTTCCCGTCATGACTTACAAGGGTTGACCGGTGTCGAGTGGCAAGGGCGTTTCTCTTTTCATCATTTGTGTTGCAACAAAATACCTTATCTTTTAAATTGCTATGACTTGGGCGCGTTATTAATGAACAAGAAAAATGTTGAGTGGTTTGCACCGCGTAAAATCGACGTGTCTGTCTTCGGCACATCGCACAATTGTGTAACAAACCTGGCGGCCAAGCCGATGAAACACAACATCCAGCCAGACAGAACAACGGTCAAATTCGCTGACCAACAGGCCCATGCCCGTGCTCATACCCATGCCCAAGGTATCCAACCCACACTGTACCTACCCTACATTCGAATGTGTAACCTCTTTAAATCAAGTACACTAACCCGAGGCATCCTATCCCACATATATGTTATACCGCCAATTCCCTTGTCGCAAGATAGACTGATTTCCCAGCCAGCCATTATCTGGGCCAATTGTCTCCTCAGTTAATTTCCACAAACAGTCATTTACTCAGTTAACAAAGTAAAAGTATGTCTCAGTCGGTGAAACCCAGAAACAAAGGAAGAAAGTTAAAGCAAAACAAAGGCATTGGGAAAACACCGGTTTCGAAGAATGTGTGCGCCACCATACCTGGTCTATTGATCTAGTCTAGTCGAGTCTCGTCCATGTATGGCTGGATTTGGATTTTTTTTTTTTTTTTTTTTCCTCTAGCATTCTCAGCATGGTTTCACTTGAGGGTAGGTGGGTGTGAACTGGCGATAGTGAGGCGGGGGAAGTAAGATCCGACTACTAAGAAGAGGGCATAGGTTCGTGCCCAAAAGTGAAGGGGGTAGCAGTATGGCTTAGGGTACTCCTGTGAGTAGGAAATAGGTGCCTTAAAAGCCTCGGATTCAAGCTGCAGAGAGTCAAGGCACCCTCTGAACTCCTGTTTTACTAGTTAGGCGAGTAGGTGTAGTAATTAATTAAGAAAGTAGTAGATGAAATAAGAGTAGCTAATTAAGCAGTGTTCCTATTCATCCTTCTCTTTGGGAGGGTAAAGGAGGGGGGACGGGGGACCTTGTATGCAAACAAAATCAGTCGGATAGAAAGAGGACTGACCAGTAGGAGAAAATCAAATGCATAAGCGTTATGGTTGGACGATGATCCACTTGGGTACCTACTTTTGCCTGTGCTTAGGCAGTACAGAGTAGTATGGGGACCGGGGTAGATAGTACTAGCTAGATTAGATGACTAGTAATGATATTAAAAAGAGAGGAAGTAGTACTTCTGTAGGTAGTAGGATGGCCCATTCCCTTTCCTCCCCGCCCATAGGACAATTGCGCTCGAGACATGGAGGATGGGGTCCTTGGATGCGGTTGGTTCATTTCGTTCCATCGGTCTGCGGTCTGTGGTCTGTGTCTGTCTCGACTGGACATGCATATGGTGCTTACGTAGCTGCAGGCATTAAATGACCAGTAAATTGGTCGCGGAGAGAGAGGAAGGGGGGGGGGGGGGGGGTTGTGGAATCTAGGTACTAGATACTAATTTTATTATCAGTTCAGGTATTTTGTACTACTCACCTACGTCGACATACTGATGCAGTGCTTGCTATCTTATGGATCTGTGCGGAGGCCACGGCTGTGCTCCATCTGCACCATTCATGATTTGGTAATCAGCTGCGTGAAACAAACAAAAAAGGGCTTTGTTGGGGATTAAAATTCGAATGTGCTTATTTATGCACTCCATGGAATCTGCAAACCCAAGGGTAGGTGCATGCTGATAATAAGACCATAACTACTTACCGGGGTTACTCCGTAGAATCGGTAAGGGTTCCGTCCTGGTTCCCGTGCTCTACTCTGTACTACTAGATAGATCGATAGTATGTTGATGATGATTCGAGGAAGGAAACGAAAGCCTTCCAGGATATTACGATGAGATCATCACTATGTACGGAAGGACCACTTGATCTTGATGATGATCCAGAAATCCTGATTGTGAAAAGAGAGATCAATAAATAAAAGTCATCAGGATGGATGCTGGCTGCAAGGTATGACTTCTCACGTGATGAAGTTGAGGAGAGTTTGGTAAAAGGTTAGGTTTCCAGGTATGGGGAACCCAGGTTGGAAACAAGATGGCAAGGTTGGAAATCATAATAATCAGGAGGGTGTGCACTTTACTACTGTAGTACGACCCTCAGGATGCAGCTTCACTGGCGTGCACAGACATCCGTGAAGGGATCTTCTGTTCCCCCCTCCCTCCTCCCTTTCTCCTCTCCTTCGTGGTGGTGCCTGGATGGAAGGAAGAAAGAGGGAGGGAGAGGGCCCAGGCTTGCATGCATTGTTGGGCCGGATAGTTTGGGAAAACCGGGGGGGAAGAAGGGAAGGGAAGGCAACGTTGAACGGGTCAGTAGACTAGTAAGCGTGGCCGACCTTTTGGGTTAGGAGGGGGTAAGAGGTGGAGGAGGGGACTTTTGGCAGCGATATATACGTTGGAAAAGGCTCGTGAGGAATAGAAGCAGCTGATGTGGACATGGTTGCCCTCGCTTAGACAGGATTGATCGACCTGATGATGATGCTGAGAAGAAGAAAGGGGGTGTGATGGTGCTGGTGGTGGTGGTGGTGGTTGTAAAATGAAAAGGGTAAAACGGCCAGTTGATGATGATGCGTTGGTTTAGAGCATGGATGGACACGTAGGAAAACGGCTCTTGTATGACCTTTGATCTATTTTCTCTTTTTATTTTTTATTTATTTTTTTACTTTTTCTTTTCTTTGCCTTCTCCTATTTTTCTAGCCATTAAATTAATTATTAAGTATAGAGTCATTTTCATTTTTTTTTTCTTTTTCTTTTTTTCTTCTCAGTCCCCTGGTCCGGTGGAATGTTAAACTTTGCCAGTGACCAGCGACTTGCCATCTGCTGCTATGTGACTTAGTAACCAACTACTGCTAACGTAATCAACGGTCGGACGGGCCACACGGTCAGGCGGGCCATCTGGTAATACTATACAAAAGATATCTTTTTAAACATAATATATCTCTACCATCCAGGTCTAGAAGAATTAGATTTCTTCTATATAGATTTTAAATAATATAAATAATATCTATATACCTTCTAAAAATGAATATACTTTTACTTATGGACTTATCATATTACAATATCTGTATTTATATGTATTATATAAGAATCTGGTTTCATTATCAAAGTAAAAATTCTAAAAATCTGAAAAATTCATGGAATACTTATTCTTATATATATAAACTATCTACAAAGTTAGAGCTTCATAGAAGTAGTACTGGTTGATATATAATAGAATCAAAAAGACATCTTTTATATGGGATTTCAGGATGGCCCGCCTGACCGTGTGGCCCGTTCGACCGTTGATTACGTTACTACTAACTACTACTAACCAATACTACCACTTACTAACTTCGGAGCCTGAATAAGAGGAAAGGAAAGGCAAAGAGAGAAAGAACCTTTTGCCGGGTACCGAACGGGAACCTCGTGCGCATCCGGCCAACGCAGCAGCAGGATGAACCGAACTCGATAGCCGTCAAACCCGAAGGCGTAAAACAAAAGAGGAAGGGAACCAGAGACTGCAGAGTAAGGAAACCGAAGAGGAAGATGGATGGATGAATGAAATGAATGGGGATGAATGGCTGTGAAAGGAGAGAGTAACCAGCGAAACCCAAAGAATCCTGGAAGCTTCTGGGTCCACCAGGCCGATTTGCCTCCACCGGGCGTCGTCGTCGTTGCCCGTCGGAGGAATAGTCCCAAGCGTCCGCAGGGCCTTTTCTGGCTGTTCGCTGGGCTAAGAATAAGCCCATCGGCGCCTCTCTGTAACGCGGTGCGGGTTGCTGCGATGCTGGATCAGCGCATTGCAGCGCCGTTCTTTGACTCAGCAAGTCATCCATGACTCCCCATCCCCCATCGGCCTCCATTCCGTATAAATTGACTTTGCACTGCGCTTTTGCCGCTGCCACCTATTTATTCGCTTCCTCCTCCGTCCTTTGTTCTCTTCCTCCCTCTCTACCTTTTCTATCTTTTGCTTCATCAGCGAGCCCGGACTTCTTTCTGCTCTGCTTTCGATCGTATCCCCCTGTCACGCTATCCAGCTAAGCTACCTTGAACTCCGATCTTCGGTCCCCTTCCAATATCCATAGACCGCCATCCTTATCTGCCTGCCTCCTTATCACCACTCCTCACTCACCTCCTCTTTCTCCTCACCGGACTACTGCTCTCCACGTCACCCGCAACGTCCGACACTCTTGGTGTGCTCAACCAGTCCTCTCTTTCGGACTGCATAAACTACTACTACTACTTTGCCATTTGAGCGTCTTTCACTGTCACTACCAGTTCTCCCCGGGGAACAAGCACCTCATTTCCAGTCGGCCTATCGTCATTGCTGCCCCGGCGGCTACTATCTACTCTTGACACCGCCTCTTCTCCCACTCTCGCCACCACTTGCATCATGGCGCCCCGCAAGCCTCGCTGCAACTTCAAGGAGTGCAAGGAAGCCGCTCAACGCATCGTCGGAGACTGCAGCTTCTGCAGTGGTCACTACTGCTCTAAGCATCGCATGTTGGAGGCTCATGCCTGCACTGGTCTCGAGGACTGCAAGAAGGAGTCCCACGCCCGCAATGCCGATAAGCTCAACAGTGAGCGGACTCACGTCATTAAGGGCGTATGAGATCCCATCCCTGGAGACTTCACCTCAATTTTCCTCCTGTGATCTTCTCCTTGATCTTTCTTCTTCTACATTTCGCTGCGTCGCAAACATCATACATATTAGCGCGGTGTTCCTACGTCACACATACACACACACGTATTGCCGGCATTAGCAAGTACTGCATGGCCAGTAACGCTTTCCGCGACAGTTCGCCACCTTGGGTTGGGGAGGGAGTTTTGATGTTGACATTGTTTTGTTTGGCGTTCACAGCTCTGGAGTTTCGACGGCTATATTTTTGAGTATATCTATTTGCTGCATATTTCCTTATCTTTTTCCATGTGATCGTGTTCATCCATAAACTCCCCGCGGGCGGTTGTTGGCAACGAACCGATACTAGACAACATCACCATCTTCCAGTTGCGTTTGGATAGAATTGATGGAACCTTTTCCCGTTTGTGAATGGTTGCTATTTCCATTGGCGTGTCACATAGCCAAGCGGTCATAGGTATATATGCATATTTGTCCACACCTTCCATCAATTGAACTCATAAATCCAAATCCCCACGTAATAGCCATCATCCCAGCGTGGTCTGAGATTAGTCGTGTGCTAGCTACCCACGTAGCTGTAAGCTCAGGTAGCTATCCCGCTGCTCTGACCACTGAGCGTGCAGAACGTAGCAAGCGTCATATGATAGTAGCCCGAACACTCTTACGACCTCTCCAACCAACAAGCCTGAACTCCCATAGGTTGAAACCAACCTGACACCTAGAATCCCTGCAACAGAGAACAAGAAGATCTCGACCCCCTCCCATTTCCCCCCTCCTTCCTTCCCTAAAAGCAAAAGCACCCACCCACTACTACGACTAGTACATAACGAGCCTGAAACAAAGTGATACGATAGCCACCGATCCGTACCACGGGGGAGGACACTCCTTTTAGCCCGGTCCAATTTTCGGCCTACCACGCACACAGTCAGCCAAGGGGAAAAAAGCGTAACCACCTACCAACCAGTAACTGCAGCAGGGGCAAAAGGGGTGGAGTGGGAAAGAAACAAACATACATGTCGTGATGCTCGCTTAGTCTGCTCAGATACTTGTTTAATTCTTCGACGCGCTCTTTGTGAGTTTTGACCCCTTCTCGTTTCAGGCGCTCTTGCAGCTGTATAAAGTTGTTAGCTTATCTTTTCGTCTGTTACATAGACCCTTATCACTTCATTCTCCATGTAATGAGAGCATTTTAGTGAAGCAGCACGTAGATCATCCCCATACAAGAGAGACAAACATCAATAAACCAATTTATATAATACTAGAGCCAAAAGAGGGAAAACAAAAAATAAAAATAAAAATAAAAGAGACATATTCAATACATACCCTCTTCTTCCTCATCTCCTCATACTTTCTCTCCGCTTCGGTCTTCCCAGTCCCTGCTGATGATGATTCATGCTCATCAGCGCGAGGTTCCTCTTCAGCACCACTCGCTGTTGCTGATGTTGTTGTTGTTGTAAGTTGCTGCTGCTCCTGCTGCTTCTGCTGCTCATTCTCCTCCACATTGCCTTTCTTGCTGCTCTTCTTCTTTTTCTTCTCTATTCGACCGTTGCTCGTCTTGGAGCCTTTCAGTTTTAGTTTGCCGCCTCCACCGGGGGTGGAGTATTCGCTTGGTGCCATTTGCCCCCTCTCTTTGGATATAGTTGATTATCTTTATTTTTGTTCTATGTTTGGGGTAAGATGGTGGTGCATGGTTAGGTCGATGGGGAGGTATGAATGATGATGATGAGATGGATGGGTGGATACCACTACTGGATGGCGATTTCGGTTGCTGCTTCAAGCGGGTTGGTCAGGTGACTTGTGTCGTTTGTATTGATGGTTGGCTAGGCTAATGAGTTGGTGAGACTATGTAGTTTTGAGCTATTGTTATCAATTATAAGAGAAACAAGATCTTCGAATTTGGTAAGAGTTGAATTTGCTATGATGGTTTATGGTTCAATGTGGTTGGTTGTCTCGTAACTTTGAAGGTGTGCTCTACATCTACGGTATTCTCTGTCTGGCACTATGCATCTAAGTCTATGAGAAAATGTCAGAATAGGGAGTGATATCATGATTTGGCCTGTCCTTTTTGCTTTATTAATTTATTATCTAGAAAATGTTTCCTTGATGCCCTGCTATTCTCATGTCAAGTTCAGCCTCAGTAACCCAGTTATCCCATCCCTAAACTCCATCGTAACATATGCACATTAATCGAATGGAATCGGGCGCAGCCCGGATCCACCTCCTCGCTTTCGCATTTCAGCCCCGGCTGCAATCGTGCTGGGTACCTTGATTCCGCAGCAGTCCCCAAAGTAGTCTGTGTGGTCGGCATGGTTGTGGCCATGGCCATGCTCATCGTCGTGCTCGTCATCTTCCATGTCATCCGTGATCTCCCTCATCCCTGGAGCCGCCGGCAACAAGCTACCGAAAAGAAAGTGCTGCATAATTGGTAACTTGCCCAAAACCTCCTTGGCAAACATCTTTTTCATACCACTCTCGATTTTGCTCCAATTCTTGGCTCCTGATATGTCATCCAACATTGGACTGTGCCACCGTAATCCCTTCACTGTTTTCACACTATCCACCCATCGCACCTGATTTAGGTAGATGTAATTGTCACTTTCTTCCTCGAGAACTACCATGTTGTGGATTGCCAGTGGCGTGATGTAGGGATGTGCAACAAGCTGGGAGGCACCGAAAAGGAATGGCAGGAAATGGTAATCGTCGAGACCCCACACTCCATGTGATCCAGCAGGTTCCAGGTAGTACGTGGTCTGGATATCACGCATGAGATTCATGTAGCTAACATATACGTGGAAGACGATCGCAGGGAAGTCCGTCGCGGAGAACATGTGCACCTGTCGTAGACACAGCAACCACATCATGAAGTTCAATTCGTGGCCTGAACCGTAATCTAGTCGGTCGCGCGACCCAAGCGAATTGATCAGATAGGTCGAAGCTTCTTCTATGAGAGCTTGGTCTTGAAACCCGAGTATGTCCTTGTGCCACGCCGCACTTTGTACTGCGACATCGTCAAATAGATCGCGAAAAGCTGGGTTACCAAATCGCGAGCCGCCTTGGTCAAGTGACGGGTGTGTCTCGAGAAGCGATCGAATATGAAGGACGATAGACTGAATTTGGTTGATTATGGGGGAAGGGCTGCCAATGTCCGTGGTTGCCCGCCCCCGCACTGAATCGGACAGGCCGAAGATGAAGGCGAGGATCAAGGTGTGGGTTGAGGAAGAGAGAAATAGGCCATGATCTTGCTTCGATAATATCCGACGCACGGGGCGCGCATATTGATGGGAGGACAGGTCCGGAGGACTAGGGAGAGGCGGGGTGACTGGAGCAGGTTCGCGGGAGGACGTCTGAGACTTGGCTTTACTCGCACGAAGTTCCGAGAGCTTCTTGGAAAGGTCAATCTTCGGTTTCGGTGCCGGACTAGATACAGAAACTTGCGAGGCCATTTTGAGCGATATCTTATGAAAGTCAACGCGATTCAATCGTCCTAGTGACCTTGCCGGACGACAACTGACAGGAAGATTGCTGCTATCGTCGGACGAGGATATGATAAGCAGACACGGTCATCTGACACCGCTCGCGATGACATAAGATGGGTTTGTGTTGACCGGCAGAAACTGACCGCCAATTATCAGAGCAGCCATTACCCCTTTCCCAAGGAGGTATAGCTTCATTGCCATAATCTTGAGGCATACATCGAAGTATTCTGGGTGCCGCTGTCATAGGGTGGCGACGAAACCCAATGGGGTGAACAATGGCGCTGGAAAGGGTGATTTGAGCCACTTCGGATTTATCGGAATGGATTCGGCTTTGCCGTCTTCCAAATCCGTCCGCCGAGCAGCCTACCAAAACTCATCGAAGAGCCTCGGACGGAGGCCTTACTCCGCGCCGTGGATCATGATGGCATATGCGGTGCAACGCCCCCGAGCCTACTGACATCACATTGTACACAAAGTTTTCGACTCCACGAACGAGAAAGCAAAGTGGACCGATCGATTTTCAATGTGGCTAAGTCCAGGGCTTCGGTCCGGATTTTCTGGAACATGAGAGCGATATCCGCTGTGAACCATGGATCGGCGCGGCTGAGTCGAGGCACTATCGACTTGAAGGCAAGTACGAACGAAAGAGTTCAGCCTGGGGAAGGTTTCCGGAAGACAGATCTGATCGGGTGGAGGGCTGAAAGAGGGTCAGTCTCGGAGGGTAAATTGAAAAGAACAGGTAGGCATCGACCCTTGCATTGGAATTGACTATTGGGGAAAGGGTTTTCTATCCCTTATTATTGTATCGTAAACGAGGAGGAGGACACGGCGGTAAGATAGGTACAGTAAGCATGATACTGCTTTTGAATGTTTGTTGTTTCACTTGGGATTCAGTCAGTCGGTGCCTTATATCAACCCGACCCAAGATCGACCTACTGGTTCCAATATTATTACCTCTCTGAGGATTCAAGGCGTGTTCCGGAAACAAAAGCGATAAGGAACGAGGAATACATCTCTACTTACTGTGCTCCGTAGTCGCCTACGCAGATAAGCCCAAAATATGGGATACGGTTGGTTAGATGCACAACAATTCAAACCATGATTAGACTCGACTAGCCCAAGAGGCCCGGTCCCTGTCCGGTGACGGTCTATCGGGTCTGACGGACTCCTTGTGCCAGTCAGACAGCCATGTCTGGTTTCCGGCTAGGCCGCATGTACGTCGACGGTTCGGGCATATCAATCTTTTCCCTTCAGCCAATGGATAGATGTCCCTGGCTGCACAACATCGCTGAGAGATAGTAGATACTCCTAGTAACCTTGGGCAACGCCACAGGCAGCTCGAATGATGTCGTGATGATAGAATTGCTTGTCCATCGTACGGATGAGTCGCGATTGATGAAAAAGTAGTTATAAGCCTCCCATGACTCAGTTGTCGTCAGCTCCTCCTTCTATTGGCGCTCCGACCAGCTCAGGATCGCCGGTCTCTTCCCAGGAGAAGGAATAAGTCAGACTTCTGGGATGGTTACTAGTTATCGAATTATCTAGACCGCGACATGGCGAAGCTGAAACATCTTTTCTATCGTAGTAGGCGTGGGAAGTCGACGGGAGCTGAATTGCGTTTGAGTTGTAAGCAATTCGACGGGTCACTTGGCGCTTCTACAATGACTAGTAGTACTCCGTACCTCTTTCATGATGACCTTATCCGGAATTCTCAGCGGCGTATCCCGTAGTACTATGCAATGGGCCGTTCCTGAAATAGAAGGCCGCAACCAAGATCGGTCGACGTGGCTGAACCGCATTGAAACTGGAACTGGAACACATGGGCGATATCTAGTCCCTCACTAACAGTTTCTTGGCAGCCAATGATAGGCGTGACATGTGCCGCCAGACTCATGTGGCTAGTAGTGATCCCGACAAAAGTATTGGTCTATCACTTATCAGGGGAGGGGAGAGGAGGGGAGGGGAGGGGGGATTATGGGCACAGGCAAGTGATGTGCCTCGCGCTCTGGGAGGGAAGAATTGGCGCCCGCCTTCATCAAGTAGCTACGGACTTACGTAGGTACTCCAAGCCCCGTATCGTATCCATGACTTTTTAAAGTAAGCCACCATTATTACCTTGTTAGTCAGTTAGTCAGTTCTATCTTATGTGGAAGATGTTTCGTCAGGATGCTCAACAGGCTCGCAACAACCGAGGATGATGATGCGATCATGGGATGAAGTCGCAGATGATGGAGAGGATCACCAGGGGGACGGGAGAACAACAACACACCAAGTTTGGGAGAGATCTATTCTTGGTTGTCTCTGATTCCCATGCGGGATGTTTCAGTTGCATGGCTTTTCCCCTCCTGGGATGTCGGGACGTGTCAACCATTGCAGGGATCGCTGGCTGGCTGGCTAAGTTGATTAGTTTGGTATCGATGTACTGTAAGAGAGAAAAGGTTGCGAGTAACTAAGGAGATCAGTAAGAGTAAGAGTAAGAGTACGAGGACAGTAACGAGTCAGTACTAGATACGGCTAGTCGACAAACTCCGTATTTAGTCTTGCTTTTTCGGCGCGACGGGCAAGGAGTCACTGGCGCTAATCAAACTAGCTCGAATGCAGTTAGCCCAAAGCGTCTAGTGGGTGGCGGTCGGTCTTTCCCCACCGAGACAAGCGAGATTTCGATGCCCCTGTTCGCGTTGCGGATTGGCCGCCTGTTCAGGTACGGCCAATTTAGTCTACTGGTGCCTGGGGAGGTTTTCTCCGGAATTTGACCCAATAATGGTGGTCCCCCCCCTCCGTCGCATATTGCAGTCATGCTGGTGACAAGTTAATATAGCTCGGAGGCACAATCAAGCCATTCACGGGCCATCAATTCAGGATGGAGATGGATCGTTAATATCAGCGGGATTATTATGCTCCATAATGGCCAAATTGCCGCCCTGCAAGAACCCTGATTGCAACGGACGGCATGAACAGGTGGCAGTGGGAAAGTGGAGACCTCTGGCTCTGGCACTGGCTCTGACTTTCTCTCTCGTCCTCCATGTCTGGCTTATGTCTCAAGCTCAACCAGGGATGCGCACCGTATTCGCACTTGGTAGCAATCAAACACTATGACGTCTTATATATGAAGAAATGCAAGACGAACATTTGAGTGTAGATGGGAAAGTGCGAGAACTACTACATTAGATCTGCCACCCGCATTGTTCTTTTACAGTAAAGCCTATTGGCTTCGCTAGACCATCCGGATTTTGTACCGAAGCCGAGAAAAAAAAATAAATAAGGAAGCCTGCAGATTCGGAGTATTGCGACTTCATCGACAGGGTACTACGTACGTAGGCGCAGTAGCAAGTTAGTTAGAAGGCACGTATTCATCCGAGAACTCCGCAGGCCTGACTAACTGGAAGTATGCAATTTCCCCATGAAGGCGCTGGCCAGACTAGTCTAGTCTAGTATTAATGGATTTTAATGCTACGATGGAGCCTATTACTATCACCTTTAATTAGTAGTGTGCCTCGAAAGCGGGCTAGTGCGAGACAAGAGAGAGAGAGCGAGAGAGGAGCGAGAGAGCGATAGGTCTGCCTGAATTAATTGACTGGCCTCCCGTACTTTACCGGTGCGCATCGTTCGGTGGTCACGCCTCCGCATGCTGACTGGAGCGCTGGGCGATCGGATGGCCCTGGTAATACGCGGTACGGATCATTTGGTACTAAACCAACCTGAACGGTACGGGCGCGGCCCCTCCGGCCACCCAGCCAATCATCCCCTGCCGCCCTCCATACGTCGCCGTCTCCTCTCCTCCTCCACCACCAAGCCTTTTGCTGCACCTCAGCCTTTCCTCTCCTTCCTTCAACTTCATTTTCCTTTTTCCAGGTTGATCCTCTTCCTCTCTCTCTCTCTCCTCTCTCTTCCTCCTCCTGTCTCTCCTCCCCCCCTCTTCCTCCTTCTCCTCCACTTCTTTCTTCTTTCTCCTCTTCACTACTATACCTTTTTATTCACCTCAACCTTTCACTCTCTCAACTTCACTTCGCCCTCCTCTCCCGACACTTCCGCCCATCCTCTCCTTGGCCCGTTCCCGTGGCCGTCCGCTCCTTACAACAACATCAGTCTCCTTCGTCAACAAGTACGACACCTTAACCTTAACTCCCTCGATTTCGATACATTCATTCGATTCGCCTTGTTTCTAAAGCGTTGTTCGACAACTGAATCAGTCACAAAAGCGATTGTGGAGGCTTCTTGTATCTTGGGTTTCAGACCGTTTTTTGCAACAATATACTTCGACTTGTATTCTTTCGGCTCGTATTTCTCGGATCTCGGGACCTCGCTTCTTGCTCGGTGCGACTATTGAGAGTTTGGATTTGAGGATTCAATGGTACCACTGCAGAACTGAAGGCCTCCAGACAACACCGGGCTTTCCAATCATTGTAGGGAAGTCACCAAGGTCTGGAGGTCCCCGTGCGTCGTCGAGGTCACATCAACTGTGTCCATCACTTGTTACGGCGTGATTCAAGTCATTATTGCATCAAGGTTTAAATCGGTATCATCCAGACCTCTTGATCAACCCGGCATATCGTTATGGCTTCGATATCCCTTCCTCCACAGCCTCAAGCTAGTCCGGCATTCTCTCCATATCTTCCCTCAGCTGATCGGTCTCCTGAGGGTCACAGCCGCCACAATCTGAGAATGTCTGCTCCGCTTCCAAACCCACACTTCGTCTTTCCAGCCCGGGATCCTAGCGATGAGACACCCAAGTCATCGGAGACGGGTGCGAGGACTGCTCTGCCGCTCCCAGCGTTCTCTTTCAATCCGGGCGCTCAACATTCGTCACAACCATCGATGCCCTCTCTTACCCCAAGTAGGCCAGCTGGACACCGCAGACGATGCAGTGAGTTCGTTGGTGGAGAACATCCGATCATTCCGGCTGGGTCCATCGAGGCCACTCAAGGCAAGGATGACAACTTAGCGCCAGCACCCGCCAAACTCCCCGCTCCAGGGCCCGGCTTCAGTGCGGGTAGTCAAGGAAAACGCCGTCATGCCCATCGCCGCTCGGCAGCTATATCCAGCGTGGATCTCACGGCTATCTCGAATGCGCTAGACTTGAAACCACCCATTGGAAGTGCTCCGTGCTTTCCGGCAGACACAACGCGCGAAGGCCATGCTTCTAATGAACCTCCCAGGCCAGTCTCTCAGTCTGCAATTATTCTGACCCGGCGATCTCCTCCAGTGTCGCCTACCATCGTGATTGAGGAAGACCACTCAGAGCCTGCTGAACCTGGTACTCCTAGCTATGTTCCCACGCCCGAACGCCACTCAGCCGAAATCCTGTCGAAAGAAATTGAGCCGGCGGCAACATCAGGATTTGGTGCTTCCGCTAGAAATAGCGGCTATACTTGCTTTTCTCCTGCAGTCGACAACACACAACCTAAGGCTGAGAAGTCAAGGCCAAGACCTCGAACTGCGGATGCATCCTTCATGCTAGATCCGAGCAAGACCGCCAACGTGGACGATGCATCGCCCATGAAACGGCCATTGTCTGCGGCAGGCCACTCGCGTAATCGCAAAAGCTTGTCCTCGGGAATTCTCGAGCATCTTGCAGGCTCATCGCGTCGTTCCTCTTCCTCTTCCAGTGGTTCAGAAAGCAGCTCGAATACCTCGGTAAGCGAGACAAATGAATCGTCGGAATCTCCGTCAGGCAAAAAGAAATCGAAAGCCAAGAAAAGGCAGAAGAAAGTGCGGTCTTGGGCGGGCGCTCTTCTGACAAGAGGTAAAAATAAGCGGCATACCAAGAAGGACATGCCGATATCAAAGTCTACTGCCTCTCCCCCTGCATTAACCAGGACAAATTCGGATCTTGGTTCGGGCTTGGACGTCGATTTCGATGATGACAACATCGTCGTCTTGCGAACACCCACCAACCCGGCTACACCGGAGTCGAGTCACCTGCCTCCAGAGGAGGAGCTACAACCTAGCCTGGATAACTCTTGGAAGCCAAGGAGCTTCTACGAACAGAATACTCAGAATGATGCCTTTAGTCCAGTGATAGATCTTGATGCAGCTCTGGGTCCATTCAATACCCCTGATATGCGGTCTAGTCGTGTTGCAGAGAGCGGCTTCTCGGCGGCAACGAAGCGGATGTACAGTGGTGGACGACGGGGTGAATTCATAGGTCCGGAGATGCGCTATCATCGCCGTGCAGAGAGCGCTCCGGAAATGCCCCCCTTTGATCGCAGCTTTCTCGGTGGCAACCGATTTGTCACCACTTCAACCTTGGAGAACCCTGATGTTCTGTACGAAGAAGAGGAGGATGCTTTTCTTGCTGCCACCGGCGATGCTCAACAGGAATCTGTTGAGCAATCAGGTCCGCAGGTGGCCACATCCGACACGGCTGATGCAGATAGGCAATCTGCGGATAGCAAAGACAGCTCTGATACCCTGACACACCAGCCGCTTGCTCAAGAAACTAACAAGGGCGATTTACCTCACGCTGGTCTGGGTATACAGAAGGACGAACCGAACGATGCCACGGACATTGCTGCTACCCGTCCGGATCAGGAGGAGCAGAAGCTCACCGCCAAGCAGACCTCGCTCGCTCAATTCCACAATGCGGCTAACCCTTTCTCTGCTCAGCTGCAGAGTTCGACAGAGACGGACAGACAGGAATGGCAACATAAGCCTGTTCCACCGAGTCCTGACATCTCGCCTCGATTTATGCCTGCTGACCGAACTACCACCCCACTGGAGCTGACCCCCAATATCCCTCCATTGTCTCTCCAAGGCAACAACTCTCTTCCAAACTCTTCCTTCCCATCTCCCGACTTTACGCTGTCTTCCGACGTTCCTCGCTCAGTCACGACTTCGTCCACGACCGACCGTAATTTTTCGAACCCCTCATACAATCCCTCGGTGGATCTTCCTCAGGGTTCAGTTGAGGATGTGCCCTCACTGACCAGCAGTGCATCAACGACGACAAACACCTTGAACCGGATCTCCGGCACATTCTTCACTCGCCCTCGCTTGTCCACTGATCGTTCGGCGTCTTTTTCTGCCGCTGTGCGCCGTCGTACCAGCCAAGCCAACAGCTCTAAAAGATCCAGTCTCGCCAGTCTCTCCAAGCTGGTTGTTGGGCCCCACGCAGAACGGAGCAAGCTTAGCTACGAAGAGAAGCCCCCGGAAGATGAGCCTGAAAGAGCCAAGAAGAAAGGTCTTCGGATCAGCCGTCTCATGCACTTCTGGCGAACTAAAGATAAGGACAAGTCCTGTCATGAACATGGTGTTCGGGATCAGCGGCCCTCTTGAGCCATCGCTGCTGGGACCATTGTCTGCCCCTTGTACATATCTAACCTTATGATTCTCTTGACGTGGTCTTTGCAAGATCTACTTTTTTTTTCATCTTTATTCCCTCTTCTTCTTTCTCCCTTTTACTTCTTTTCTTTTTGATTTTTACTCGGACCGGTTCACCTTTCTGCGTGTTGGGTGGTAACTGACGAATCTCTTTTTCATCGATATGTGGTTAAGCGTAAGAGTATGAAAGCTCTATCTTGTTTATTCCTTTCTTGTCTCTCGTTCATGGCCGGTTGCAGTTGTGAACAATGCCTTCATCTCCGTTCGCTATCTAATGTTTCAGGGCCCTTCTACTGTTTCATTCTTCTTCTTTCTCAGCTTCTTTTGATTTCACATTCATCTATCTTTCTTTCTTCTTGCATTCATTATGGCATCCATCTTTGTGTCATTCTTTTTCTCCACGAGACTCTTCTTACACGGGCTTACTGGTTTTGTTGGCGATTCTGAATTGGGGTCCCTTTTTATTCGACTTCCTTGGGAGGTGCATGTCTTTCAAATCACGAAGTGCAAGCATCTTTGCCACTTTGAGCGTGCAGAGCTACATGCGTACAGTATGAGCTGCTAACAGACAATTCAATCTACACTCTGCGTCATCAAATTGATGGCGTCTACTCAGTAACCATTTCGAGCCCTTGTAGTGTGTCATGTCTCAATTATATTAGTAGGGATTCATGATGTCAGTACAGCAGCTGTAGCACGCAACGATTGGTTGTAGTTCAATATTAGCAATGCTCATCTTGCAAATTGAAGCACATACTCCAAAAGTGCCAAACACCGTCTGGTGGCCAGTACTGGTGTGTAGAGTGACGATATATATCCAACCACGGGGCCCCACAAGCCCGTCCCAATGGCGAAACCGAAAATTCCCCAAATCCTTAACTGAATTCAGACAACATATCCTAACAATCAATGTAAGATATAAATCACAAAAACCACAACCTCTTCAAAAATGGCACCTCGATCCAGCAACACATCCAAAAAACCCAACAAAAAGGAGAGTAGTAAAAAGAAGCTGTCCTCTTCCTCACAAACACAACCGCGCCGAAACACCAGCAAAACCGAACCCAACCATCATCAAGATCACCTCAACCTCTCCACCACCATCCCGCTGACTCTCCAGCAACTGTTACTAAATGTGTTCAAAACTGCTTTGCTCACAAACGGGCACAATTATCTCCATAACCGGGAGGAGACGAAGAAGAACGACAATGATGAATCCGGAGCCACCACTGCTGATTCAGCAGAGCAACAGCAGGAACAGCAGCAACTAGACATCAAAAGTCTGATCCAGACGATCAAAACCCATTTGTATAATCGTGACTTTGACTCCGCTTTTACAGATGCCAATGAGGACTTGCTTCGTGCTTATGCATTGCGGTGGAGCTCGTCCAGGGCGTTGGGGTATGCGGGCATCTTTCGCGCGCTGTTGAGGGAGGTGGTTAAGCCTGTTTCTGACCATGCTGCTACTACTTCTACGAATAATGTCGTGTGTATTGGAGGTGGCGCGGGTGCTGAGATTGTTGCGCTTGCGGCTGCGTGGAGGGATTTTATGGTTGGTGCTGAACTACGATCTTCTTCTGCAAGAGATGAGGATCAAATTGCAGATGCTGTTGAGGCGGTATCTTTGGACGATGGGAAAGAAGAAGAAGGTAGCAAAGAAGCAGTAAAACAACCAACTTCCACCACCACTTCTACTACTACTACCACCTACCCCGGCCTCTCCGTCACGGCGGTAGACATCGCAGACTGGTCAAAGGTAGTTGAGCGCTTATCCACCGCTATTCAATCTCCCACAGTGACAGGGTCAAAGTCGCATCCTGCTCCATTGTTACCCTCCAACAAAGACGAAGAAAAGAAGACACCCAGCTTCAGCGTTGGCTTTGAGAAGCTAGATGTTCTCTCCACGGGGGAGAAGGAACTTCAGGGATTATTCTCGCGGCAGGGAGCGGAATCATGCTCTACTGTCCTGGTAACGTTGATGTTCACTTTGAATGAACTGTTCTCGACATCTATGGCCAAGGCTACAGGGTTTTTGTTGCGCATGACGGACATGTTGCGGCCTGGAACGGTGCTGCTTGTGGTGGATAGCCCCGGGAGTTATTCGACGCTGAAGTTGGGCAAGGGTGGTGATGGGGAAGTGCGGGAGAGACAGTATCCGATGAAGTTCTTGTTGGATCATACGCTGCTGTCGGTGGCGGAGGGCAAGTGGGAACGGTTGATGTCGGAGGATTCGAGGTGGTGGAGGAGGGATGCGGCCAGGTTGAGGTATGATGTTGGGGAGGGGGCTGGGCTGGAGGATATGAGGTTTCAGGTTCATGTTTATCGGAGGGTGGGGGTGTAGAGTTAATACTCTGTGCCTTGTGTTCTTTTGTATGGTTGCATTTTGTTCATGGTTTACAATGATACCTACCGTCGTGGAGTCTATGTCTTGGTGTTCGTTACCTGCTATAAGGTTTCGATATGTAGAGGCATATTTGAGAGAGGAATGGGTATGATATTGCTACAGGTTCATGCGTGTAGGAGTGCATGCGTGCGAGAGGGTGTGTAAGAGAGGAAGTGATGAAGAAAGAAGACCAAACGACATTAATTCGCCACGGAGATCATGCACGCCTGAGATCCATCCGGTTGAAGGAAAACAACAAAGAAAAGAGAAATAAGAAATACACGTAATTCCATTCACCAAGCCACAGCGCCTTCTAGTTTCTCAAGCCCAGCAAGAGGCTAGTGCTCTTTCCGCCTTCCTTGCCATCGTTACCAGGCAGATACGTGACGTTGGGGTTGTTGGCAAGCGTCGTCGCGATCTCCTTGCTGGCATCGATACGACGAATCTCAATCAAGCCGCTGCCCGCCTTGGCAACAGCCTTGCTGATAATATCGGCACTCTCGGCTTCACCCTCGGCGCGGATGACATTGGCCTGACGTTCCTGCTCGGCCCTCTCGACAATGAAACGGGCCCGCTCGGCGTCCTGCTGGGCGATCTGCTTCTGCTCGACGGCACGGGTGAATTCCTTTCCGAAGGTCATGTGGGTAATGGAGACGTCCTCAAGGGCGATGTTGAACTGAGAAGCTCTCTTCATGAGGTCTGTGCGGATGCGGTTGGAGACAGCTTCACGCTGGGTGATCAGTTCGGCGGCATCGAACTGAGCGACAATGGCTTTGAGAACTTCGTTTCCGATGGATGGGAGCACACGCTCATCGTAGTCGATACCGTAGGACTATTTGGGAGAGTCATGGTTAGAGGGAATGGACCCAGTCGGGTATAAAAAGGGCACAGGCATCTTACCTGGTAGATGGCCGGCAGCTTCGGGACCTCAGGACGGTGCAGCACACGCAGAGTCAAGCTGACCATCTGCAAGTCCTTACTACCCGTGGTGGTGGAAATGTTGCGGGGCTTGGTGCGAACATCATAGATAATAGCTCGCTGCAACCAAGGAATGAGGAAGTGTGTGCCCTCGTTCATGACCTTCTCCTGCACTCCGGACAATCGGTCGAAGATGACAGCGCGGGTACCACCACGAACATCGTAAATGGAGGAGTTGAAGATGTAGACTCCCGCCGAGATGGGAACCGCGAGGCGGTAGATCTGCTGGAGGAAGGTAGACATGGTGATAGATTGATGAGCGAGGGGACGGGGACTTCAGCAGCGACAGAGAAACGACCGTAATTATCAGGCGGGCGGGAGTTTGGCTGGAGATGATGTCGAGGCTTTTCGCATGCTGTCCCGAAACGGATTAGCGCTGGGCGGTGGTTTGAACTTCCAACTTCGACTTTCGTCCGTTTTGGTCCGAAGGTCACCGACGACGACTTCTCTCTCTCCTCTCACGCCTCATCTCTCACTCCCCACATCGCGCTTTTCGTCGCTGATTCTCCTCGCATATCTTCACAATGGGTGGCCATCTCGATCCTAAGAATGGAGTGTGAGTATTTTTGCCCCATTGTCTCGTCTTGTCCGCTCCCTAGCTTTTCCGGGGGAAAGGGTACCATGCGGCCTCGTCTGCGATGAGATATCTACCCATGGCCCCTACCCCGAATGGCTCCGATTCTTGTTGAGTCGTAACATATTGGATAATCATGATGGCTAATTTGTGGTTTCTTTTAGCTTCCTCGGCTGGTGGGGTGATCTCGGTATGTCTACAATATCAACTTGATTTGGCTGTCTGCGAAGCCTTTCGACTGTCAGCAACATCGGGCCACCGGGCTTGTTACTCGATTATGGGCCTGCACTGCCGACGAATCACTGCTTCAATAAAGGCGACAGCATGTGCAATTGCGTTTCGGAACCCTTGCTGACATGGCATGTCTTTGCCCCATCTAGGATGCCCTACTCCCCAGCGTGTGACCTCCTACTCCATGTCCCCTAACCGCCAGCGCCCTCTTGCTGGTGCCGGTCACGCCGCCATCTTCAACGTTTTCCGCAGATTCAGACACCAGGTCCTCTACGTCGCTCCTCCCTTCATTGCCGCCTACGCCATCATGAACTGGGCTGTTGAGAGGTATGCCTCCCCCTTACCTGCGGACATGAAGGCCTATATTACACACGTTTCCGGTACAATTGATTGCCCCAGAGCTGACGCTTGGACTTGCTTGTAGGAACGAGTACCTCAACTCCAAGCCTGGCCGCCTTCTCGAGGGTGGTGAAGAGTAAATGTAACGTGCCAGCTCGGAGGATCTTGGAAGAAAGGGATGACATAGGGCAATATGAAAGGGCTGGATGTGTGATTGCACTGTACAGTAACTAGAAGCAATCGAGTATGTTGCAATGTTTTTGGTTGCCTTGACCGCGCGTGGGGTGCATCTGTAATCAAGAATGGGCGGCATCGTATAGGCCGGAGGGATTCCACACCCGCTTGGAGCCAGCCCGTAGTGTAGTTCTGCCAATCACCGGCGGCTATTGCTTGAGCCTTCTTTTTTTCCAGCGCGGGAAGTATCCCACGCTTCCTGGGCAGGTCAATTGGCCATACGGTTTCCCTTTAGATAATTGGGATGTTGAAGGAGTGCTGCCCGAAAGCCCGAATGTGATGATTGTGGTACAGGATGGGGATGATGGATGGCCTTGGCCGTGATACTACGTATCGTGATGGACCACAATTGCCCAGACGATTGGATGGAGTACAATGCGAGTTGACCAATTGAGTTACGCAAGTGTCTATTGTCCATTAGGAGTATCGTGCAATTCTTGATCGAGATAAGGAAAAGAAAGACTCTTTTGAGGCAAGTTGAAGTGGATGCTATTACTCTTAAATTACAGACAGGCCATACCATACCAGCAATACGGCAACCAAACCCACCGGCCAGAAGAGAAAATTACCGAAACAGGCGACAAAAGAGAGAAAACCCCACCTGACTGGCCGCCATCGCCGGTGATAAATTACCACTGGTCACCAGCCGTACATACAATTTTTCTGTTTCTGGTTTTCAACTTTTCCCCCACTCCGCATGCGTTCGTCTCTCGTCGCTTCTTTCCTTTCGCTTTCCTTCTCTCCTCCTTCCTCCTCTCTCTCTTCCTCTTCCTCTCTTCTCTTTCGTCTCCCCTCAGCTGCTTCTTCGCTGTCTGCTCTCCGTCCTCGTCCTCACCTTCGTCTTTTCCGTCCTTTCCACCACTCCATCACCATGAGCGACATCACTCACCCCACCATCAAGGGTATGTAGTATTTCCCTTATCCGCACCATCCACCACCCTTCCATCACCTCGCTGTTTACCCCACCTCCTGTTCTCTTCTCAATCCCCAAACCTACTCTCCAGATCTGTTCAATGGATCAATGCCCGCTTATGACGCCTCAATGAGCGCAATCTCGCCCCAAGACGATGTCATTCCACTTGCTACCCCTCTTACGAAATTTACCCCTCGCTAACATTGGTCCTTCCCATTTTCTGCAGATGGCTGGTTCTCCGAGCAGTCTGACATGTGGCCCGGCCAGGCCATGAACCTTAAGGTTAACCAGATCCTCCACCACGAGAAGTCCAAGTACCAGGATGTTCTTGTTTTCGAGAGCAGCGACTACGGCACCGTCCTCGTCCTCGACAATGTCATCCAGTGCACTGAGCGCGATGAGTTCTCGTATGTTGAAATTCTTACCACGAGCTATTTATACCCGGAAGCACCATTGGCGCTAACGTTATATGACCATAGCTACCAGGAGATGATCACCCACCTCGCCATGAACTCCCACCCCAACCCCAAGAAGGTCCTGGTCATCGGTGGTGGTGATGGTGGTGTCCTCCGTGAGGTCGTCAAGCACGAGACCGTCGAGGAGGCCACCCTGTGCGACATTGATGAGGTAAAATAACAAAAAGAAATCCCCGTGTGCTCGTGCTGTGTATGTGAATATCTGGCTCATGGTTTCTTAGGCTGTCATCCGTGTCTCCAAGAAGTACCTTCCTGGCATGAGCATTGGCTTCCAGCACCCCAACGTCAAGGTCCACGTTGGCGATGGTTTCCAGTTCCTCAAGGAGCGCCAGAACGAGTTCGATGTTATCATCACTGACAGCTCTGACCCCGAGGGTCCCGCTGAGAGCCTCTTCCAGAAGCCCTACTTTGAGCTTCTGCGCGATGCGCTCCGTGAGGGAGGTGTCATCACCACACAAGGTTGTTCGTCGCCTTTCATTAATCCCTTCTTGCCCTTTACATCTCACTTCTCTCTCCCCTCCTTGACTCCTCTATATCCCCCCAAATCTCTACGTACTATTTGTGTTATTTGTATTTTCTCGTCGCGAACTATGAAGCTAACCTTGTTACGCCCCAAACCACCCGACCCCTAACCCGGGATCGGTTTGGGTTCGTGTTTTCTACCCATACAGCCGAGAACCAATGGCTGCACCTGTCTCTGATCACCGACCTCAAGAAGGCCTGCAAGGAGGTTTTCCCCGTTGCCGAATACGCCTACACCACCATCCCCACCTACCCCTCCGGCCAGATCGGCTTCATGGTCTGCTGCAAGGATGCCACTCGTAACGTCAAGGAGCCCGTTCGCAGCTGGACCCGTGAGGAGGAGGAGAAGCTCTGCCGCTACTACAACCAGGACATCCACCGTGCCAGCTTCGTTCTCCCCAACTTCGCCCGCAAGGCTCTGGATGCTTAGACTATCTGAAGTTTTGTCGTTCTAATACTTTGGGTGGTGGCCTCCTCCGTTTCGAGGCCCCACGGCGGCTGATAATCGATGATGATCTGACGATGACGAATATAACAAAAGATTTCTGCTGCTTCCTCATAATATCCCCCCGATGCTTCACATGGCTTGAAGCGTGAGATGCACTCCGAAAGGATCTTCCTAAGAAATAATACTAGCCAATATCCGCTTTGGATAAGTGGACAAGATATGACTATCCCGTAAGCAAATTTTATATTTACGTGCTTAGTTCGGTGTTGCTGCCAGTGCAGGTTGGCCGAGTCCAATTTGAAAGCCAAAACTGGTGATAGTATTCTCTCGTCATAGACCAATTCCCCTCTAAATCTACCCAAAGAAAACTAGAACGATTATAGACCAAGAGATTGAATGAAACAGATTGCATATATTTTTATCTTCAAAGAAAAAGTCGTTAAAATAGGACTTCTCCCGGGGGTATCATTGCCCACAGGGATCAACATCGTCCCAGATACTCATAAACATGAATCAGTACAAACCATCACGATGCTACCGCAAGACGTTTACAGAATCTGCTGGAAAGCACGGTTGATGGGGGAGCGCACGGTGTGACCCTTGTAGAAGTCAATGGTGGCGACAGCGCGCTTGCTAATGCCCTCAGGAGTGAACTCGAATTTCTGCAGTGAAGTGAATTAGCATATGCGGCTATTGAAAGAGGTGGACATATTTTGTAGCTTACCTTGTAGACATCCTTGTAGGGGCCAGAGGCACCGAAGCGGTTGAGACCGAACTGCTCGTGAGCGTAGCGCTCCCAGCCCATGGTGGTGAGAGCCTCGACGGAGAGGACGGGGATGTTGTCGGGGAGGACCTGGAGCTTGTAGGCCTTGTCCTGGGCATCGAAGACCTCGAAGCAAGGAACGGAGACAACGCGGGCAGCGATGCCGTGCTTCTCCTTGAGGTAGGTGGCAGCCTCGATACAGATGCTGACCTCGGAACCGGTGGAGATGAGGGTGACGGCAGCGTCGGGGGCCTCGAGGGCAACGTAGGCACCCTTGAGGGCCTTCTCGATGGTGGAAGCCTCGAGCTGGGGCAGGTTCTGACGGGTGAGGGCCAGAATGCTGGGGGTGTGCTTGGAGGTCAGAGCAGAGTAGTAGGCAGCGCTGGTCTCGTTGCCGTCAGCAGGGCGCCAAACCATGCAGTTGGGCAGAGCACGGAAGTGAGCCAGAGTCTCAATGGGCTGGTGAGTAGGACCGTCCTCACCCAGACCGATGGAGTCGTGGGTGGCAACGTAGATGGTGCGGACACGGGAGAGGGCCGACAGACGGACAGCACCGGCGGCGTAGGAGACGAAGTTCAGGAAGGTACCACCAGCGGGGATGACGGTGCCGTAGGCGGCAAGACCGTTCATGACAGCGGCCATGGCGTGCTCACGGACACCGTAGCGGAGGTAGCGGCCGGACCAGTCACCGATGTTGTACTCGGGGGGCTGGAAGTCAACGGCGTTCTTCCAGCGGGTGTTGTTGGAGCCAGTCAAGTCGGCAGAGCCGGACAGAAGCTCGGGGACGACATCGTGGATCTTCTCGAGGACAGCCTCGGAGAGCTTACGGGTAGCAACGGCAGCGTCGGTGGGCTTGTAGACGGGCAGGCTCTTCTCCCAGCCCTCGGCAAGCTTGCCGGAGAGACGGCGGGTGAGCTCAGCGTGCTCCTTGGGGTACTCAGAAGCGTACTTCTGGAGGAGCTGGTTCCACTCCTGCTCCTTAGCAGCACCCTCAGCGGCGTGCTTGTGGTAGAGGTCGTAGACCTGCTGGGGAACGACGAAGGTCTGCTTGGGGTCGAAGCCGAAGAGCTGCTTGACACCCTCGCAGTCGTCAGCCTTCAGGGGGTTACCGTGGACACCGCCAGTACCCTGGAGCTTGGAACCGAAACCGATGGTAGTAGTCAGACGAATGACGGAGGGCTTGTCAGTGACAGCCTGGCACTTCTTGATAGCAGCCTCAATGCCCTCGAGGTCGTGGTCACCGTCCTTGACGTACTCGGTGTGCCAGCCGTAGGCCTCAAAACGCTTCATAACATCCTCAGTGAAGGCGCACTTGGTGTCACCGTCTGCAAAACAAGCCCTCGTTAGTATGGCTGTGATAATGAGGAAAAAGGGGTGATGAATGAAGCTTACCGATGGAGATTCCGTTGTCGTCGTAGATAGCAATGAGGTTACCGAGCTTCAGGTGACCAGCCATGGAGGCGGCCTCGCTGGCAATACCCTCCATGGCGCAGCCATCACCGAAGAAGCAGTATGTGTAGTTGTTGAAGAGGGTGTAGCCGGGCTTGTTGAAGACAGCAGCGGAGTGACGCTCGGCAATAGCAAGACCAACGGCGTTGGCGAAACCCTGGCCCAGGGGACCAGTGGTGACCTCAACACCGGGGGTGTCGTGAGCCTCGGGGTGACCGGGGGTGATGCTGTCGAGTTGCTACACGAGCATGATAGTTAGGACATGTCTACAATGGCTCTCGCAGAAACCCTCAGCGGATACATACTCTGAAGGACTTCAGGTCATCCATGGAGACCTGGTAGCCGAAAAGGTGAAGGAGAGCATATTGGAGCATGCAGCCGTGGCCGTTGCTGGGGAGGAAAGTTAGTGAAACGATCACCTGGACACAAAGATTGCCAGTTGAAGCTTACGAGAGAACGAAGCGGTCACGGTTAGCCCAGTCGGGATTTTGGGGGTTGAAGCTCATGAACTTGTTGAAAAGGACGTGGGACACGGGGGCCATGCCCATAGGGGCACCGGGGTGACCGGAGTTGGCCTTGAAGGTGGCATCAACCTAGAGGAGGATTAGCTTCAAAGTTGACTAAGAGTGATAGTTCTGATAGATATGCCCACTCCGCAATCCGTAGCTAGTAAAACAAGGAGCTCCGAGGAGATAGCAGCTACAAAAAGCCGATCCTCAGTGTGGGAGACTGTGCTCCGCGGAGTCCCCGTGATACCAGGGATGGCCTTCCGGTGCCGGAGCTCTAGAGAAGCTCTCCGTCACACCGGAATCGGATGGGAGTGGAATAGAAGCAAAGAGAATGGGAGCAAGAGTTGCATACCGCGAGAGTGCGGATGGTGTTGATGGCCAATTGGTCCACGTCGTTGTAACCCATGATTGCTGTGTCTAGAGAAGGAGTTGAAAGGTTAGAGGGAGGTTGAATGGGGGGCAGTGAAAGTTGTTGGGGAAGAAATGAGGGGAGGGGCCATACTATTTAAATCCAACCAAGTTCTTGTTTTTTACTTCTAGTGGGATCTGAGCGGGATGATCCAACAAACAATCAACACAAATGGGAAGACCACCACGAGATGAAGAGGGGAAAAGATGACTGAGAGAGAAGAAGAAGAAGGAGCAGGAGAGAGAGAAGAGAGAAGGAGAAGAAAGGATGACAAGGAAGGGGGAATGGGCGAGGAAAAGCGAGCCAGCCAGGCGGGCGGAGTGGGATGGGAAGCAGCGACCAGCAACGAGAGGGTGAGAAAGGGAAGGTGGGGGGGCAATGATGTCTGTGGTGGGGCACCAACTCTTTCACCGGCTGCTCGGAGGGGGTTACAACTCGCTGGCCACGGCTATTCTTTTCTACTCCTTCGTTTCTTGGTCGGCTATTGCCAGGCAATTGACTGACTTTGGGCGGTACCTTGATCTAAAGCTCGAGGATGTGAACGGAATATGATGTTGGCATGGGGATTGGGGGAAGCTGTCGAGGTCCTCAAGGTAGTATACTTGATGATGATGTTATGCACCATGTGCCCCTCCCCCGCTGCCTCAGGCAAGCTGCGGTCCCTCCGGAATTCAATGCAACCTTTCCAGCTCTCAACAGAAGTACTGTCAAGCTACAGAGAACAATTTTTGATATTGTTAGCCTATCTATATTAGACTAGTAAATTGACGAAGCGTAGCAAGAGCTCGGGTTTGTTCGCTATTATCCAGTCTGCTGCCAGTTATACGAGAGGCCTGGAAGTATCCCTCCGAAACGCCACCAGGAAGCTCCCCCCTCCCTCTCACAACCATTACATACTTACATGATAATTGCAGGGACAGAGTGCATTGATACTTCCCACTTTCCTCCCCTCAGCCAATTGTCTAGATAATAACACGTCTTACCTGTCATATCGAACGACGCAGATCTCTGAGTTGGCCCTACAACTCAAATAACATGCTCAATTTCTACCAAATAACTCCCCCGCCGGCCATTGACCTTACCTCTACTACTAGTTTCTATAGCAATAGTAATCAACCACCAATTTTCAAGCCAGAAATGACAGAATTAGCGGTCCTTCCCCAACTCAGCAATTCTCCGAACATTATTCAGACAAACGAGCCCCATTAGTAACCCCGTGTGTTTCTGTCCGCTGGGTCCCGGAGGACGCTGCTCCGCCAACGGGGGATAAGGCAGGCAGGCACTCACTCCGCTTTTCTTTTCCTTCCTACGCTTTACGGAGTCCGGATTCCAGCCCCAGTCTCCATCAATAACCACAACCACCACATTGTATCTAGTCTAGCTTTCGGAGCACATATCTCCTAACTGACTATTTAGCAAGTCAAATGATTGATTATGAAGCAACAACGCGCGGCAATTATCGATCACGCATCGCAGCAGAAATTTTCTTCTCTTTGCTTTGCTTTCGGAGGTGTGCATTTCCGATGCCCTTTCCATCCCAGGCAGGTCAGTAGGTGTGTTACAGTAAAACAGTCAAGGAAGGCATAGCGATGACTATTTCACTGTGGTAAGTAGTTAGTAAGTAGTAGGCCCATGTCAGTTCTTGTTGCAACTAGAAAATTATCTCATGCAGCTAGAGATGTGCAGTCGCCGACTGAAACGTTGTTACTTATTTCCGGGGCGTACTTCGACTACAAGGTGGTTCTAGCTAGCTAAGCTAATTAGCTTGCAAGGTTCATGGCCGCTCAGATCGAACGGCTTCCCTAATTTGTCTAATCCGCGTGCCGTTCGGGGTATGCGCTCGGGACTTTTGGCTCGGATGGATGGGGCTGTGAGAGGCATGTGTGAATACTTTAGTAGTGGTAGGCTCGCTCTGCTCGGTCGTTGCAGTCAGAATGCATCTGATTCGAAGCGGGCAAGAAATCCTACTATGCAGGAGCACTTTACTGCTATGCGCTGCCCTACAAGCATGTGAGGGATGGCCATACTCTGTCTTGGCAGGTGCATGTGATTTGATTTATGTGAGTCTCAACTACAACTGACTATCTGGTAACCTGGCTGGGAGAGCAAGCACTGGCTAGCATCGTCTAAAGCCTGGACTCAGAGGGGGGCAGTAAACATCATTTGAACTGAAAGCAAGAGGTGACAGTCATCCGATTTACAAGAATATGATTACTAAAGACAGACATACTTGAAAATCCATCATTCACAATATATACTCAAACATTATAGTGACAAGGGGACATGACATGACCCCCGACACACACTCTTGTAAGTGCCGAATGGAAACCGAGACTCCCTGCACCGACCAGGTATCACAAACGAAACGTATCGGAAGAAACAAAAAGAAAAGAAAAAACATAGAAGTCCTCTCGCTCCACTCCTACAATCCCGAAAACAAATGAAACTCCATCGACACCCTAAGGTCATTGCGTTCATGAGAAATACTGGTAGTCCCAAGCTTTATAGCTCAGACAGCCAGTCGTCGATCCCAGCCGTTAATCAGCCCAAATTCGTCCACTTCGTCTTCCACCGCTGGGATCATGACATTCCGGAACGAACCCAAGAAATTGGCCTGCTCTTCCGGCGACAGCCGCATGTCGTTGTATGGCACTCCGTCTTCCGCACTGCCTTCATCAGAGTAGCTGAGGACACTCTGTGCCGGGAGGTCCTGATTGGCTGGCACGTCGCTATTGCTACTTGCTGACCATGCCTCGGGAGACAACCCTTGCAGCTCGGCTTGTGGCGCTGATAACGGTGCTACCATGGGATCCCCCTTGTGGGCGAACTCGGCAGTGAGGGAAGCGAAGGGACCGCTGTCCTCACCACACTCCCTTCCTCCGTAGATCCCGGTGAAGATGTTCGAATAGCCGCGGTCCATGTCACTCAGGACTACTTCCCAGTCGGATACCGTGATCGGTCCGCCCGGGTGATCCGAGGGTGCGGAGCTCGAAAGCACATGACTGCTATCGTACGAGCCGGAAGACGAAGGATAGACTGTCTTGTTCGTAGACACATCTAGCGCGTGGAAGTTGTCCGGTGGCAAGCTAGCCCAGCTGGAAGACCTGATGTGGCGTTGAGCGGCATTAGGACTCGCTCCGCAAATAGTGGCCCTCCGAGATGGCGAATCTGGCGTTTCGTGGTGGCTTGAGCCGGTCATTCCACTCAAGCGCGATTTCCACGACTGCAGCTGCTTCTTCGGGGACTTCAGAGGTCTCTGCAAGGGCGGCGACATGTCCTGCGGTTTACCAATCGCCACGTGCTTATTATTCAAGGAAACAAAAACACTGGCCAAAGCGCTGAATTCCGCGGCAGAGGATGACGACTCAGACTCTAGTTGATCGATGACTGCGGTGAGCAACTTTTGGCTCTCCTTGACGAGTTTGCTGTCACGCTTCAGACCGATGCTTTGCCAAAGGAGGCCCAGTCCTGTGGCGAAAACCAGCTCCTTCCGATTGATACTCACAGAGAGGCAGAGACGTCTCTCATCGAGCAATTGAAGAATCTGGACAATATGCTTTGCTGAGTCGGAAACTGTAAGGATAGAAGGCGATCGGACGTGCTCCTCGCCGAAGCAGACCGCAGGGCGGTGGATCAATGAACGAATGAAGTAATAGACGAGGGACTGAGAAGAAGTCAGTAATTGCATGTGATGGTCAGACCTTGCTTTTCAGTTACTTACCAGAAGTGGCGACCGGCTACTGGTAACATTGGTGCTAGGCTTGTCTTGAGAGAACTCAAGGCGGAGGTGAGCAGGCAAGCCCTTCACCCACTCATCCAATTGCTCTGCAGCCGAGCGTAGCTTCGACAGAGAAATATCATACCCTCCGTCAGAGGGATAGATTTCCTCCAAAACCTTGTTCAACACCCGCGAACCGGCGAATAGCGCGATCGCACTCGAGATCCGGGTAGACTCGCCAGGAAGAGTGGGCAAGAAGCCCGTTTCCGTAACATTTTCATCGTCGATATCTTCAGGATACTCAGTCTTGATATCCTCTTCACGCAGCAGGACAGGCAATCCCGTCAAAGCGGCGGTAAATCTGGCAATGGGTTAGAAGAGATACGCTCTCAAAAGGCCTTAGAGAGGGCCCACTCACCGATCGAGAGTATATTGGCACCAGAACACCTTCTTTCGGGTTTCGGCCACAAGCGCATTCGACGAGAAGCGTTTCTGGCTCTGGTGGAGTCTAAGCTGTTGGCTCAGACTGACAGCAAGACCCCGATAGCGTAGGAGGCTTGTGTAATCGCCCTTCGTCATGCAGTACATTTGAGCGAGCACGTAGCATTGCATTGTTGTAATAGAAATGTCACTTGCGATTGATTCGAGGATCGAAGACCAATTGTCTTCGAAAAAGGTGGGGTCCTGATTGGTTCTCGACTGCAAAAGTCCAGTGAATACCCGACCTGGTCTGGCTGGATTAGGGTTAAAGCTTACCATTGAAGCAAGAGCGGCAATTCCGAAGATTAAATTCAGTTGTGCCAAGTCGTGCTTGCTGCCCTGCATAGACTCGGTGCCTGAAAGGTACTGCTCATAAGCTTTGAGGATAGTGGGTCGGTGAACAACCGGATAGAGAGGAGCCCATTCTTGGAAGAAGATGTTGATGAGCTGATCGGATACGAGCCGAGGCGCCGTGCGAATAGCCTGGTCGACACGGGAATGGGAGATGGCCGGGGGAGTAGCCAAAGACTTGATCGCGACATTGGATGGTAATCGGTTTTGCTCTATGAGTCTATTTGTGAAGATATCTAAACAGGGTTAGCCACAGGCTTTCTCTCAAAGACTGCTTCGATTTGATTCGAAGTTTATGTGAAGCGAGTCCCATTATGAGTGCAGGAAAGAACGGTTAAACATACCAACAAAGCCACGAGTACTGGATATTCCTGTACTCTCAGCCGAGGTCGACTCGGTAGGCGGCAACGATGGTGGGATTTGAATTACGCCCTCGTCTACATCGGGGGCGTTGGACCTTGCAGGCGCAGATGGCGACGGCGCTGCAACACTAGGTCTCTGACGCGAGGAAGGGGAGAAAGAATGAATGCGAGAGAGCACATCTATCTTTTCATCCTTTTCGTCCAGCAAGTTCTTGAGATCCCTAACTTCGGACTCCAGGGCGCGCACTCTTTCCTCCAGCGACTCGGTATATCCACGGGGGAAAGCACGGCGACTGAGCTTGTCGCTGGTTTTGCATTCGAAGCCGACATTGGCGCATTGTGTACAACAGGGACGGACGCCGTCGCAACGGATCTTCTTGCTTCTGCAACGATCACAGGCCTGGGCGATACGACTCTGCGAGCCGTTCCCGACCTTGATCACTTTCATCGGGAGAATTCCAGGCATGTTGGCTGGATGCTTTGGCGCATCTGCCTTGGGGACTGGGTCGGATTGGCACCGGACTTTGGGGAGTAATTCGACAGTACACTCGAGGACGTTCAGTACTATAGTTGATGCGAACGCCTTCGGATCACCAGTTAAGACGGGTCTGGAGAACCTATGTGAAACTCTCCGTGTAAGAGGGAAGGTGGAGATGGCGGAGTAGTTTCGAAGTTAAGGTAAGCGGAGGATAATAGCGGGGTTGAAGGACTTTTGAAAGGGAGGAAAAGGTGAAAAGCGAGAGAGAGTGTGTGGTGGCGGCAAGATGGGACGTAAGACGTGAGTGAGGATGGAGGAGAGGACCGACGGGGCAGAAGAAGAGCGACCAGAAGCAGCAACTTTTCGATGTAAGTACGGCGAAGGTATCAGGCCTGGTAACCAATGTTCCGCGGTGCGGCCTGAGGACTGAACCGGCTCAAAAGGGGGGCTGGTGGGGCTGCTCATTGTGGGTCATGCGTTGGGATACCAGCCAATCCGCGTTGTGGACTTGCTCATTCGCTCAGCCGACAGTCGGCGGGCTTCCAAAAGTTGACTGGAATCTTTGGAAGGTTTCGTGGGTTGGAGTAATACCGGTATGGTAAGTCTGGAGCCGCTGAGGTTATTCACACTGAGTGAACTCTCTCCCCCCCGTTCCTCGGCACTTGTCGGTTGACAGCAGCTGATTCAGACTGTGTAACCACCTACGGGAAGAACAGCACATACTATCAAGAGACACACAGCACTGGTTTCACCCTCGGCTTACATTGCATGATTTGCCATTCCATCTACTACTCTGCGTAGTAGTAGTTGGTATCTGTCTACCTAGCTACGCGGGTAAATACTAGATATGACTAGCTGGGCCGAGGCGGAGTATTGCATCGGAGAACGAGGAGTACTTATGTGTTCAGTAGAGGATACGTAGTATCCAATAGGTAACAACCGCATTAATTTATTTATGAACTAGTAGTAGATAGTAAGTAGTTTGTAAATGACGCCCTTTCCATCGGCATCATTCTCCTCGCTGTCAGCTTATCAGAAAAGAAAAAAAGTTGGCACTGACAGCCCCTGGCACCCGCGTCCACGCGTCGGCACAGGCGGCGGCAGGAACAACTTCCACCAAAGGCAAGTCCACAGCAGACCTGCTCCGACCAGCGCCGGCCACTAATGTATGATTTATGGTACCGGTGCATCAAGGCCTCTTTCCACCGGAGATTCCTACATTAAGTCTCCTTACAGGGGTGCCAAAATGGCAAGTGATTGGCGAGCCAAAAGACACGCAACCAGTCAGATACTATGATCAAGGATGGTTCTCGTATTATCAAGGTTGTCCGTCCCGTCTATCACCATATCTAATCATATCGTCACGGCTGGTTGCCAAGGCCCATGGTTGCAATCATTTCCCCCTCCAAGCACGGATTATCGGGGTGAGTATGGAGAATGCACGATGACTAGTATGTAGATGAGCCAGGCAAAACCGACACTAGCAGAACGCAAGTGCGGTCCGGCTCTTGAAGATCACAGCATTCCGAGCCAGCAAAGCTTTGCCGGTTTCCACCGGGCTCGCGGTCCGACAAATGTGGGAGTGGATGGGGACCCGATGGAGATCAATCTTGCCAACTGTCCAGACCATCAGACTCTAATATTACCACTTCTCTACCGTGGTTGGACAGCAAACACCTCCTCCTCCCCGCGATTCGGAACCCAACTGGCACCCGGACGCTTGATTTACCAAGTGACATTGTGAATGGAGGCAATTCAGACACAGGTTACGTATTCATCCACAAGCGATCTTCAGTTCTCAGTTTTCTCCTTTCTTTTCATTTCTGCGCTTCTGAGAAAAGACAGATTGACTATGATGCCGATGATGAATTTTTCTCATGCAACTGCAACGCAGATCTGTGCTCTCACCATTGTCTCCAATGGAAAACCAAACCTGGCCTCCAATTCCAGCCCAACAAGGGTGGGGAATCCGAGCGTTTGCCGAACCATTCCCGTTTGAGTCAGGGCCTCGTCCCCTGGGTCTGAATATGAACTGCCTGATGCGGTGTCGCCACTGATCTCCCCCCGGCGTTCGCGGCTGGAAGATTGCGGAGAGTAAGCGCTTCTGATTCTGGATTCTGGATTATTATGCTCGTATTCCCATTGATCGAATGGCACGAGGCCTGATCGGGATCGAGCCTGCTTATTCCCAGTGGAGAAACGCCTAGAGGATTCAATATCACTCATATAAAGGTCTTCAGCTGCAATTTTCTTTTCTTCTTTCTAATTACTTTTTTTTTATCTCGCCCTGCCCGGCGGGGATATCCGACAACTTATCAGCGACTAGTGGTTATCATTCATTGATATAATATGTCCTGGGTACTCCGAGCGCTTTTTTTTCGATTATGTTGACCGTGGCTCGGTGAAAGTTGGTCGTGCGCCGAGCGTTTGCCGAGAAAACGCAGAGGTGGAGGCGGAAATTCATGGACCATCAATGACTGAAGCCTGGAAGGGGGATTTGATTCGCCCACTGTTATTGTCCCAGATATTTTAAAAATGGGTGCGATGAATACCTGAGGCAAGACCATTTTTGACTAGTCAGCTCTGCTCTGGGGCCAGTTAATCAACCGGTCTGGCATTCACATTGGTCGATAGTTCGGCCTTCTGCAACTATCATGCATATCTCACTCAATGAATCCTCCCAGGGCCAGAAGGCTGGCTGGCTGACTGGCTGGCTGGACCACCTTCTCTTTAGCCAGGGTCTCCTGGCCTCTAGCAGTCGATCATGGCGGACCGTAGCTGTAGCGTGCATCAATCTGGCCCCACGAGCTGAGATCCAACCTCACATCCCTCTGTAACTAGTATGTACCTAGTATGTACTTGAGAACTTCTTACGTGAGTACTCCTACCATTAAACCCAAAGCACGCAAAAATTATCCGATCGATGTCTAGTTGGATACCACAGGGCTGCAGCACCGAATCCCTCAGGTGAACTTATTGTATTATCTTACCAACACACCAACTCAACCATCTCAGTCAGTACTAGACATAGTAGACACCCACCTCAGCGACATCGGCGCCCCCCCAAACCTAACTCTACTTACCACCAATAATTACCAATCAGTATCTCAGCTGAAGCAACCCTTGGCAACCCCAACTATGAATCACCGCAAACGTCATCAATACAGCAAATCCCATAATTACTGTGTTAAACCCCCGATTTGGTCCAACTAACTCATTTAGAATAAATAGTCTCGTGCCAATCCTTCAGCAAGTCCCCTCCTCTCACTAGTTACCAAATGGCATTTGCCCAGAAATCGTATTAGAGTTTACCAAATCCTTCTCTCGTCAGTTCTTCCAACCAACCGCCGCTCTCGTTTGGAAGGATCGCTTACCCCGCGGTGGGTAAGACACTCAAACTCAGATCTTCCGGGGGGAGCGCTTGGAATACTGGTACCTCCACGTTTTTGTGGCCATGGTTAGGTTTATTTTACTGTTGTTACGGGTTGGGTATTAAGTGGGTTTGATACGAGATTACTTAAACTATAACCAGTTACTACATAGGACTTTGATGAAGGATCGGCATGCATGGGGTTGGGTTGTCTTTTGTCTGGTTTAAGTGGTTGGTTGCAGGTAGATAGAGGGGGGATGTACTGAAAAGTCAGTTAGTCAGAGACTATTCTAGTTAATACTCGTTTAGTTATCGACTAATTAGGGTCGGATGACGGATGGTGGGATTTTTTTGGTTTGGCTAGATTGTTTCATAGCTATAGTGGGTTCGAGATGTCTAACTAGCTAGACTAGATGTAAGCAAGTGGGTGTTACTTTTAAGATCGTAGTTCACTTTCAAGAGAAATCCTCTTCGATGTCCCCTGATTGTTGCGTCAGGTAGGCGCTGACTGCGGGGCTTGACATGAGAGTTTCCCGCTGTTGTTTGAAGGATCGACAATTAGTATCTTTTGGTTATGTTTGATATTTTGTGTGGGGTTAACGATATGGGGTAAGGGGGTAGCGAACGGGGAGAGACGGGACTATCACACAACGCACCTGGTTAACGAGGTCCTCGATTGCCTGTTCCATAAGCTTGGACTCCAGCTCTCGTAACCTTAAGATTGTCTGAAACACATACGGGTCGAAAACAGCACGCATGTCTTCGTTCTCGCGGATCTCACTAATCATCATGTCGGTTTGGCGGAGGACGAAGAATTGGGTCTCCAGTCGCTCGAGGATGAGCACCGCCGCACGAAGCTGGTAGATATCCCAACGGGGATCTGCGGCTAGGAGGTCCCTGAGACAGCCGGGGTCGCTCACTTCTTGCCCGTTCCAAGTGGCTTTAAGTTCCCTGCCGCCGTCGTTGGTTTGAAGAACGTTGAAGTCCAGCCCGTCCTCCTCGTTTACGCATGCCCACCAGATGATGGGGCTGTCCCAGGTTGTTGCTGCGACTGTTTCTGAGCTGTCGGGGGAAGTAGCTAATATCTTGACTCCTGGTGTATCTTTGCAGAATGCTTTCTTTGCTATCTTCAAGGGATCGTCATCTGGGATGTCCAGGTCAAGGAAGATCTGCTTTGCGTCCGTGGTATGCTCGTCGAGGAATCCATATGAGAAGATCAATTCTGAGGCAGACTTTTCGTCGCCATACCTTTATACCATCAGCTTGAGCAGATCCAACCAACAAGTAGTAGTCAATATAAATACTTACGAGATCGTAACCTCCTCATCAGCCCGCAAGCTCCGTCCCTCCCGCAGCTGCAACACAGCATTCCCGTCGGCATCCTCGTCATACAACGCCTTGACTGTCCCCTCAGATGCATGATTTGCCATATCAATACACGGAACCATTGCATGTCCATGCCGAGGCAGATCTACCATGCGTGACCGGTACAATGCATCGACATATTTCCAATCGTTGAACGTCAGCTTCCCCGTATCCTCGTCCCACCAATACTTCTCACACCAGTCCAAGCCCTCTGTACTTCGACGCAGGTGTTCGAATTCTTTCTCCAAAGAGGCAATCTTCGCATGCACAGCCAACCTCAACGAGGACCCGCGCAAAAGCTCCAGCTCCTCTTCACTATAAAAAGTAGGTAAAGATATAGCAGGCGGCATGTACTTCATATATTCGGTCCAAGGGCTCGATAGTCCAATCTGATGCCGCTCACTCGCATAATCTGGGCTAGAGTGCGTGAGTTGGACGAGAAGGAAGATTAATATGGCGCCCCTGGCTGTCTGTACATATCAGTATGGGAATAGCCCGAGTTCATCCGTCTCTCATAGAAGCCATAAACATGGTGTCTGCTAGGTCGAGATCGGAGTACAATGAGGAAATAGACCTACTCTTCCGAAGTCCCCGACAGCCTCTAATACCTCGCGGAGTTGTCTATCCGATTTGGAATATTCTTCAACAAAATCAAATGACAGTACCAAATCGGTCGGCACTCGTAGAAGTACCTCCGGCTCTACCTCACTCCCCTCTGCATTTCCGGTAGATTTCACCTCAGTTCCAACAATTGCAGACCCCTTGTCGGTTCCATCATCTGCTTGCAATTTGCGGAAAGCGATACCGTTGACGGAGACTCCGTTGAGCTTGATCCAGGAGGGAAGCGTCTCGATCGGATAATATTCGTGTTTCATCTTGCCAAGCTTCAGTTACTGGGTGTTACTTTTATCGTAGCAATTGCATACGAACACTATAAAGCGTGCATGCTGCAGCTGCGACGTACAGGTCAGGTGTTTGTTGTCCTTATCGATAAGAAGGCGGAGAGCTAGCCATGTGCCCTAAGCCCTATCCGTGACCGTTGATGGCAGCCGGGGTACATTGCGGCATGTAGACGTCATACAAAAGCTATCGAGCCGGATTCTCCAGGCGAAATCGACCGGACCTTAGCTGGTATTAATTCAGACTGCGGGGATGTTCTTCTGACTTGGTTAAGTCAGATAAGTTGTTATTATTGCTATACCTGAAGACATAGTGCTACGTCAATAAATAACCACTTTTGCTACAAGGTCTACTAGCTGCTTCAGTACTACAACCACGAACATGCCTGCCAATACACGCATTCAGTCTTCGGCTTCAAAGCTTCATAATCTGCTCGTGCCCCGGCCTCCAACTCCGTGTCTGCTTCCACTGCGCTCTATCTGGCAGCCGGCTGCGATCCATACCCCAAGAAGCGTGCAAGCACGCCTAAACAGCGGCCTAGGCAAAGACTGGAAGGGTACTGGGGCGGAGGATCATGCAGTTGATCGAACACAGAAGAATGATACCACGGACCCAACAACAGATGCATCAGCTTCTGTTATGCAGGACAGGAAGGAGGGCGAGGGTAACGACGCAAAACCTCAGGGAGCAACAGAAAAGGGAGGAAGCCAGCATGGGAAGAAGGCGAAGCAGGAACATCCGAAGGCACCGGAGCCGATCATTGGGATGAACGATGAGAGAGGTCATGTAAGTTTAATACGAATACTATGCAAGCCTATCAATTTACTATAAAGTTCGCAAAGGTCAGTTTCTTGAGACAAGAACGGCTAACTGGTTCTGCTCTGATAGAAGGGTCACTAAGCCCAGGGTTATTCATTGGTAATCGAAAAGCTCAAAGCGGTCTATATGGGATTGAATGAGGCTAATCTTGGAGCTATATGATCTCAGTACTTGTTTCATTATCATGTTGACTGTACATAAAATCTTGAATAGCAGGATCTATCGGCCAGGTTTGAACGACAGCACCTAAAAATAGAAAGGTTAGCTTTGGCGCAAGCAAATGAATTTGAGCAGGAGATCCTACATCATGCTTTCCTACTTCCACTATTTCGTCCTCTGAAACACGGATGCCACCGACTCCTTCAATGTAGGAAATTGGTACATCGCCCATCACCTTGCGAGCAACGTCGCCCACAGTGGTATTCCTGCTCGGCGTCAGAAGGTCCAGTTGGTGTCAGTATTATCCGGGCGACTCACTTTCCAACAAGAACGCAATCACGGAACACGGCCGTTCCAGCACCAGAAGAAAAAGTGGAGATGTTGCGAACGGGGAAGACCGGCACAAGTCCTAGCAGTTCTGCAGCACGTGAGAGACACTGGACAACCCCTGTAGAGCCGAAACGGTAAAGCACCATGTCTTTCAAATTCTCGACGCGCCTATATGCATGTTAGCATGACCCCACTAGAAGGGCGTATATAATGTCTTCGTACTGTGTAAGCTTCTCGTCCATCTCCTTGAGGCCGCCTCCATCGGGGTCACCCATTTCGATAAGATCCTCTCTCGTATCCAAGAACTCACTTCCTTCAACGTACTTAATGTATCCCTGCTTTGCTAGCCTCCGGAGGAAAACTTCTGAAATCGCGGAGCAGAGTACAATTGTTTGAGGATCTTGCATTTTAGCGATTTTGCTAATGTTCTAAGCTCACCATGTCAGTGACGACAGCAACAGGTGACTTGAGAGACATATGACCAACCTTGTCTGCATCCGGATGATCGATCTTGTTCAGGGCAAAGACCGTCGGGAACTTCTCTGCGATAAATGCTTCAACAACCTTCTCGATAGTTTCATCAGACCATTCCTCGAGAGGCTCCTTGAGCCCCATACGATCCAGGCATCGAGCAACAATCGCACTTGTACCTCCGTAACCGGAAAACTGGGCTTGCAAGGTGTCCACGGCCGTAGATTCTTATACTGATTAGTACGGATAGATCTTGCTGGCTCATTATGTCACCAAACTCACTGACTGCCATGTGCCTCCTCTTGATGGAACCCCTGCACAGCATTAGCCCTGGTTATGTAGCTCCTGATGTGCAAGCATACCATTTCTGCATGAGATTTCCCAGAACCCAGCGTACAATTTCTGACCTCAGCCATTCGATATCTTGTGAAGGGTCGTATCCTCGTGTAGCTTTGCCTGTATTTTTAGAGAGCGACATCAGTGATGTTGTCCCGAGATAATTCCACATATTGATATTCGAGACCTTCTGCATCGGTGGTTCCACTAACGTCCACAACGTGGATCAAAGCATCGGCGTGACGCAGGTCATCCAGGAACTTGTTACCCAAACCACGTCCTTGGTGGGCACCTGGTACAAGACCTGCGACATCCAGAAGTTCAATCGGAACAGAGCGCCGTCCCTCCACACATCCTCCGTAGTTCGGCTTGCACTTATCGGAAACATTGAATCGTTGGCAGGCGCATTCTATCTGGAGGTAGCCAATGGCACGCTGAGGGTCAATGGTAGTGAAACTGTGGTTCGCCAGTCAGCGATGAACGGTCCATTACGGCGTCCGAAGGGCGATATGGATATCGGTGGAGGACGATAACGGCAGTAGGATTAAACATACGGGAAATTTCCTGGATGCGAAACAAGCCATGAGTTTGTGCTCCGACACAATTCAAAGCGCAGAGCTTATTTAGCTTACCGACTTTGGAAGAGGCGTCTGTCAGACTATTTAATGTGGTCGACTTTCCGCTGGATGGCTACATGCCCCTCATTTCGATCAGCGGCGTCTCGTATGAGGGGTAGAAGAATCCCAGACCTTTCCAACCAGCCCAATTAACGGATCTCTGGGCATCTTACAAAGCGCGCAGCAATTCTAAGGTATATGAGCAAGACAAGAATGACTTAAAGGAAAATAATTTCGATCTGAGCGCTGGAGCGTTGGGGAAATCATTTCTGCATCAGCGGGGAGACAATCAATTTCTGCCGTCCTCCCTAGGAAGGCGGTCTGAGGCTGCTGTTCCCGATCGAGACCCCGATTGTCCCTGACTTTGGGCAAGATCTCCTCGATCAGATTTGGTTCTCAGGCATTGACAATGGCATATTTGACACTCCTAACGATGCTTGGAGCTGCCACGGAATTTGGTAGTTATATCCTACATATGTGGGGGTGCAATAGCCTACGTGTTGTGACAAACGTCGCTTTCCGTCCTCAGATTGGCAGTCGCCCTTCATAGTATCACCTTTCTGAAACAGACGGAGACCAAGCCTAAGATCACATATATATATATGACTCTTAATGCCGATATGGGAAAGCCTGTCACTCTGAGTAAGATGCTGACGACTCGCTCTCACTGGATTAGACTAGCCTAATGTCTAAGCCCAACATCACCTACATCAAGCAGAGAGATGTACCACGAGTATAGGCGCGATTTGAGTCTCGGCTGAGATGTGTTTGCATCATATTCGGGGAGCAGTTCTCCGTATTGGATCCAGTGCTGTATAGCAATTTCATGCCTCTTCGAAAGATTTATGCATCAGTATTGCTCGAGAATCGTTGGACGCCGAGGTGGTACGTCACTAGTTCGATCGGGGAAGATGTCTGCTTAGCATGTATACTCATCTCAGTGAGCATTGACCTCTATCAGGGCTGCATGGTGATGTTCCTGTGTTTTTCTATCTTCAGTATCATATCTGAGATGGCATCATTGGTATGCTGATCCCATGCACCTAAGGCTTGGCTTAGAACGGCTCCTGTCACCTCACCGCGGCGACAATAGAGATGAGTATGTAACAAATATGGGTCAAGGAAGTTAGAGGAATGAGAAGGAATGATAGATTCCAAGTACACAAAACCAGAGACCTGCTATGCGGAGAACCGTCGTTATTGCCATCATCGATCAGCCAACTCCCACGGCTTCAGGGGACGCTGTTTCACCGTCAACCGCTGATATTGCCTCATCCAATTGAACGATTTCCAGATATTACTTGTCTTATTCGCTCATAGTCCCCATAAGTGAGTGGACACTGTAGCCCCAGTGGTGAAGGGGTCAATGATGCTGGGTTGGTTGCAAGGCGAACCAAGGTGTGGCCGGCTTGTATGACGTCGTCGCGGCCAACGTCACCAGCCACGCCCATCGGTTTTTGTCCACTGCAACGATATATTAAAGGTACATTGATCCCTTCAAAATAACTTTAACAATCAATCAACTCAACATCCATCTTCAGAAACAATCTCATCTCTTTCAAACCACAACTCTCTACTACCACACCGTCTTTCTCACACACAACACAACTTCATTCAAAATGTCCGAACAGACTTTCCACACCACCACCCAGGACATCCGCAAGCCTGAGTCTCATGTCTCCCAGGCCCATGATGGCAAAACCCCCAAGAACTCTAACGTCTCCGCCATGAAGGTGATTTTCCACCTTGCCTATTATATCCATGACATATACTAATAATGAACTTTAGTCCATCATCGACCAGAACACCGACAAGCAGGCTCAGATCGATAAGGCCCAGTCCAACCTGCCATTGCCTGAAGACCCCCCTCGTGCTAGCGACTGGAACTCTATGGACCAGAGAACTGTCAACGTCGGTTCGGGTGGTCGCGAAGGACCCGTTTCGGGCGAGAACAACAGCGCCTTGAGAGAACCCGCAACTGCAAGCAGCAGTGTTCGGGTATCTGGGGAAGAATACCACACCAACACGCAACCCATGAGTGGCGTTGGACGCCAGGGCAAGGATAACCTTGAAGGTCTGCCCCGGGATGCTCTTTACCGGTGATTTGATATCATAATTCATGTTGGGGGGACGTATTGACTACGGCCTATTTTATGTGTACTTTATGACTTGAGCATTTAATGAACAAAATGAATGTCCTATAACCACTACTATTTACTACTATCCTTTGGCCGTAATGCACTTTCACTATTCAGAGTAGTGGTATACTAGTAATACCAACGTAGATTGCTGTTTGAAATAAGTCCGCTTTCCTTGTACGCTGGTATAGATATATCTGCCCGCGTGGGAGCTGATAGAAGCATGAGTTAGTTGTGCCTGATTGATCGACTACGTTAGACACTGACCTATACTTGCTATGCAGACTTCCATACATACTATCTCTGCCACTAACTCATCCCCTTGTGTTATGAAAATTATCACTGGGAAACTACTAGTACTACTTAGGATCAAGTAGGCCAAGCAATACAACACAGCCGGTCCAATCGGCTTGCGGATAGAAACCCTAGAGCCCCCTTAAATAGTAAACGGCACATTTATGATACAAGAAACTAGAGACTAGGAACAACTCATGAATCCATCAATATCCCATGCGTTACAAGCAAATAGTTCATAACAAAAGGTGAGTAGAGAACATTCTCTTCATGCACCCAACCACCATGACGTCATACCAGCAGCATCACCAAGAAGCCAGCAAAGCATCCAAAATCCCAATCTACGCAATAGAGAGAACAAAAACATCATAGCACAACCATAGAAAGTCTCATATCCAATTTGTCTACCGGAAAGGGCAATCAAGCATGTGGATGGACCCGACCGACGTTGTCTGGGCCCCCAAGGGCAACACCGTCGGGTAACTACATATGGCAAAGGGGGTGGAGAGGAAAGGGGGGGCGGGATTCTAGACGGCGGGTTCCCCCTGCAGCAGCAACAACAACAGACCTGAAATTCCTGACTTGCTGTCTCTCTTTCGATCGGTAGATGGTAAGTCGATTGACGCCACAACTGCGAGCAGATACTGCTCGTTGACGTACCTGTTCGCTTGTTCTCTGTCGAATTCGGTGGGCTCGTAGTAATGTCAGTATGACATCATGCGCTGGGAGAACTCAAGCAGCTTGACGCCATCCGTTCCATTTGCTCACTCATCGTAGACTATATAGATGGCTTGTCTTTGCAGAATGTTGAATGGGATAGCAGATTAAATTCTATCAGTCTAACAATTGACAACTAGACAATTCGAGTAATCCAATCCTCTTAACGCTACTTTTTCCTATACGTCCTATATCACATATAACAACCAACATCACCATGGATCTCCAAGGACAGCCCATTCCCCCTGGCCAGAGAAGCACCAAGGTATGTTATTTTCTCAACATCCCCCAGATTACAATCAAGGCAGGAGAAAACTGACTTCGACAAAGGTCACTTCCGACCCCGAACGCAGAAACAACCCCATCCAGGAGCCTTCTGGCCCCATTACCAACGACTCCCTGGCCGCCGAGTCAGCCACTCAGGGCGGCGCTTTCTCTCAGAACCGCGGAGCCCAGCCCATGGGCGTTTCCGCAGGTCAATCGACCGTCCGTACCACCGACACCAGTGCTGCCACTAAGCTCGACTCCAACGCCGACACCCAGGATAGGTATCCCGAGGGTCTAGGCGGACAGGGCAACTACCCTGGCGCTCACGTTTCCGAGTCCGGCTATGTTGGTGGTCCCACTGCTGCTCAGAAGGAACTTGGTATCGGTCAGGGCCAGTACCCTGCTTCCCAGAAGCTGTCTCAGCAGCAACAGTCATCTGGAGGAGGAAGAAGCGGTGGTGCTAGCTACTCCCAGCAACAGCAGCCCGCTCCCGCTAGTGGCAGCGGCTACCGCAGCCAGCACAATGCTGGAGCGGCGCCATCCTACGTTCATGATGTGACTGGTCGCTTGGGTGATAGCAAGCCCAAGGGTGCCAACTTGAAGGAGGGAGATATCCCTGATGATGCGCCGAACGCTAGCTACACTACTGATATTGGTAGTGAGAATGACCCTGGTCGGTTGGCGCAGGGTGGCTTCCAGCGTAAGACTGCAGAGAGTGGTCCTGCCGGTACCAATGCTGGTAGACAGAAGGGTGTGGATAACCAGCACCCGTACCAGGTTTTGCAGTCTGACCAGAGGGCTTGATTTGCACCATTGATGGATGATGTTATGAAAAGCAAAGCGCGTTTAATATTTATGAATCTTCTCCATATGTAATGTTTTGGGGGTTTGGAAGGAATGGACTTATTCTTTGGGAAGGACTGTGTCCTTCTTCCATGTATTAGTGTATCTATCTAGATGATATGAACAATCAGAGACTGACCCGATCATTGATCATCTCTTCTGCCTCGTAACGTCAATGTAGCTCAACGTCTGCCATGATGCTCGTGTTGCTGTAGTGGAGAATGAGAAAATGTTAATTTGCTAAGAGACGATATTGGTATCATATAGCCGGCCTCTGACCCTGAATTGCTATACACCCGTATTAGTTTTATACATTGTCTTCGCCTGTGCTGATTTAGGCTGGAGGTAGAAACGCTGCGAAAAGCACGCCCTGCACAGCAGCGTATATCACCATGTACTGAACAATTATCTGCCAATAACCATTCGCACCATTGGTCCTTTCCTCCAGCTGCCGCTTCGATGCAGATGAGGGACCAATGTACCTGTTCATAATCAAAGTCGCTGTCCATATATACCACACAGGATAACCTGAGGCTAATCGTGTGATAATCTGCACATGATTGCAGAAAAAAACCATGACAGCAAGGGTAATCTGAGGAGCCGCTAGGCTGCGCAATAGACGGCCTGTCAGTTTGCCGTTCGGGAACTCTTGCTGCGCTGTATTTGTGGGCATTTTCTTTCGGCTGTATCCCACACCGAGAGTCCAGAAAGCAGAGCACACCAAGATGGCCAACATTGGACTAGCCAATGCGAATAACGGCACGTTGGACAAGGTCCAATAACGAAGAAAGCCATTGTCCCTGCATGCGTCAGCGAAGAATTGCCGATGGCCGGAAAAGGCACATACCAGTAATGGTCTTGTACGAAGCTGTAAATACTGGGAAGAGTTCGATGGCACCATTCTCTTGACGAGTCTTCGTTGGTGGCAGTGTGTGTACTACAGAACTGTTGGTAGGCAACATATTGCGGTAATACAAACCCAACCCCGGTGCAGATACCTCCGCAACCGACCGCGACCAGGCGGCGTAACTTGGCAAAGCTGAAAGCCTGCGTTAACGAATACAAGACCCGACATGCTTCCTCGAGAAGGAGGATGCCATTGAGCAGACCATTTCCACGAACAGCAGTGGATAAGCCGTACAGGATACCCGCAAGCACTAGAAAACTATCTTTGATGCTGGTGGAGATGCCGCGGGCACCAAAACTTTGAGCAAAAAGAAGAGTGCCTGTGAAGCTTAAGAGAGAATAAGTGCTCTCCGTGCAGGGGGCTGATAGGAAAAGTCCAGCAGGTGAAATAATGTGCAAGCATGATGCGATAAAAGCCAGCTTGCGTCCTTGGGTCCCAGGAAATATAGTGCATGCCAGATGATATAGAACTACCACCGAGGTGGCATGAGCTGCGTGGGAAATGGCGATACCCAGTATACTCTCTTTGAATTCATACGGGAGAGCCCCTGTATGTGCAAGGCCTAGTAGAACGATTAGCCCAGAAAAAATGGGACTTAGGTAGTGTATGAAAGACGCCTACCACTGGCCAACAGATTAATGAACTTGGAGAACGCATAACTGAACGCCCATTCTTGCTCGAAGAGATGGCCACGTCTGGCCGCCTCATTGAAATAGATGGAATCCCATCTCGTCAGCTTGGTAGATATGCGCCTCAAGATGGATGGTACAAGCCCTTTTATTTCATCGGTGTTCCTGTGCCAGGGGAATAAAGTCGTAGAGGTGTCGTACCCGGACCCGGGAGTCAAGATGGCCAGGAGAAGCAATGAGGCCTTCCAGAGAAGAAAGACGGAAAATAAAGACCGATAGGGATGACAGATGGAGCTTCGTGTAAGCCACGACATGTTCCACTAACTATCTCGCTTTATCCCAGTTCGTTTTCATTGCTGGTCATAGAAGGTTGAACTCCTCGAGGTGGTTGGTTGCATGTTCCATTCACTCCGTATTGGCTTTCCTCCCGAGTTAAGGCGCACGCTAAGCCGCCTTGGGCATTTCTTCCGTATCGAAAGATCCATTAAGGCGACGATATCTTGGACACAGAAATGAGCAACTTTCACTCAGCATTGACAGCCTCGAATCCTGTTGATATTATAATTCCGGCTCTCTCGCTTACACCTCGTTTCGTTCTTTACCTTTCCGTATCCACCGCAATGGAAGAGGCAAGAATGGTCGCCTTAACGAAACGCTCTGTACACTTAAAATAGCTTACGAAGGCTCTGGTCAAGATTGGGATTTTTTATTGGATACTTCCTGCCTTTTTTCATACACCATGTGAAAACGCCGGATTTGCAACGGACACATCATAAAAGATCAACCCAATGAACACGTCCCAAAGGCCAGACCCCGAAGACATGCACTGCCTTGTCAGACAACAAAGTGGAACTGTACAGCCATAGCAGCAAAGTGACAAGACATATAAAGAAGCCGTATAAATTAGAAAGGAAAACAACAGAGCAAAGGAAAGGTGGATTCAGAAGTCCAGCTGAAAACTTCACAGGTTCACCTTCTTGGCCTCCTTCTGGGCGAGCTTGGCCAATTCCTCAAACACCTCGGTGAAGTCCTCTCCATCATCCTCACCGTCCTTCTTCTTGCCCTTGGAAGCCGACTTGGGCACGACCATCACAACACTGGTGGGGCGTTTCGTGGCGGCGGAGTTGCCGAGCTCAGCTCGGGATGTGACGAAGACGTAGGGGATACCGTGGTCCTCGCACAGGACAGGGATGTGCGAGATAACGTCCATCGGCGAGATATCGGCGGCGAGAATGACGACACCGTTGGGAACACCGATGCTGGCATTGGCAGCGGGGATGGGCGACTTGCGGAGAGCCTTGACAACCTCCTTGACACCGCGCTTCAGGCACTTGTTGACGGCAGCTATTAGAAGTCAATACATTAGCACATATTCATTCGATGATAGATAGATGCGCAGTCAATGCCAAACGGGGCAATCGTAATCTCTCAGGGCCAGAAGCTGAGACCGGATCGAATCCACACTCCATCTCCTTAGGACCCAGACCGAGCGCTCTTAACAAACATCTGGAAAATACAAAAGGAAGTTTCTTACCCTTCTTGACGCTCTTCAGGACCTTCTTGGCAGACTTGTCTTCCACCAGAGGGCTGGCAAAAGGAACAATGGCGCCAACGGGGCGGCTGTCGACGTCCATGTGCTCGGCCTCAGCGCCATTGACAGGAGCCTCAGTGGCAGCCTGGTCAATGCCATCGAGAACCTTAGTAGTGAGCTCCTTCTCGACCGCGTCGGCGAGGGCGACCTTGTCCTTCTTCTCCTTCTTCTCCTTCTTGCTGGTCTTGGAGACGCCGTCCTTCTCCGCGCGCTTCTCCTTCTTCTCGCGCTTGTCCTTCTTCTCGGTCCTTTCCTTAGCCATTTTGAATATTAGACCCACCCAGGGAGTTGAACTGAATCCGGAAGAGGGGGAAAGAGACGAGGAGAATGGCGACGGGCGTGGGGAGGAATAGTCGTCGGTCTCGTCGAAACCCGCAAAAATTCGAAATCCATTTCAAAATTTCGGCGCTAGTCCTTTTTAAGAATCAAAGCTTGCGCGGGCGGTGAGGCGGCTGACTCAGCACGTGCCTATCCGGGATGTCATCGCTCTCTTGTTGTTATCGAAAAACAATGAGGTACTTGCCGGCGCCGGGCCTGATGTTTGCGCCCTCATACTCAGCCTAAGACTGGATTTTTGGGCGATCCGGAATTTCGTTGTGGGATGACTTCTCTGAATGATACCTTCCCGGGAAATCGTGTCGCACGATAGTTGGTATTGCCAGATCAATCCATCGTAAGTCGTCAAGTGCAGTTAGTTTGGCTCAAGGAACCTAATGCGCCTCAGATGAATTCAAGCATCAATTCACGTCCTTCACGGGATACTATGCGCGCAGAATCCCCTTTGTCGCTCCCACCGGCACCAGACGCTTTGCACCAATCGGTTCGCTCAGTTTACCCCTCAAAGCCAGGTAGGTTGATGTTGTCTGTGTCTCAGGCTGCGTGTGCTTTAAGACTAATACTCCTCTAGACACGGAAAAAGAGGAGCTGTTAGTACAGGTGAATACCTTAAAGTATGAGCTAGAGAACTTCAAGCAAGAAAGGGATTTGATGGTCCTACGCCATGAGAAGGAACTACGGGATTTGCAGCTCAAGGCAGATTCGGACTTTCGAAAAGCTCAGGTTTGTCCAGTTCTTCAGCCATTACATGACGTGTATTTACCTGACCATGTTTCTGTCCCATAGGCCGCAGAGAGTAACAGCCACCGGGCAACCCACAAGAGCGAGACTCTCGCGAAAGAGATGAAAGAAATCCAGGACAATGCCCTCAATGAGAAAGCCGGTCTTGAGCGAAAGGTCAGAAGTCTTCAGGATCAGAACCAGTCTCTTCAGGAGGAGGTGGAAGACTCAAAAGCACAATCGCTCGACCAAGAAAGACAGTACAAATATCAGATCAGCGAACTGGATACCATACGCTCGTCTTTACAAAAGACGATCGAGGAATTGCAGAATGACCTCCAAACTGTTCAGAGTGATATGCAGACTACACAAGAAAAGCTGCGTCAACGGGAAGCAGAGGTTGCTGATTTGGAAACGGAAAATCTCCGGCTCAAAGCTGAAGGAACAGATAGTGAAACGCTGTCAGTTCTCAAGCGCGAACTTTCCGAACAAGTCAGCCATATCAGGAATCTGGAAACCACAAACCGTGAACAAGGCACCGAACTACGACACCTACGGAAGATTCAGAAGAATGTTGAAGTTGTGGAGGAGCAGAAGAGATCGTTGGAAAATCAGCTGCAGTTGATGAAGGATGTGGAGTCACAACTGGGGACTGCTCAGATCCAGGTTCAGATGTTGGAAGACGAGCGACGGTCTTGGACTAGTCTCTTGCAAGACAATGATCAGCCAGCCGAGTTCGATTCTCCAGAAGCGGTCGTGAAGGCTTTGCTACAGGAGCGCATAGAGAAAGCCTCTCTTGTTGATAAGATAGGTAGTGTCGAGGCACAGTTTCTGGAGAAGGACGAGTCGATCAAGAACTTGGAGACGGAACGGACCACCTTGCGACAGGAAATTGAAAAACTCCGGAGCAGTGCCGGTTCTGTTGCGGGCGGAGCCATGGCAGAAAGCCGTATGAAAGCAAGACTCGAACGACAGCGGGCTCTCGCTGTGAAAGAAGTTGACTATCTGCGTGCCCAACTTAAGGCCTTTGACACGGAAGAGGTGACTATGAATCCGGAACAAAATCAATTCGATCAGCAAAAGTCCGAGCAAATCGCCAACCTTGAGAAGCTCGTTGATGAGTATAGGGCCGAGCTTGAAAAAGCTCATGAAGAGCTGGCTAAAAGCGAGCCTTCCCAGCAGGATGAATCTCAACCGCGCGGAATCAAACGGCCTCTCTCTCCAGCAGAGAGCGATGCAGAAAGCGAACGTCTTTCTGTTTTGACGCGCAAGTATAGAACCCTGCAGGAGTCCTTTTCGAAATCCGAACAAGCCGCGACACTCCTGCGCAAGGAGCTCGAGGCAAGCAAGTCCCAGATCAAGTCCCTCAAGGCTAGATCGCGTACCAGGATTCTCGAGCTGCGTGACAACCCCACCGCAGAGGCAGAAAACCTTAAACTCTCTACTGTCAGGACCTTAAAGGCCGAGAACCAGGATCTCCTTGCTCAACTGCGCGGCGACCATTCGGGTGTCAAGGTCGTTCCAGTGAGCACTCTAGAGAGCATGAAGCTGGAAGTCCAAGATATGGAGCGAGTAGTTGCGGACAAGGAAAAGCGTATGCGGCGACTGAAGGAAATCTGGACGGCGAAGTCGTCGGAATTCCGCGAAGCTGTTGCGTCCCTGCTGGGATATAAACTGGATTTCCTTCCCAATGGTCGTGTCCGAGTCACGTCGATGTTCCATCTATCAGCTGCTTACAGACATGGTGACCATGATGCTCCATCGGACTCCCGGGGCCCAGGAAGCATGGGCAACGGCGAGGAAAACTCAATAATCTTCGACGGAGAAAACGGTACGATGAAGATCTCGGGTGGTCCCAACAGCCTCTTTGCCATGGAGATTAAGCATCTCATCAAGTTCTGGGTCGAGGAGAGGAAGGATATTCCCTGTTTCCTTGCCGCTATGACACTGGACTTTTTTGATAAGACCACGAGAGCCGCACGCATGTAGATGTACGATTCTGCCCAAAGGGCATGTGGTTTAGTTATATTTTGGTCATGCAAATTTCAATGTGATTCCCCGGCACACACGTATTATGGTGCCATGTTATAACATTTCACTGTCCATGAAGGATCTTGCCCATCTCGCCATTATTTCTAATTTGATAGCGACCTGTAGTTCTTTTTCACAGTGATTTAGCAGGAGGCTCTAGCGTCAAAGGTGTCTATCTCGCCCCCGCAGCAGTCAATAGTCTGATCCGTATCCATGGCAACGTCTCCTGTATGTCACTATTACGCTCAACGGCTATACTTAGTCCTGCTTCGAATCTCAGAACTACTATACAACTACTAACAAAGACGCAGTATACATATTGGCTATTCCAAGGCCAACGTGCTGTTGTAGCTCTTAATTGCAATCGCATGCTAAGTATGCATTGAGGGGCAAAATCCAATACGAGAAGCTCGAAGGACAGGATGGGCAAGCGCAAATCAATATCCCGTCCCCTTATATAGTCAAGAATCACCAAAGGACTTTCAGGGTCTTCAGTACTAGTTGATTAGGGTTTCTTAGTAGGTGTAGGTACGGCCTCGACAATCCTCCTTCCTGGTCGATGCTCATATACAGAGCATGTACAGCCCTGATTACCCATTACAGTGGAACTAATAATATAACATGAACAAACAGCTTATTTACAGACCATTGACCAGGCTCAGAGTGAGCCGGGAAAAAAGGTCAGACAACGAGATTACATGACCAGGGGGAAAAAAGGATATCGGAAAAGACAAAGGAAAAGACAGCAGAAACGGCAGGGAAAGATAGACTTGCTTTGCACAGGAGGATTGAAGTGCAGGGACATAGGGCGACACAGTAACAAGTACTGAGGGATGTTGATGTACCGTGACAGGGAGGCTTTTGGCATATTTATCATGAGGTGCAAAAGGGCGACAAGACACGAAACGTAGGCTCGCATGCTTGCCGAGGCTCTCGCACTTAAGTAGTGTCCTTTGTTCGTACATGGGTGGCGCGCAAGTAAATGCAAAATGCAAATCGAGCATTAAGATGAAACATATTTACCCCCAAGCAGCTTTCGGGCGGTCGGGACGTTCTTCCATTCGAAGGATGGCTGCAGTTCAGGAGTCTGACTACCAGCCTCTTCGTCTGCAAAGGGATCAGAGCCCTTCACCTGATTAATCGGTGAAGCGGTACTAATTCCCAGACGAGATCCATCATCAAGCGTGTGGACCTCAAACTTGGCATCGACCTTGCCCTGTCGTGGCCAACTGGCTGTTGTCGAGAACCGGACCAGCAACTTGGCGTCAGAGCCAGCCTTGACTTCAAGTTCAGGAATCTTCCAGGTTACCGCAGACTGCTTGCGACGAAATGTTGCACCGGTGTTCGGGTACATGACAGCTGCTGTGGCATGAGCCACTTCGCGCCCTTCCACAGGAGACGTGTCCAAATTGACTGTTAAGACAAGATTCCTGAGGGTGACTGTGCCTCCTGGTGCGGATGTGAACGAAGAGTTGATAGAATAGTAGATGATCGCACTGGCCTGGTGCTCTTCGAGGTTCCACACCGGCCTGAAAATGACCGGGCAATAGGCTGCGGCAACGGAGGGTTCCATGTGGATTTGATACTTGAAAGCCACGGTCGGCGAGGACCGAGCAATGCTAGCCAGGTTCACATCATACTCACCCCTCTTTTCATCGGACTGATCCTTGCCTTTATCTTCAGTCACGAAGTGTGGGTTTGCAGCCACCTTCTCAAGAATCTGGAAATTGTCAAGGCGAACTCGTGTGCTACCTGGGGTCACATCCGGTGTAGCATTGTATGCCAATGCAAGCTCTCCAACAACATACGATTTGGATACTGCTCCCTCGGTGAACCATGCACTGACAGTGTCTATGATGGATGCGTTCAGACCTGGCTCGTGAAGGTCGGGATGCAAGACAGGGCCCGGGGCACTATGCAGAGTATGAGACGAGCGAATTGAGGTCGTGTCAGACATGGCATGGTCGTCTGTAGCCGTGCTAGGCGAGGCAACATGCTTTACTGGCAATGATGGAGAGGTTGGTGCAGACGTATCCAGGGTTGATGGTATGGCAGGGAGATCATTTCCTGGTGCAGGTGTAGGAATAAAGACCGTGTTACGGACATCGCGACGGCCACGCAGGGTTCCAGCATTTCGTCGGACACCACTCTGCTGAGCCCGCTGCATGGTATCATTAGCAACGTGCGGTAGCAAAGAATTTTATGCATGAAACCCACCATTCTGAGCTGATTAGCCATATCATCCATCGCTTGCTTGGCTTGATCCTCGTCCTCGAAGATTGGCTGGTCCCGTATTGTCAGATTCATCCCGGGCTCTTCCAATCTGAAGAAATGATTAGCAAACACAATCCATTCTCAAATCGGAAAGACAGCTTACCCGGCCGCCTCTCTTTGGGCCCTTGTAATCTCGTCAATGGTCTCCGGACGCTCCGTGAAACCTTCTGAGTCGACTCGTGGCTGGTGGGTAGATTAGCTTCGGAAATAACTGACAAGTAATCTTTTCTGCTTACTTCGTTGCGTGACACGCCAGCAGTAGCAGTAATCTCTTCAGAAGGAGCTTCGTGAGATGTTGCTCCGTTAGCGGTAGCCGGTGCTGACTGGGGCATTGCAGTGGACGTCGCGCCAGTAAAACTCTCATGCTCATGAGGTTCACTTGAGATACCTGCAGGTTCAGTATCTTGAGTAGACATCGCAGTGCTGGGGCGCTCCATTCCTTCGGTTGGAGTCTCCGGAATTTGCAGCTCGCGCGAATCACCCCTCTTAAAGGAGGCAAACGGACTGCGGTGTTTCTTGTCGGAGAAGAAGGGACCGGCGCTAGAAGGCTGAACAATGCTCCTCCGTCGGTTCATGACGGTTCCCAGCCTTTTAAGGCCACCCAGTGGTGTATTATGCCGGGGCTCGGGTGCTACGAAAGGGCGTCAGAACAAAACATCGAGAAAACGGTACCAATATACAGGGCTAGAGCTGTCGACAATTCAAGATAGGCTCACCTGGAGGAGTCCTAACTGGACCCGAATGTTCCGAACGCTGACTAGCAGCATCATCCTGCAGGCGTGGTGGAGGCGACAGAGGTGCTACTGGGGGAGGCGAGGTAGTTTGTTGTCTCCTCGGAACGACGGGTCTTCCTCCATTGACTTTCGCGGCAAATGTCTTGATCTCGTCTGCAGTCTCTACGTTCAGAAGAACGTTCAGACAGCTTTCAGCAGCCTGACGGCAGCGCTCAACCTGATCAGTCTCATGAGTCTCCAATTGAGTAAGAGCATCCCGCAGGTGATTGAGACGGCCCTCATCTGCTGCCTGAAGTTGTTCGAAGACGAACGGCGCTCTGGAATCCCATTGCTGGCTAATTTCTTCTGCAGCGGCCACGGCGCTAGCCAGCTTATCGGCACCTTTCGGGCCCTTCTCCCTGGCCTTTTCTACCTTCTTCTGGGATGCCTCGTAGTTCTTGGCCAATCCTGCAAGGTCACTCTGAATACCAGGCAGGGAAGACAATTCCCGGTTTTTGGTGTGGTACTCTCGCAGTGGACGTTCTACGTCCTCCTCGATCTTGTGGGCGAAGGTTTCGTGCGAAGAGGCAATTGATTCGGTGGCAGTAACAATGCGCTGCCAAGGTATCTGGAAGACACTGTTTATGGACCGTTATTAGTACAAGGCTTGCAAGCCCGAAGAATAACTCGAAAAGCCGGTCGTACCCGAGCGCCGCGCCATTGTCCAACTGCGGCCGATGCGCAAGTTTCCGCAACCCTTGGGCATACAATTCTTCAATGCGACGACGTTCCTATGAATTGGACATGCATGTAAGCCAGAGGGATTCTACCTCATTTCCAGCTCCAAGTGGAAGAGCGTGCCGCTTACCTGGAGCCAGTCCGCGATGTCCGCATTGACTTTGTTTATGATGCGAATGCGATCATTAAGTACACTTGTAGCTTGGCCGGGCTGCAAAGAGGCCTGCAATATTGACGAGAAAATGCTAGGTTAGATGTGATTGGGCATGGGAAGAAGTGGAAGTTGGGGTAGGAAGAAAAAAGATAGGTGGGGTTGTCTGGGGTTCGAGGGCATCGTACCAGCAACGCTGGATACTCCTGCCGTGAGAGTTCCATCACTACACATAGGTCACAACCTTAGCAGAACGAGAGTCGGGGGCGCATAATAAGGAAGAATGAGACGGGGAGGGGTGAGCATCGAATGGGGGAGGCGATTGGACGAAAGCACGATGCCGAACCGGGGGAAGGTTCAACAAGCAACGGAGGACAGCTGGAGTCGGAGGGAAGAGGATGTGATGGCCGATGGCTGATGGCTGATGACGATGATGGGTTGCAACGCCGGAACAACTGGGGCGGAGGTGCCGAATCGGCCCATGCCGCTCTCGGTAAGGCGCCACGGGAGTGTCACATGTCCGTCTGCCGCCTCTTTTTTGAGTTATGACAATAATAATAATGATAACGGGGCCATCTCTAGTTAGGAACTAGTGGATAGATCTGGATCTATCATCTATCATCTCAATCAATATATATTTGATAGATATATATATACATATATATATCTGTCTATTATGGCCACTCCTGACTGGAAAAAGACCCTTGGCTTCACAGATCGATTGTCAGCCATTCAATCGCTGTAAGTCTACTGCTATCTCGGGTGATCTCTCCCTGCATTGCGCCTCTCTCATGTGTGTCGATATGGAGGACATAATACTAATACCCTCCAGTACTACCGCTTACCAACGAGCGTCTTCCTCTGCTGCGTTCGCTGAAGCTCAGTCTCAAGCGAAGCGCTTTGAGAATGAAGCTTATGACCAAGCTGCGTCAAGAGTTTGTGACCAGTCATTGTGACATCCACCAACCCCCTCTAACCGCATCATAGGAGGAATATGACCGGCTATGTCAGGATGCCATTGACAAAGCAGAGTCGTCGGGATCGGTTGCTCCCATCATCGGCAGCCCAGACCAACCTCAGAACGACAGTGACACGGACCACTGGGAGGGGGGCCAAACCATCGGCCCGTATCAGTCATGCCTCCATCACTTCGATGGCCTCCATTCCATGATCTATAAGTCCAAGAATACGGACGGTAGCTTAGTGGCTGTCAAGGTCACTATACCTCATCTGTTAACCCCACCACATGATGCCAAACGTGAGGTTCAACTGCTTCGCGAGGCGGCTAGTCCTCGCGTAGTGCCCTTGCTGGAAACTGTCAGCCTAGACGAAGGGCGATTGATTCTCGTATTTCCCTTCATGAAATATGACTTGGAGCAACTACTTCGACGAGATGCATTGACTGCGGCGCAGACCAGGTCTCATCTGCGGGACTTGTTCAGCGCATTAGCACATATTCACGAGCTGGGAATCATACACCGAGACATCAAGCCTTCCAATATACTGCTTGACTCTCCTGAGGGACCGGCCTACCTCGCAGACTTTGGTATTACATGGAAGGAAGGAAGTATGGGATCTGAGCCCGCGGATCAAAAAATCACAGATGTTGGAACCACCTGTTACCGCCCCCCTGAGATCCTATTTGGGTTCAAGGGATATGGAACTGCTCTTGATCTTTGGGCAGCCGGTTGTGTTGTTGCCGAAGCGGTGGCTGTTGGGCACACACAGTTATTCGACTCGGGACCTGTTGGAAGTGACCTCTCATTGATCCAGTCAATCTTTACGACCCTGGGGACCCCGGATGAAAAGACCTGGCCTGTATGCAATCGAACCTCCCCCACCTCTCGACCTCATACCAGAATGTCATGCTGATTGAAGGGAATCATAGGAGACGCAGTGTCTCCCAGACTGGGGGAAGGTGGAATTCTACAAGTACCCTGGCAAACAATGGGACGAGATCCTTAGGGGGGCTTCTACCAAAGCCCGCGGCCTTGTCAGCGAACTGGTGCGCTATGAGAGCGGTCAGCGGCTGTCCGCAAAAGAGGTAAGTGAAGACGATAAGACCAACTGACGGATTGGACGAGCTATCTCTTACAAGAGCAACAGGCCTTGGAGCATCCTTATTTCTCGAGTTCCTAGACCTTCAATGCCCTTTTTTCAAACCCCTTATTGAAGGGGACGGGTACTGCGATGATCCTTCACATGACGACACCACAGCAAAAATGCGATCTACATAGCTTTACGGGCGTCTCTTGAGCGTTCGCAGGCTGCCCCATTAGTGCCCACTTTAGACCTGGTTGGGCGTTTCAGCACCCCGACAGACTGAAGTGCTGCAGACCTTGTAGCTACAGCTATGGAGCTGCCAACGCCCATCAGGCATTAGCCTCGGTAGTAAGGCCAAAGAGCCTGGGGACTCCTGAAGGCGGGAGCATTATTGTTGTGGGCTGATAACCAGACAGCTGGCTAGCGTGTTTGCTAGGCCGGAACCGAACGGAGGAGCGCCGGTCGAATCCTGGGAATGATTTCAAACCAAATTTGACGGGGCACGATTGTTCTGTAAGCCCTGGGGGAAATAATCAGATGACGGTGTAGACCTAAAAAAAGAAAGAAAGAATTTGGAAGAGGAAACAGAGTTGAGACTATGTATGAGAATAGTGTATCGGAGTTAGGATCTGATCCCAGATATTTGACGCATGCAAGGGCAGGCATGCTTTGTTTAGGTTATGGCTCGCGAGGCTGCACGAACGTGGTGTGGTGTTGCACCACAGCTATCTAACCAGTGTCGGCGAGATGTTCAACAGCGGAAGGCATTTCCATTTGTCGACCACGCACAAGGGTCGGACTCTCGGAGGGAACCTACCTACAAAATAACGTGACACCCCACTATCACAGCCATTGGATGGTTGTCATTTGCCAGGAGGAGCCGTGGTGAGGGTGGATGTGGGTAACGCTAGGAAGGACCGGAGTTCAAGAAGGGGCTTGGCTAATTAATGAGCAGTGGCTCAGGGACCACCCAATGAATGAGAAAGTGAAGATCTCGTTTAATGCAACGGCGCTGGATCAAAATCCATTCAGTTTCGAAAACTTTGCATTTCCACTAAGGAGGTTAGTCATGAGATTGATGTCGTTGAGTAGTTAGTTAGTCGAGAGAGAGGTACCAGAGAGATTGATTCCAGTAGACTTGGATCAGCTACTTATTTACATGTCATAGAAAGACTGAGCAGTTAGCATTTATCTCAGTGAGTGTACATTAATGACACTGTGTATCCCCTGTGTGAATCACTTCAACAATGTACTGGTTCGGGCGTCGGGGGAAGAAATGATGATCGAGGGGTTCGGCCCACTCAGTATAGAATTCTCTCTGCCTGTGATGCAGTTGTGCAGGAGAGAGTTTGGGGGGAAAAGAGCGGGAGGTTCGGCAACTTCGTGATTTCTCGTGTGACGGTCAGAAAACCAGGAACCGTATCAGAAGAAAACGAATCAGAGGGATGAAGTGCCTGAGGGTGAGCGGGACAAACCCCGTGATCCCCGCCTCAGCAGGTTAGCGCGGACCAGGGCATACGGGCTGATACGCTGTTATGATTGGCGGAGAGCCCCTCTTTTATGCTTTGACCTCATTTCGTTTAACTGTGGTTCCCGTAAGATGGTAATTTGCCCGTATTTGGCAGCGATGCTCTCTTACTCTCGTCTTTGGGTCCCCTTCACTCTCTCTTTTTAGTTGGTTCACCACCTTCACTTCTCGCAAGCCCACGCTTGGGCGTGCTCACTCTCATATCCATCCTTTTCTCTCCCTTCCTTCGTGCCTCTTGTCCTTCCTTTTGACCTTCGCGGCCTGGAAGCTCGCTGTCTTTCGTTTTGACCGATCTAGATCGGATGTGGCCCAGCCATTTTTGAACTATATCTGGGGATTCTCAGACTTCCATTCTTTTCCCTCCCACATTCTTTAACGCGCTTGCGCCCCTTTCACGCCACTACGCGACTAGCTAATCTCATTGTGGTGTCAGAGAAAAGAAAAAGTATAGCGATCTGTGTCACGTATCATATCAACTTGTATCCGTTCTTTGATGCCAGTGAAACTACTCACAGACACTCTTTGACATCGAGTCTGCGTTGACATATACCTGCCCATCTTCTGCACTCTCTGTGTGGATACTGGCACAAGTACGCGGGCTACGATCATATTTCCGTCACACTTGGTTCAACTCTAGCTTACTACTAGAGGCCCAACTAATTGCAACATACAAGGCGCCACAGCCCTAAACTATCTCAATCATGGTGCATGCACACGCGCACCGTGACCGCGTGCCCCGTTTGAAGGGCAGAAGCCCGGAAAATGATGCGGTGACGGTGGTCTATGTGACTATGAGTGCGGATTTCGATGGCCCAATCGGCGGCTATGTCACGGGGAGCAAGACGTCCTCAGAAAGCAGCAAAAACACAGCTGTTGGTATCGGCGCTCCTGTCAAAGGATCGAAGTCGTCCTCGACAGCACAAGAGACCGAGACGACCGGGGCCACTGAGGCAGCAGCGACAAAGACAAAAGCAGAGACTCATGCTACCGCCACGAAGACTGCTGAGACCGAAATCACGACGGCACCCCAGCCAACGACAACCGAGGCGACCAAAGAGACCCAAAGTGCGAGCAAAGAGGAAAATTCTTCGGCAAATAAGACCACCTTTCAGACCAGTACTTCGTCTGCTACATCTTTGGAATCATCCTCGGTATCCTCCCAAGGCAAGGCTGGACTGGAGAGTTCCGATGTCACTGGGTCTTCTGCGTCGGCATCTGCAACCGCAGTTTCGGGATCAGGAGGGCTCTCTGGAGGTGCGAAAGCCGGCATTGCTATCGGTGTGATATTGGCGGTTGGCTTGGTTGCAGGCCTCGTCCTTCTCTGGGTACGGAAGAAGAAACAGGAACAGAAAATCCAAAAGGAAGTAGCCGAAGATGAAAAGTTCTGGGGCTCAGATCCTGTCGCGCCACCACCACCACCTCCGAAGACTGAGCCGATGAGTTCTCTGGATCCACCTCAGCTCCAAGTCCGTCCAGTCACACAGTTTGCGCCATTTGCATCAGAATTCAGTGCTGGTGCTGGTGCTGCAAGTCCCTCTACGGTTGCTGCCGACGCTGCTGTCGCCTCAGGTGCAGTCGCTGCTTCAGGTGCAGCTGCTGCCTCAGGTGCGGCTGGTACACGGAACCTGACTGGAAATCCCTCACCGGTTCACACACCACAATCAAGTACCGCCAGCGCAGATCCCTTCACTGATCCTGTCAATCCATTCAATCACCCTTCGGAGGTCTCGCCGCCGTCTACATCACACGGTTCCGTTACTCAGCTTGGCCCTGTCCCAGAAGAACCTGCGGCTGCTGATCTCGCTTCAGAAACAGCCACGGCAACCGGAATCGCTGTGACTGGTGTTGTAGCTGGTGCTGCTGTGGCCGCGGTTGCAGCCTCCAGCGCGTCAGATAAGGATCTGCCTAGCCGCCCTGAAAGTTCCGTATCTAGTGTCTCTGAATCCAGTTCGACCAATCCTGGTCCAGATGGTCCTTCAGATGCCAATGCGGCCCCAGCTTCAGCTGCTCCTGCCGTCTCTCCTGTTCAATCAACTGCATCGGCTGAACCCGTCCCTGTTCCAGTTCCAGTTCCCGTTTCTGCTCCTGCTCCTGCTCCTGCCTCATCCAATGTGCATCGCGTGCACTTGGATTTCGCTCCTTCAATGGCCGATGAACTGGAGCTACATGCCGGTGATCTTGTCAGACTACTGCACGAGTACGATGATGGATGGGCTCTATGTATCCGTATGGACCGCTCTCAGCAAGGTGTCGTCCCCCGCTCATGTCTTTCCTCGCGTCCTTTGATGCCCCGGATGGGCCCGCCCCCGGGTGCAGCCCCTGGACCGCGAGGACCGCCAATGATGGGCCCTAACAGTCCCATGCCGGCTGGAACCATGATGCCGACTCCGCGCTTTTACCCTCAGGAAGGTCGTCCAATGTCACCGGCTCGCCCCATGTCACCGGCTCGCCCCATGTCACCGGCTCGCCCCATGTCACCGGCTCGCCCCATGTCACCGGCTCGCCCCATGTCACCGGCTCGCCCCATGTCACCGGCTCGCCCCATGTCACCGGCTCGCCCCATGTCGCCGGCACGTCCAATGTCGCCGGCGCGCCCCATGCCTCCTGCTCACCCCGGTTACGCTGGTCCTCCGCAGTCGCAGCCCTATCCTCAGCGTCCTATGTCTCCGGCACATTTCCCACAACCTCCGAGATCTTTCTCTCCCGGTCCCGGTCCAATGGTTCCTAGGTCTTTGAGTCCTGGGCCTTACGGACCCCCGGAAATGCAAGGTCCCCGCATGCCAGTCAACCAACGGATGCGCAGCAACAGCACAGGAGGTGTGGCTGGACCGAACGCTCGAATGGCAGGGCTAGCCGGACCGAGTCCTCTCGGAACTCCGCTCGGACCAACTTCCATGCATCTAGCATCTCTGCATCCATCAGTCAACGCTGCACCAGCTTCGGCAACCATTGAGACAGTCGCCCCCGAAAATAGCCATGAGTAATGGGTCGTCTTAATGTCAAGCATGAGAGATACCATCATATGCCATGAGTGTCAACTTAACGCCGCTGGGCGGACGAACCTGCCACGATAAACTCTGTATGCGTCTGCGACGAACGCTTTTTAACTGGTTTGCCTTTCAATTCAAAAGGACTGCCAACGCTTTCGGTCACGCGTTCCCTCATAATTCTTTTCTTTCCACACGCTCTGATTTCATAATCGAAGCATACGGGACTATGTGTCTGGATACTTTATCTTCTTCGTCTATCTTTACTTTTACTTCATGTGAATGACTCTTATACCACTTGTTACTTTTCTATTTGCCTTGATACCTCCTGCTTTCCTTTCTCACCACTATGCACAAACAAACATGTAAATTAACCGTCTCTGAGCCTGGCCTTTCTCTTGACTTTCTTCTGCGGGACACTTACGGACAACTGATACTAGGTGAAGAAAGGCACGAAGTCGGCAGGACACTGAGCTATTCACTGTTTTGGGCGCTTTCAAGTCTTGCGATTAATGTGTGCTCAATATGGGTTATACATTGCTACATAGTGTTTAGACCATCAATCAAGAATAAATACAGCCTTTAAATCATGAAATATGCTCCTTCTGTAGTTTTTGGATCAGACAACTGATTTGAACAGTCAGCTCATAATGGCGACGTAGTTCGCCTGACATCAACACCCCTAATCCTCATAGTCAGTCCGCTTTTATTTATCTAGACTTCTAGATTCTATCATCCACCTCATCTCCACCCAGTATCAAAACAAACAAGATAGATACAAACAGCCCAGCAACTAACAAAAGTACTCTATGTACCCACCAACTCTGCTCTGTTCTTTCCGCTATCAAAGATGCGGAACCCCGCCACTTGCCAGAAGCAAGTTTACAATACTAATGATGCCCTCGCCAAGAATCAATCCCGAGGCAAGGACCACAACAGATGAAGAGGCGGAATCCGCCTCCTTCGCGACCGCCTGACTGTGTTGTTGTGGTTGATGATGATGAAATCCGGATGAGGATCCCGCACGGCCATCAGCCGTCCATGAGTCGGACAAATTTGTTTGAATGTCGTCGGTGCTCGGGTCCGGCCCGCCGGCGGCGACTTTGTTAGAATGTCCCCGGGCCCACCACCAGGCAATCAAGCCGCCGATGGCACGGGCTAAAGTGAAGGATGGAACGTTGAAAATTCCCACCGCTACGGCAATGCCGCCGGGAATAAAATCCTTCCAGGGGGCGGTGACATCTCTGCGGCCGCCGTTGGCGATTGGGGATGAGGCGACAATGCGGAGGATGGTGACGGCTACGAAGATGATTCCGGCGACAAGGGACGCTTGCCATGCCATTGGAGGGAGGCCTTGGCCGGTGACTAGGCGGGCCGTGAAGATCCAGACGTATGCGGTGGGAGTTTGGAACATCGGACCGGGGACTTCGTATACGCTGACGTACATTTTGTAGACGGCGGTGGAAAGCACGGCGCCAACAAGACTGCCGATCATTTGGCCGTAGAATTGGGCCTTGGGGCTGGCACCAAGGAGATGTCCGGTTTTAAGATCCTGCATCATGTCTCCGGCTTGCAGGGCACCGGACTCGGATACGGCGCCGGCGAGGAGGTTGGTGACCAAGGCGGTACGGCGGGAAAAATGAGAGGCAGGAGTAGCCAGGGAGAAGAGCAACTGGGTGAGTTTGCTGATTCCGGAGACGGGGTTCAAGTCTGTTTCGCCAAGGGCGCGGACGCCCATGATGGAAAGGAGGACCGCCAGCAGGGTGGCGAGGCTGGAAAGCAGTGGAGACATTATGTCGCCGAATACGAAGTGCATGCAGACAACGTTAAGGATCAAAGTAAGTGGGAGGAGGATGATGACTGTCCGGTTAGAAATCAGCTGGGATGGAGGCGCATCTTCATCCGCCTCGTCAATTGCGCTGTGTCTCCCGATGGAAGGGACGGGATGGCTCGGCACAGAAGACTCCTCCGTGATGGGACTCAGGGCAGAATAGGAGATGTACGAGTGATGATTGGAAGATGTCGAGCCTCCAGATAGAACCCGCCGTCCAGCGCGGCTGTGGAGGAGCTTGTCTTTCATATGCGAAGCACGGGGTATAAGAGGCCTCACGACCAGCCAGCCAAGACTGACAAGGGAGTCGGCAAGCATAATGGCCAGTGAGATCCAGACGATCCAAGCCTTACTTCCATCTTCCCAGCTGTCCACAGGCCCCGGGGCCCATCCGCGGGCCTTTGCAAGCGGCGAAAGAATACCCCAGCCCAAGAACGCACCGAAGAGCATATGCATACAGGTCGAAGGTCCCATGATAATGCCCTGGCCAACATATGCGGGAGACGGATTAAGGGTCCAGAGCCAGTTTTTGGCGAGATAAAGTCCCAGGATAGGAATATCACGGACTTGGGGGACGAAATAGGAGAAAAGGGTCTGGCCATGTTGTCAGTTAGAGTCCCAATGTTCCCAGACAACGAGCCCTACATAAATGCCGGACACCGCGAAGGCGCCCACCAGGAGACGCATCTTGGATCTCCAGTCCTCTTGGACACTATTCTCATCGCCAGAGCTAGCATTTCTCAGCAAAACGCCGGTTTCCTCGGGTTCATGCGCCAAAGTCGATGCGTAGGATCTCTCCTCACGCCGTATGACACCCTCGACGTCATCCACTCGCTTCTTCGACTTCTCGTCGCCCTGACCACTTCCGTGCAGCACCCTCAGCATCAGCGCTGAGGCTGTTCCACTCGGGAACTTCAACTTTTCCCGAACGATCACCTCCTTCCTGAGCGGAACAGCGAACACGACGCCAAACAGACAGACACCCAAGCTCCAGAGAACGAGCTTCCAAAAGTTCAGCTTCAGAGGTCCGCCTTCCCCGGTACCACCATCCCCCGATGGGCCATCTTCGCCATCTTTGATCAGAAATTCCAATGCCGGGATGACCCCGACAAACCCACAGCCCAGCGGCATGGTCCCCACCGCTCCTGCTACTGTTTGTATGAGGACGTTCTCGATGGGTGTAAACGGATACGACAGGTATTTGGAAAAGACCTTGAAGACGGAGAAGCCGATTAGGGCAGATGGCATGGCCATAGTGCTGATCCATCCTGTCTGCAATCCAAAGTATGTATTGGAGAAGGTGATGAGAGCGCCGATAAGAAGGCCGACGAGCAGGGAGCGCGTGGTGAAGCTTTGCGGGGAGGTTGCGGAGGAGCGGGCATCATCGGCGTAGGCTGACCGGTCACCAAAGTCGACCGAGGATGTTAGCGGAGAGCCATCTCGGACTGCTCCATCCTCCGGATGGTCGCTGTTGGAGGCATTGCCTGCCATGGTGATGGATTGGTAGTTCATCGGATGCCGTCGCGATTCAGGTTAGTCGAGCCAGCACGAGAGGACGGCTCTCCTGTCACTGAAGGAAGGGAAAGGCGGGTCAACGAGCCATCACGCAAGGGACGGAGAGGAAAGCGGGGAGATAAAAAGGCCGCGAGGATGGCTGGGGAACTGATTGCTGGAGCGATCGATAGCGCGATGGAGAAGCATCGCAGCTCATCCGATGATTAGTTGAGGATTCGCCATCATTTGCAGGCACGATAGCAGCTGACTCAGCCTGCGATAAGAAGCAACAAAACAAAGAGAGAATCACCATCAACTCGATTTAGTGATGCTTGATGCCTTTCATTATGTAAACGAAATGGTTATTCATGGTATCTATCTATTTACCAAATTGAAAAATCCTAAGTCATGTCACTACATTCATGAATTCCCCCACCATCCACTTCTCGACGGTCTCCTTCAATTTCCGCTCATAGTTGATCAACGTCTTCTGCGTGGCCCATGCAATATGAGGTGTAAGAACCAGGTTCAGATCCTCGGTCCCTTCACCCAGCAGAGCACAGTTTTCCGGTCCGGCAGGTTCTTTTTCGAACACATCGGTTGCAGCACCGGTGATGCGGTTCTCCTGCAATGCTCGGACAAGTGCCACTTCATCCACCACTCCTCCCCTCGAGACATTGACCAAGACCGCATGAGGCGACATGGCTTCGAATTCTGTAGCTGATAGCAGATTCCGCGTCGAAGGAGCAAGGGGAACTGCAATGAAAATCACCGTGCTCCGCTTAATCACTTCGGCGAAAGAAACTCTCTCTTCACCGTCACCAGCATGAGTCGGTGTGCTACCATCACCGAGTGCTTTGCGGCCTGCGATAATGACCTTCATTCCCAGCCCACGGGCTAATTGGGCGATCCGCTTCCCCGAATTTGAGTCAGTCAGGCTCGGATTCAAGCGAATTATAAACCATGGATCGCCGGAAGCACGTACCGACAGCGCCATTTCCGATAATTCCGGCCACCTCCTCCTGGCAGGTCAGGGGTTGCGTTCCGTCGTGATTCACACAATCGAAGACGAGGGTCTTTTTCCGGGTCCATTCGCCCGCGCGGGTCAATGTGTGCGCGCGCAGGACTCTACGGCGTACAGAGAAGTATAGTCCAATTGCATGCTCGGAAACAGCCTCGGTGTTTGCTGCGGGACAGTTGCTCACAGTAATGCCCCTCTTTCTGCATGCTTCGAGATCCACGCAGTCGCTGCCTGCGGCGACTATCACGATCAGTTTCAGGTATGGTGTCACCTCGGGAGACAGTGCCTCTGCATCGATTCGCAGCGCCGATAGAACTAAGATAGAGGCATCGTGTATCCGTTCATGAAGTTCGGAGAGCGATGTCAGCCCGTAGACTTTTGTGGTGTGAGTATAAGGAGCGGGTAGTTCGAACTTGGGGATTCTGATAAAATCGCCCTGCAGAGCCACGATGTGGTGGTCAGTAGGAGACGAGGGAGGTGCCATGATGATTTGTAGTTTTCGCGGGGGACTGGAGAGAAAGGCAGGCCAGTCAAGAAATTTATTGGGACCAGCAACAAGTTATATGTCGGTCCGCTGTTGTGTACAGACTGCGCGCCTTGCCATTGACAGCGACCCACTGCAACTCCAAGCGATAAGCAGCTCAAGACATCCGCTCGGATCTCAGCCGAACATCCCCCGCAATTACTCCATTACTTTCGAGACGTGACCAGGCAAGAGGCAAGTTTATCTAATTATCAATCTCTCTTTCTACATGAAACTCTAATGTAGGACTCTGGCTAACCCACACTGGTTATCTCAAAAGACAAATCATTCCGACTGCTCCATAGCGAGCCGGAAGGCTACAGCACCGCTTCCGGCCGAGGCTCGCGAAGGAAACCTTCAAAGTATGTGGTCACGCCGGCCACGTCGTCGAGCTCTCCAATCCATCCGATATATTGATCGGGTCGTAAAGCAACCATGGCACCCCTTGACCTGTCCACCCCCCAAATCTCATATGCGTTGCCTTTGCACTGTTCGTCCCAGAAGCACTCACTGTCACTCCAGACCTTTGTGTAGTCCCAGCCAGTGGTGTCGTCGAACTGGCGCAAAATCGGGGGGAAGTCACTCAGTTCAACGTCATCCACCGGAGCACTGTGGACTGCCTTGACTTCGATGACAGAGTCGAGCTTTTGCTTGGGGGGCGTGAAGCGTTTCTGAAGCTCCAATAGCCCATTATTGAGAGCCAATATGCGGCTTTTCTGATCTTCCAGTCGGCAGTCTCCGACCAGAAGCAAAATCCGAAAACGACCATCGCTCTTCAGGAGCCGTGAAGTCCACCATGGCTGACCATCTGCTTGCTTGCGAATGAGTGCCACGGGAAACCTTTCTCCTGCTGTCAAGTGTCGGGCCACTGTTGTACTGCCTTTGTGTACTATGGGGCTTGCCTTGTAGAATGATACATGGCCCTCCGCGAACAGCTCATTTTCGCTGAAAACATCCTGCATGGCCTGGATGTCTTCTGGGTTTGCTTCCGGAGGAGCCTCAAGTCCAAGCTGCTGCTGCTTTTTCTTCTGCTTCAGGAAAAACGCAGCCCATTTCTGGTCGAACTCAAGGAGCATCTTGGCGAGCTGATGACGCTCGGACTTGTAGGTATCGAGAATGGAAGGAGACGCCATCTCCTTCACGGCCAGCGCAAGTTTCCAACCGAGGTTAAAGCCGTCCTGAATGCTCATGTTCATTCCCAGCCCAATCTTGGGGCTGTGGGTATGGACGGCATCACCGACGAGATACATACGTCCTTTATTAACGGCGGGTGCGAGTCTCCGACCGACCTATAATTTGCATTAACCGATCATCAGTAAGCTTCCTACCGAAAAAGCGAGAGTTTGTGTATACCTGATATGCAGCCCACCAGTGGCAGACTTTGAAGTCGAAATAGAAGGGAGACATGATGCTTTTCACTCTTTCGCAGAGCATGTCCAAAGTCACCGCCGACCGATCGAATGAGGGCGTTATCTCATCTTCTTCTTGCAAAGGGACATAAAAGCGCACTGTATTGCCTTCTCTCGTGATGACAAGCAGATGCCCGTGCGGACTGTCAATCGAAGATGGCCAGCGGATGTCCGCTGTGGTATGACATTAGAGGTCTTTCTTTCCATCCCAGGTTTTGAACTTACGGAAATCCGTGATTGGGACCACATCCATAACACCCCTAGAGCATGCATGTTAGCTACGGACTATCAAAGCACGGTATGGTAGGCTACCATATATGATCTGTGTGGGATCCCTCGAAGGGGATATTCAACTGTTTCCTTGTCCAGCTGTGCGCCCCATCGCAGCCAATGAGATACTTGGCCCGAACCGTCTCGATCGTCCCAACATCGTGCTTGCGTTTTGGAACCAGATCCTCCAGGTCATCCCGGGCTGGTTTGTAGGGGGTAATACCCGGGTTGGGGATTGGAGTTGCTTCTTCCTCACTTAGAGTCCTCAACTTGATCGTGATGGGGTACGCCTGGGGATCGTTCTCAAGGCTCTCATCATAGCTCAGTGACTCTCCTATGACACCTCTTTCTACGTCGATACTGGAAGCATCCCGGATAACATCGAGAAAGAATCGTTCGATGCGGCCCTGGGACAATAAGGCCATGCGATAGGGCGAGGAATTCCAGATTGTGCTTCGCAGCTCTCCGGCCCGCTTCAAACCCCCCTTTCCGTCTGGTCTCTAGTGTACATCATTAATTACCGGTCCGACTTAAAGGTCATCAGACGACCTACCCAATACCTAAGACCTGCTCCATGGTACCCTTCTTGCAAGATCCGGTGGACAAACCCCATACTATCGATGAGTTCGAGCGTTCGGCCTCTCAGGCCATCTGCATGACCTCGAAAGAGTTTCGTGCTACGCTTGTCGATGATGCGAGCGTTTATGCCATACTGCGCCATCCAATAAGCAATAGTCAGACCTGATGGGCCCGCGCCAATGATGAGACTGCATCTGGGTCAGTAGTAGCAGCTGAGGGACGGACGGGGAAGACTTGCACATCGGTTGTAGATTCGATTGAGACAGTCATGATGGGCGACGATGGAAGCGAGACGGGGAGAGTCGGAATATTCTGAGCGTGTCGACAATTTCAAGTCGAAGATGACAGCCATCTGCCCTTTATACTATAGTGAGACTGCAGCATGCAGCATCCCGGTCCGACTGTCACTCATACGTGGTAGTTAACACGGCCAATGGGGGCCTTTGACTCTGCCGTCTTGTCTCCACCACGCAGCTCGGAAGGTTTATCTGAGTGCCAATAGGCAGCACGTTTTATGTAGCTCGGATCATTGCATTTAAGCCCCCGCAACAGAGTCAATGTGGCTGACAGAGACGATAAGTCGACGCATCACACTTGACAGGCCTCTTGTGCCATGGATCCGGAGATGCAGCTCAAGAAGGGGATTGCTGTCACAAGCCAAGTCTGCTAAGCAGAGACACATGAGAGCTACTCCCTTGGCAATCTGCTGGAGAGCCTCGAGGCGTTGCTCTTGATTCTGACGGGATTATCGGAAGAGCCGGGACTGTCACTGCATTCACAGCTGCGTATGGGCCACTCGACATGTCGATCAGCGACCAGACCGAGTCCACCTGGCCATAGCTTACTACCGCTTGCTTTCCTTCCGATCACCGAGAAACTAGCGTTGGTGGCGCCGGTGCAACTACACAGTAGGCGATGTCCGGGCTTACAATAATCGCGTCGCAACCCCGCGCTCGTTCATGCACCTTGTGTGTCAGGCCGCCAGCCATGCGCCGCTGATACGATCATCCCTACTTCGGGTTTATCTGCACCAATTTATGTGGTGTCTCCTGTATCTGGGTGGTTTTGACACGTTAAGCCGACGGGTTTGCAGCCAGAGAGAGTTAAAGACTTCTGGTCGCGATGAGGAGGGTCGACTTAGGGCAAGGTATAATTACCTCTACCTTGGGCCCTCCTGAGCCTCTTGCCCCTTGTCTCTCCGAATCTGAGGTAAGCTGATTTTGACGTGGCCAAGACACTAACAGGGTTGACGGATGCTGGGATGGTAGGAGAATCGGCATCCACCCCTGCGTGCCGAACAGTCCTTGCCATCCCTTCACAGACCTCCTGGGCAGCGCCAGCTACAATTCAGGCAAGGAAGGCATTTAATATTCCACAAAAACCAAGTCTAAAGGGTTCTCGTGTGGGAGCTTTCTCCGCGCCTTCTAGTCCGCCGGGGCCCCAGGCCCTATCCTTTGTGATGTGGACGATCCATTCCGACGCGCCCACGAACCCCCATTACATTCCACAACAATGAACATCAAGGAAAGTCAGAAAAGCAACAGACCCAGGAGCTGCGGTTCCTTTCTCCGTCCGTGATATAAATCATGGCTTGATCCTCTGGAAGTAATTGTTCTTGTTCTTGCATCCCGTCATCCGCAACCTCTTGCATCCACCAAACCGCTTATTCTTCGCCATGCATTTCTCCAGCGTAAGTATCGCTCATCCATACACCCACACCATGGCTAATTGATACCAGCTCCTCGTCGCCTCGGCCCTCTGCCTGACCCCAGCCGTATACGGCTATGGCGTGGCCCAAGTCACAGTGAAGTCCCACGAAGATTGCGACCCTGGCGCTCCCGCCAATGACAAGCTTATTGGAGATGCCGAAACCACGTACGTCACCGAAGATACTTGCGAAAAGGCCAAGATCTCGCACAGCCTGTCAATCGATGCCTACTCGGTGAGCCTTCAAGACGTCACCAAAGATACCTCTGAGCGCTGCCATGGTCTGGGTGTCTATGCGAATGACCAGTGCATTGGCGTCCCCAACGCAGTGGTTCCCTTCTACCCGGGAGAGGAGGATGCCGAGAGCGGCTGCATCCCGGATGACCCGTTCGACAAATACGTCTACGTCAGGCTACTGTGTGATGGGGGTGACGGTAACGCGGATGACCTGAAGAAAGTGGAATCGCACAACCCTGCCGAAGATCTCGCCAAGGACCCTAACGATACTGAGAACAATGGCGGCGGCAACATACTCGGCGGGCTTGGTCTTGGTTTGTAGGTTAGTCAAACCGAGCGAATAGCCATGAGCTGAGCGTGTACGGGTTGATTGTGCGATGAAGCGGAGGTTGCCACGACTGACCGGGGCTATAACCAATGTAGTCTAGAAAATTATAACTTTAATCTCAGATCTGAACTTCGAATTTTTATGCGCAAGAGACTGAACATATTAAAACTTCCGCCCATTGTAGTATCACCATCAAACGCTACCGAGTACTACTATGGATTTCAATTCCAGACCACATGTGTAACCATAGCACAACAAACAAACAACCACTCTCTATCTACCAATGGACTAAATTCAGTGCGATCGGTAGATCATCACCAAACTCCAATCACAGACTGGTAGATTGTCTCAGGAATGCGGATACAACATCCAGCCATCCACAACAGGCAATGACATGTCCACATCCACGCCCAGGAATGCTGAATGCTAGCCACTCCCGACGCCAATTACTCCCTCCCATTTACATGCATACTCGTGCTTGGCTCTTGTATTCTTCGCGCGTAGACATGCGTAGACGTGTAAATCAGCGGCTGGGAAAAGCAGCAAGAAGGAGATATAAGTAAGGCTGTGGACAGCTCGAAATGCATACAGTATAGTATTCTTCATCAGTAACCTCCAATTCAATCAAGCCAACAACTACATTCAAACCCACCCCCCTTATACTACGAACCTATCAAACTAAGCCCAATTTCTCCTCAACTCAACAAGAAACCAAAAAAACCGAATTCCAAACAAACAGAAAAAAATAAACCCAACAATGCGCCACCACCTCTTCCTCACCACCATTTCCCTCCTCTCCACAACAGCAACAGCAGCCTCCACCATCGCCAACATCCACCCAGCTTTCCACGATACCTGTCCACCAGCACTATCTCCCCGCGCCCACACACACCATCACACACCCGTTCTCCAACTCCACGAAGGAACATGCCACCCTATCCCCATAACATCCACGCATGTATCCTTCGACGCCCAGATCGAGCCATTCATATCTCCGGCTCCTAATGGCGAGGATAACAACAGCGACAAGGATATCAATGAGAAAGGAGGGATACCCCAACACTGTAATGTGACCATGCATGAACAGCCCGGGTGCGTGGATGAGCCGTTCCTTGCGCAGACGGTGCATGCGGGGGAGTTTGGGAGATGGGTGGGGAGTGAGTGTGCGGTGCATCCTCGTCGTCGTCCTGTGCGGGGGAGGTATCGTCGTGGTGGTAGTGGGGATGGGGATGGGAATGGGAATGTGTGGGTGTTGTTGGAGTGTGAGGAGGCTTCCGGCTCTCCTGGTTCTGGTTCTGGGGATGGGGATGGGGATGTTCATGGGGTCAACCAGGGTGAAGATGAGAGTGCTGATGCTACACAGCAGCAGGATAAGGAAGAGGAAGATAAAGTGGGAACTGTTACGCATGGTGGCATGGTCAGCTCTTCCCCTGGTGTTGGGCTGAATGGGACGACGAGTGCAGTGAACAGCACCACGTCGCCCAGTCCTTCATTGCATGCTGCGATGAATTCAGCAGCAGCAGCAGTTGCGGAGAAGAGTAATGGCACGAGCATTAATGGCACGTCTACTAGTTCTTTGGTGCATGCTCCGCTGAACCAGACGGTGTCGTGGAAGTTGATGCCCCGGAGGAAGAGGGGGAGGTTCTCGATCTACTGATTAAATATGGATTATATGGGATTATGTCTTATGAGGATGATAAAATGTCTGTTATGCTTGGTTGATTGTTATTAGCAATTACAAAATGAATTGAACGATATACATGCTGAAGACTTGCTTATGCGCCAAGGAATATCAAGTAGCAAGCAGTCAATGTATGCACACCTAACCTTTGGTCCGCAATAATAATACAACAAGTCGTTCAGAAATTAACTACAATCAGCCAGGCTAAAAGCCAAAGCTGTCAAGCAACGAGTTGGCGTCCGGCTCCTGGAACGTTGTCGGAGGCGGCTTCGGTTTCGGCGCTGCCGCAGCTTGGATACTCTGCTTCAAATCCTCGCGAATCGGCAGGTCCGCAACAACCAGACTGCTTCGTCGCCGCAGCATCTTGCGATAGTCCACCCCGTCATGCAAATCGAGTGGCCTCTCCTTGGTCGGTTGGGGTGAAGGAGGCCCTCCCAGGAACTCCCAGTGGCGTACCAGATCTAAAGCCAAGAGATCACACCCCATGCGGTCGTACAGACGCGCATTGCGGATGACGAAACTCCACTCGGACTGCGCGGATACTTTGGATGCTCCTTTCAGGGTCTGCAGTGTCTTCTCACGGAGTTGCTTGTAAAGGACAACCAATGCAGGGTCGTTCGATAGATACGACTTGGCTTGCAGTGGTATCATCCCTGGAGTTCCTGGAGACGCGGGCGTCTCTGGGATAAGTGACTCAACCGGCGACTAGACATGGCATTAGTATACAGCTTTCCACAGCAAATGTGATACTCACAATCAGCGATCGGACTGCCATTCCACGACGACCCAGCATCCAAAAAGCCCATGATGCCATCCACCGGTTTCCATCAGTAGCAGCCTCGGGCAGCACTCTTTCTTCCAGGATTTCCTTCAACACTGGACCGTCATCTCCCTCGTACGCACGGGTGATGGCGATGGCAAGCTGTAAGTCGCCGACCTGATTCAGGCACACAAAAGCGGCGTCACGCAAATGGTCTGCCAGAAGGAAGAAGGTGGCAGCATATTCTACACTGTGTTAGTCCAAGTTCTGGGCTCAGTTCTACAATACGCACCGAATCTTCGCTTTCCAAGCAGAGCATATGCGTTCTTCAATGCCGACGTTTTCCACCGCTCTTCCTGAAAATTGTTGGCAAGCAGCCGTTGTGTTGCACCTTGTTCACGATGCCAATGCGCCATCCGCCAGAGACCCTGAAGGACGTTTTTCTTCCTCAGGGCGATATAGTACAACGAACAGTCGATGGGGTTCTTCTCTTCCGATTTAGTATACTCGTTCCGAGCAACGACTTCCAATTGTGCCCGCTGACATTGTTAGCACAGTCTGATCACTACCCAGAGATACATTCCCTTACCACAGCAGTAGGATTCGACAACCACATGAACATCCCACTCTCCCTGGCCGCTTTCCATGTCATCTTGCCACCAAATTGTCTTGATGCAAGGTCGACTAAGATGTCCTGACTGCCGCTATGGAACGCCCAGACAATTTCTCGCCAGGAAACCGTATCTTTGTTCGCTACCCCTTGGCTCCGGCGCAGCATATGCTGTCGGAAGAAGAGAAGATATCGTGCAGCATTGTCATCCATCGAGCGGCGATGCTTCTCCACGGTTGCAACACACTCGATCGTGTCCACCAAGCGGAATTGCTCTTGGCTGGATAGCTGGGGCAGGGTAAATCGTGCCAGATTCTCGTTGAGTACCAGGGCCGTATCCTCATTTACTACTGTCGACTCTTCATCCATAGATAGATCTGCATACGAGGAATCCATCCCTTTGGAAGTGGCTCGTTGAGGCGTCTGAAAGGTTAGCTGCGTAATTGTGTGGCTGTCATTTAGGCCCTTACATCATGTTCAAGGTAGAAGCTTTCCAAGGGCATGTCCAAGAAGCCATCGATATCATCACCCTCGGTGTAGAACTTGAGTATACGATGAAGTTTTAGCAGAACAGCGTGTACTAGGTTGTTTTTGCCGCTCAGAATGCACTGCGCCAGGAATTGCGGGTGGAAAACGGGCAGCGGTCCATTCAGCCGGCTCACCACCTCGAAGAGATCGACTGTAGAAGATCCGCGAACTGGTATGCGTAACTGAGATACGAGATGATCAGAACTTTCGATTTCGTTTCCGTATACGAAGAGTTGATTTCCAGCCCCAATGGCGAGACAGCCATTGCTAAGCCAGCAAGAATCGCCGATCGGATGAGGAGTAAGGTCGCGGATCCAGATTTCGCGGATCTGCGTCCACGACGGGCGCGAGTCAAGGTAGTCGTATCGGAGCTGGGACAACAGAATGACTTTGTGGGGAAACCCAACCGCTAGGATAGACTGCATGTCCGGCGTTGACGTCCAATCTAAGTCACGGATGATGTCGCCTTGTGAGAAATGCTCTTCATACTCCAGCTGTGCATCATTCATATCCCATATCGTCAAATGCCCGCGGTCTTCATCCACAAGCGCTGCTTTCTTGATGGAGCTCCCGCTAGCAAGGGACGGGTTCTTAATGCCCGTCTCGACGGTCGAAGTCAAGAGCCATTCAACGCGGCTCTTCTCTCTGTCGATCTTGGCCGTCCAGGTGCGGACAATGCCAGTCTTGGTATATGAAAGCGCTATATCCGGCGAGAAGAGGTCAAAGAAGCCGGGCATTTCGGCTTTGCGGCCGGCTGGGTCGACGGGCAAGATGTACGCTATGTCCTCGTCCAATCCTAGATGGAAGGTACAGAACTTCCGCAGCTGGCACTGGGTACCATTGGCAGTTCCATTGGTTTGCTTAGAGGTCGGCAGTCGAAATTCCCAAGCAATTCCATCCATGCTCGCTCCAATAGTTGCTACGTAGACCACCCCGTTCTGCTCCGCCGTAGGAATGGGCAAGACGCAGAGCGGTTTGCTCGATAATTGGAATGTTGTGGCAGCCAGCTTTTTGGCGTGGAAGGGACGGATATCCCAAAAGGAGATGCCGTTGTGATGGAGATTAACCAGAAAGTCGCCGTCTTCTAGCACGCAACTGCGATGTATATGCTCGTCAGAGAACAGCTCGCTCTGGCGAAGAAGCGCCGTACCACTCTCTCGCTGCTTTTGCCTCCAAATCAACGCCTTGTTGTCATCCGTGCGCGAGGCAAGCGTGTGACCAATGGCATTACGAACGATCTTCTTTATGGGTCCGTTGTGTCCAGTCCACGACGCCTTCATGGATACCCGGTTCTTGCGCGGTGCAGGGTCAAAAAGCACATCTACCGGGGAATCGAACCACTCAATCCGGCCGTCAAAGTGATGGACTAAAATGCTGATGGAGTCGCCCGGTTCTGCACCCTGGAATGCATGCAGCTGCGCATAGTCTTCTTCCGGGGATACACCGGGCATAAATGCGAAATCAAGGCCTTCCACATGTAGAATATTGAACATGTGCATTTCGGATTTGACCTTGGACCCAACATCTTCCAAAGCCCAGGCTGACATATGCCCTTGGCCATCGATCACGACACAGACCTCGGGGCTCTTATTCGCCACTTCGATGATATGCTCCAGAGTGTGATTGTCCTTGTTTCCCGTACTTCTCTGCACAGCTCGCTCGGTAGCCATGCAAAAGTCCCGGCTGTCCACGATGAAGCCATATCGGCGGGTCGGATCGCTCTTGTCGGTCGCATGCCTCGGCTGAACAGAAGCGGCCATATCAATTTGCGCCCATAGTTGCAAGGCGGTCGGGGCATGGTGATCCACGGTCGCCCACACCCGAATCTTATTGTCGGCGCATACGGTATAGAAGACGTTGTCCATGGACTGCTCTCGATGGTACGGTCTTCGCCAATGAATCCCGGTAATGACTGTAGGGTGGGGAAGATATGACACCTCGAAGCGAATGTCCGTCCCGAATGCGAGTCGGCGCCATACTTTAGCCATGCGGTCGTAATGTCCAGTGGTGACAAGGAGAGTTGCATCGGGTGAGAAGCGCGCGAATTTAACCGGAGAAGCCAGCTTCTGCTTCCAAACTTGGCGCGGGGTATCGTTCAAGAACCAGAGAGTGAGGTGAGAGTTGCCGAGAAGCAGCTCCTCAGAGGAACCCCAGGACAGGGTACGAATAGGCTCATCGTCATCTTCGCTGCGAAAGGTTTGGACTAGAGACCACTACCCCATAAATCCATCAGCATGCGCTCCCTGTGTAGCTTGCATTCCTCCATCTCATTGACCACGGACCTTCAAGGTTTCATGCTGGATGCCATACGGTTGATAGATAAATACGTCGGGTCCGCCGCATACAGCAATCTTTCCGGAGAGTTCATCTATGGTGACAGCCTCCAGGGCTTCGGTATCATCGACATAGATGGTTTGTAGGAGCTTGTGCGGACCGCCGAGGATAACCAGTGCATGGCCGGAAATGTACACCTGTAAAGAGAGTGCGCAGAAAGCGCCGAATCAGCCACATGGACGCTTATGGAACACCAGGGGAGCTGGAGAGGTTCGTGCAGAGAGCTTACCACAATGCGAAGACCATCCCACAGCGCGGTGCTGTAAGCCTGGAGCTTCGTTGGGGGCCTCCCCGGCAGTACCGCTCGCATGGAGGCGGTGGTGGTTTGAGCTAGAATACGTGGATGCGCGGGGATGCGCTCGCGATGGCGCTACACCATTGCCAGTGCGCTGTTACAGGAGCAGAGAGTGGCTTGAAGACTAAGCAATGTGACGGGGTTTGCCAGAAAGAAAGAGTATAGAGCTGTATGCGGGTGGAGGGGACAGCTCACCTCGAAGATGCAAGAGCACTGCGATCGTCGGCCCCGTGATCCACACCGCCCAGACTCATCATCATCATCAACCTTGACTACGGCTACTGATTGTCCGGATAGCCTCGGAGTTTCTGCGCTATCATCCTCTTCTTACTTCTGAGTGATTCCGATATTCAGACAGACATACGATTATATGGTGCTTTGTCACATTGTCGCTTCTGAGCAACAATTCCCATCTGGCCCAATCAGTTCATTCAGGAACAAGTTATCCCCCCCGGGAATCAGATTTAGATTAACCTCGCTAATTAGGCTTGCGGAGATCCAGAATGCTGCAAAGTAAGCAGGGATCTTTCTAATGAACTAGCAATTAACTGCAATCCTGATTAGCCATGGTTCAATAGCATATGGATACAGTTGACCAACTTCTTCCGGCACTTCCAATCCAGGTATATATCATCGCTGATGCTTTTTGTCGCACCTTGTAAAGCAATAACTCATCTAAACAATTGATAATGCGAGCTCCTGGAGCAGTCAAGTAAAGTTGCTTATGCCAGTCTCTCAGTTGGTCTTGATACAGCTACATACTATTCCCATTCATTGTAGGGCTGTGCATTGATAGAGCGGGTGTGGTGATATACTACTACTTATCATTCAGTGGGACTCGATATCTCTAGACAGAGATAGAGATCCGCCCCTTGCTGGATATGATCACAAGCAAGTATACTATGTACTTGGCTGTCCTTATATTACTCTAATTCAGCTTTTCCCTAAATTTCAGTAGTTATTCATAGCCACGACTCAATACTCCCCTCTATCTAATTGTTTGAACATGAAAAAGCGGACTATCTTCCCTTCAACTGCCTCACATCCCATTCCCCCCCTATAACCCCAATCACCAACCAACCAAACATGGAATTCAATCCCATCGCAGAAAAGAAAAAGAACAAAAAGCAATCCTAGCCCTCGAGCTCTCCAAACTAGATTTATTGGGAGTGTGTTGATCGGCGGTTACATGGGAACTTGAGTCTTTGCAGGGTCGTAGAGTGATAGGGGTGAAGATGGGTTTGAGGATCATTATCCAATTGATATTTTACTCAAATTATGTTTTCAGACGTCTCAACCAACATAAGGTGTATATTGTTCAATCATCCAAGCCGACAAAGCTAATCCACACAGTACCTGCCATGCAAAATGGGTATCTATCATAACCTTCGCCCCAAAAAAGCTGCCCCATCCAAAAACCCAAAAGAGCAAAAAAAAAGGGGAACCAGAACAAAGATGTACATAAAGTCCTATACAAGTATAACCCGGAAGAGTTTCGGGTCTCACGTCCGTCGGCCAGAGGATCTTCTACCATCGGAAGGAGACCCCGGTTCCTCATCCACAAACCGGACGCTAGTGCCCAGGGCACTCGCTCGCCCAGTACGGCGTCTAGTCGAGTCAGTTCGAGGCAGTACAGCACCGGCGCGCAATAGTCGACTGGCAAATGGAGTGTATGAGGGAGTCGCCGGAGTAGTGGAAACCTGCGCCATAGCCCGCGCCCTGGCGGCTCGTTTCGACGGCGACGTGAGGAAGTTGGGTGTCGCCAGCGGCGTAGTCGAGGCCAGTTGAATTTGACTGTTCGCAGCCACAGCTAGGTCGTTGGTTTTGAAGGGAGTCGTGGTTTGATACCAGGGATCGAAAATGCGTCGGTTCGGCTCGGCTTCGAAGGTTGTCGCTCCATTATAGTTTCTCGTTGGACTTATAAGAGGCCCTGGTAGATCCCGCGACTCGAACTTCACTCGTGCTTTGTCCAGCCAGCTGCGGAACATGCTTCGACAGTGTTTCCTTAGGTTTCGCTCCTTCATCGCGTCTGCAGTCTCGGAGAAGCTCTTGACTTGGAAAACACGGAAGCTGAGCTTCCGCAGCTGGATATTGGCTTGGCCGAGGACATGCTCCCGATTCACGTTGTTTGCTTGTTGCTCCTGGCGCTGATACACAAGCAAGGCCTCGACCCAGCGCGTCAATTGTTCGCCCACAATCTGGCGCGCATAGTGATCATCGGCCGCATCGCAATCCTGGAGGCGATTGAAGGCTTTCTCTTGCCACCGGGGTACAAGCTCGGATGCCATTGTCAAGCAGTGTTGTCGTGAGAACTGCCGAGCTTGCTGTTCCAAACCTGCCATATGTAGGGACCTGGAGTGCCAATGTGATAAAGCTTTCGATGCCAGATTGATCTTGATCTTCCTCCGAGTCTGGATATACGCTTGTTGGCGACGCTTCTTGGCAGATTCAACCGTCGCGACACGCCATTTTTTGGTGAACTTGGTGGCCAAGAAGTAGTACCTGGCGTTGTCAGCCCATCCCTGTATCTTGACCACATGCAGATACTTCGAACGCCAGGCCACAAGCGATTCCTGCGCTAAGCGTGGTGCGTAAAACTCAGAGGCAACTATCTCCCTCTCGCGTTGCAACGATAGCTGATCCCGCCAGCGTTCCAACTTGGATCGGAGCAAATCTTCGTTTCGTTGCTCCTCGAATACCTCCGCACGGTCAAGCAATTCGGCATAGGTCCTCCGGACGTTAGTCACAAAGACTGAGAATACTTCCTGCTTGATGCGCTGCTCCCTAATGCGCTGCATGAGACGGTACCTCTCTGCTAAAATCCATTTGTACATCGCTTCGAGCTTGATTCGTTCCTCAATTCGTGCATATAGAGCCTGACAGCGAAGCTGGTCGTTCCACGTTGTCCACGCATTGCGTATGATCCGTTGCCGATCCATCTCCCGTGCTTGCTTCAGCATTTGAGCGCGGTGTACCCACTGTGAGTACGCCGCTTGAAGGATATGTGTGTCAATCATTTTTGTAACACGGTTAGCAACCGGGGCTAAATGAGCTTGAGCTCTCCATTCTATCAACTTCTCCTCCAGAACCTTCCGGCGCTCCATCGATGCTACTTGTTGCTCCCTCGCAATAACACCCTGAGTCCTTTCATGCCATAGTTGCATTACGGATCCCACAGCATTTTGCTTATTCCGGACATCAATCTCATGAATGCACTCTCTGTTGGTTCGAAACTTGCGCAACCAGTACAACAGAGAGCGTCTCTTGAGGCAATAGTCGTACCATTGAGGGGCGCGCTGTTCGCAGAAACTCCAGAACCACTGCCAATAGAATGTGTGTTTCGACTTCTCACTACTAATGACAACCGCCTTCTCTTCCGCCTGTTTGACCTCCTTGGTCCTTTTCAGCCAGGCAGCAAAAGGCTTTCGCAGAGCAAAGCGCTGGGCTTTCATCTCATTGACTGCAGTGATCTCGCGCCATGCATGGAAATACTTGACGCTAAGAATGCGGCGCCGAGCTGCAGATGTCCGTGCAAGTTCCTCTGCAGTAAGTTGCGCCCAGTGAGAGAATGCCTTGGTGAGGAGATAGAGATCCCGAGCCCGTCCCGCGCGCTCTTCCAGATGCTTGAAGAATCTCTCCGTCCGCTCTTCCTGACGTCTGTCGCGAATGATAGTATGCCACGTTTGGAATGCTTGCCGAAGCAAGGTATTTCGGTCTCGATTCACGGCGACTATTTCCATATTATGATGGCTTTGTCTGGCTTGTATCGCCCTCTTAACCCACTGTGTAAGAAGTCGACGGTTGATGGCCCGTTGGCGGTACATATTGAAGGTCGATGCATCTCGCAGCAGATCCGAAAGTGATGGCCTATATAGCATTTCCGGTGGCAATTCTGGCCGTTCGAGATGACTGATGCTGTCGTCACTGGAGGACACTGAAGATGATTGTCCCCCCTCTTCATCGGAGCCATTTGAGGACGTTTTTGAGCGCCGAGCTCGTGAGGCTTCCGCTATTCTTTCTGAGCGATCGCGGTCGACGGCAGACCGAGCATACAGTCCATTGGGAAGAGGCTTCTCATCAGCCGCCGGAGGCTGAGCAGACGAGGATTGCACAGCCAGAAAGTCCATCCGGCTCATGAGCCGGCGACCCACGTCAATAAACTGTGCCATCAATTGAGTCCTGTCGGGTGACTCCGCTTCTCGAGGGCCCACCGCACGCTTCGGGGATGGCGACGGTTTCGCAAACGGATACTCGGGCTTTCCGACTTGTAATCGCGACATGGACGACCGTGAGCTTGGACGATTGATGAAGCTCCTTTGAGTGGGATCGTCGCCAACATCGTACATGGAATTGAAGGACGCTCGCCTTCGTAGAGGTGTCTGTGGTTTATTTTGCGGCTGCGGCTGCGTTGAGTCCTCCCGGGAGTCGCGTATCCTCCGCCTAGGCCTGCTTTCGATGGAGGGTACACTGTCCGGGTACGTCTCGTCATAGGTATCATCCTCGCCGCCAAACTCAATGACGATGCCCATCCGTTCAAGCAGGTTCTCGAATTTGTCGAAGAGCGACTCTCCTACGGCATGTTTGCTTCCCATTTTGAGCAAGAAGCGCATACAGGCATAGCCTGGATCCGCATCGACGCCATGTTCGGCAATAACCTCGTCGTAGGCCTTGAATAGCACACGGTACGGGAGTCGCTCGACTTCTGGATCCCTCTCCGCACGGGTAATGACTTGGTAGAGGAGGCCGACATCTATATTCAACAATAAGCAACCAGCAATTAGCAACCAGTAAACACGACTATAAAGGAGTGGGGAGGGAGAATTAGTAGATGCGACCGAGCATACCTTCGTCAGTAAGCGCCGGGTCTTCATGGGACAAAGGTCTTCGCTGAAGGGGAACGGGAGGCATCGAACTGTCCGCGAACTAAGGCGCGTTTTTCGCATATGGCTCATGGAGACGGAACAGGAAATCATTAAGCATCGCGGAACAGACACACGCACACGGTCGGGGGGTGGTGTTGCTAGGTGGGTTGTCAGAGGCCCACAGTGCTCCAGGCCGCGAAGTCAAGTTAGACCGCAGAAGAGATCCCCAAATGGACCGGTGGGACCCAATGGCACGGCCGGGCGACAAGGCATTGACTTTTTGTCAGTCAAAAAGCCAAGTTGTTTTTGCTTTGCTTTGCTTTTCGTGTCGCGCCGGCGATGGGAATGTGCTGGGTCATGTGATGTATTATGTAACGGGGTGAGTCCCATCAGTCACGATTTGGATAGACAGACAGAATGTAACTTGTAGTAGATAGTCTTCTCTGTCTCTGTGTGGCAAAGAGAACAAGCAAAATGCCGTCAACAAAGACAAGACCCATTGAGAAATTTGCAAAGGCTGCCTCGAAGTGCTCGGTCGAGGTATGATATGAGACGAATCCCCTCAATCAGTTATGTGTTCTGCCTCTGGCTCCAGCTGACGGACGGGCTTTCAGGCCGCTGCGTATGGCAAATGCGTCGTGGCGGACTATAATGCCGTGCAAAAAGACATGTGCGCCAAGGAGTTCATGAAGCTCAAGGACTGCTTTCTGGTAGGAAGAAGACCGCATCTCCGGGATGACTTCCACCTGTAACATGGCTAATTCACACTTGACAGGCAGCCTCGAAGAAAGTTTAATGGTGGATGATGAGTTGCAGGTGAACTACATGGTTTAGGCGCATTGGGCTGATTGGCTTTTACTAGCATGTATGGCGGTGTCTGTATAGGAAAGGTCTCTACAGGTAATTGTACAAATTATCATGAACGTGTGTAATTTTATCCATCCATAAACTAAACGCAAAGAAATGTCAAAACATCGTAACCAGCCGGAATTGTATGGTCTAAGCTATCAACGTCTTGTCTGTGTGAATCAATCAAACCTCTACAACTTAAGCAAGCGCAACAGGAAGGTGGCCTTTTGTACTTCCTGCTCTTCCTGGATGATCATTCCCGGCTCCTCTCCGTTGGGCACCTTGCCGTCCACAAGCTCGTAGCGGTCGAGCGGTCTGCGCACAACCTTTTCGATGGCCTTGGCTTGCGTCTCAAACGCCTTGCTAATGCCCACATCCTCAGGATCCGACAGGACAGCATACTCCATCTTCACATCGTCGGTGGGGACAAGACCCGCCTTCTTACGAAGACGCTGCAGACGGTTGATGATCTCACGGCCCAACCCTTGCTCGGCCAACTCGGGGTACAGGTTAGCGTCCAGGATGGTCAGCAGGTCGCTGTCCGTGTTGGGTTCCATGTTCGCGGACGCGCTGTCCTCCTTCATTCCACGCTTCACGACCAGGTCACCTTCAACAAGCTCAATGCCGTCAACAAGCATCTTCTTATCGGCGACGAACTTCTTCACGTCCTCACTGGTGAGAGAGGGCAAGGCCTTCTTGACCTTCTGGACCTCCTTCTTAAGCTTCTTGCCCAACGTAGGCCAGTCGGCGGTCACACTGTACTGGACGTTGTACTTCTCCTCGTCCGAGGACAGGACAAGCTCAAGAACGTTCAGCTCCTCGAGGATGTATCCCTGCAGGGACTTCACATCGTCCAGGTACTGCTGATCCTGGTGAATGACAACGAGAGTCTTCAGCGGCGTCTTCAGACCAATGTTCCGACGTTCACGGGAGATACGAGCCATATCAATGACCTTCTGCATCCGGGCCACGCGCCTCTCGACGACCTCATCGAAAAGCTCTTCCCGAACCTCGGGGAAGGGAAGGAAGTGGACACTGCGGCTGTCCTCGCTACGGAGCGCCTCGGGAATGTGAGGGAGAAGCTTCAGGTAGATGGTGTCGGTAAGGAAAGGAGTGAAGGGAGCCAGGCCCCGGACCAGAGTGTACAGGACCTCAAAGAGGGTGTTCAGGGCATGCTGGGTATCATCGACACCGTTCTCACCCTTGAGACGTCTGCGGTTGAAACGAATGTACCAGTTGGTGGTGTTGTCAATCAATTCAAGCAGGCGGGGAACGACCGTGTACAGGCGGTATCCGGCCATCTCCTCGTTGACGAACTTGAGAAGACTCTGGCAACTGGCCAGGATCCAGCGGTCCATGACATTGGTGTTAGTAGCCTCCGCCTTGGGGTCAAAGGTATAATCAAAGCCCTGGGTCTTCTTGAACAGAGCGGCCTGACCCTCGAAGAACTTGTAGCTGTTCCAGAGAGGAAGGAGAACCTTGGCGACAATCTCCTTGACGCCCGACTCCTTGAACCGAAGGGGCTCGGCGCGCACAACAGGGGAGTTGATCAAGTAGAGGCGAAGAGCATCGGAACCGTAGCGCTCCATGACGAGGGCGGGATCGGGGTAGTTCTTAAGTCTCTTGGACATCTTCTTTCCATCCTCTGCGAGAACAATACCGTTGACGACGCAGTTCTTGAACGGGAGCTTGCCGAACAGGTGGGTTCCCAGCACAGTCAGGGTGTAGAACCAACCACGAGTCTGATCAAGACCCTCGGCGATGAAATCACCGGGGAAGCTGTTCTCGAACTGTTCCTTGTTCTCAAAGGGGTAGTGCTGGGATGCGTAGGGCATGCTGCCAGACTCAAACCAGCAATCAAACACCTCGCTGACACGGCGAAGGACGCCCTTGCCCTGCTTGCTGGGGATGGTGATCTTGTCGACCTTGTCGCGGTGCAGGTCGGTGAGTTCACCTTCGTAACCACTAAGCTGCTTGAGTTCCTCGGCACTACCAACGGCGACAACCTCCTTGAAGTCATCGCTCACCCACAAGGGCAGAGGAGTACCCCAGAAGCGGTTTCTCGAGATGTTCCAGTCGCGAGCATTCTGGATCCAACTGGAGAAGCGTCTTTCCTTGACAAAGCTCGGCACCCAGTGGGAGTCGTCAATGCCCTGAAGCATCTGAGGGATGATAGGGCCAATCTTGACGAACCAAGCCGGCACGGCCCGGTAGATCAAGGGAGTGTCGGAACGCCAGCAGAAGGGGTAGCTGTGAGTAATCTGGCTGTCGACAACCAGGCGTCCAGCAGCCTTCAGGTGCTTGATGATGCCCCTGTCGGCAGCCTTGACATGCTGGCCCTCGAAGTCCCTCACTTCGGCTGTGTAGCAACCCTTTTCGTCAACAGGGTTAGGGGGGAGGCGGGTCTCACTGATGACACCATTCTCCATGCCAACTCTGTAATCGTCCTCACCAAAGGCAGGAGCCTGGTGGACAATACCGGTACCGTCCTCAGCAGTAACGTACTCGGCGTTAAGGACCCGGAAACCGTGCTCCTTGAACTCTTCGTAGAAGTAATCGAAGAGGGGCTGGTACTTCCAGTCTTTCATGGCAGCACCCTTGAAGCGGTCGACAATCTTGAACTTGGCCTTCTTGGGGTCCTTGTACAGCGTCCGGAGCAGAGACTCGAGCAGAATGTAGTGCTTTCCGGATGCCTCGTCGAGGATCTTGATGTATTCGTAGGTGGGGTTGACCGCCAGAGCAATGTTCGAGGGCAAGGTCCATGGTGTGGTCGTCCATGCAAGAAGGGAAGTCTCGGGATCGTGGACGAGGGGGAATGTGACGACGACAGCGGGGTCTTGCACATCCTTGTAGTTTTGTTGAGCCTCGAAGTTACTGAGGGGGGTGTTGAGGGCGGTCGAGTAAGGCATGACGCGGTAGCCTCTGTAGACAAGGTCCTTGTCGAACAGCTGCTTGAAGACCCACCACACTGATTCCATGAAGCTCACGTTCATGGTCTACAATGCATGGTCAGCATATTCAGAGGACGAGGGGTAGAAGATGATGGGCCTGTCTACCTTGTAGTCATTGTCAAAGTCAATCCAACGACCCAGTCTCTCGATAGTTTGACGCCATTCCGAAGCGAATCTCATGACAATGGCTCTGCACTCCTCGTTATACTTCTCAATACCAATTTTCTCGACGGCCTCGAGACCCGACATGCCCAGCTTCTTGTCGATCTCGTACTCGATGGGCACACCATGGGTATCCCAGCCAAAGCGACGCTCGACATAGTGACCCTTCATGGACCAATAGCGGGGAATGATATCCTTAATGGTCGAGGCCAATAAGTGACCATAGTGAGGCAGACCAGTAGCGAACGGAGGGCCATCGTAGAAGGTGTATGGTTTACGGCCTTCGGAGAGCTCAACCTGCCTCCGGAAGGCGTTGATCTCCCTCCACCTCTGGAGGATGGCCTCCTCCTCGCGGGGAAAATCAATGGACATGACGGGCGAGCGGGGAAGGGGAGAGGAGGTGACAGGGAGGAAATCTGTCGACTTGCGATCTTCCAGCGAGGGATCCGCGGGGTAGATTTAAGCCCGATTGAAGGTTGCGCACAAGCGGCAGAATCGTTTTGACTCACCCCGCGCACCATTTTTTTTTGTCCCCGCCGGCCAATCAGCGCCCGCCTCACCTACCGCCGGAATCAGCCGGTGTGACTGTTCTTCTTTCTATGCGGATCTCATAAACATTTAACCAAAGTAGAAGATACTAGAGCTCAGTTACACTATACAATGGCTACGCTAGTCACAAGGCTAATTCCCATCCTTGATGTACAAATTGGGAGTACCTTCCCATGGCTCTGACTCACTCATGCTTTCTTTGTAATTGGAATGTGATCCAGGGCTGTCGTAACTCATGGCTGCTACGCCCTGCGCCCTGCGCCTCATGCAAGGACGACCAAAATTGGTATTTACCATTAGGCTTCTTCCTCTTCCTCGTCCTCATCGTCTTCTTCCTCATCATCATCTTCAGCCTCGGATACTTCTTGACCGAGATCCTTCAACCGTTGCTAAGGAACAAATATTAGTCATCCGCGTAGCCCTTGTATCAGGGTCAGTGGACTTACCTTGTCCTGGTTTCTCTTGGCCTCCAGGTCTCCGAAAACAATCAACAAATCCTCAAGCTCGGACTGTGCCGCCTTGCGGGCTTCCTCCTTCTCCTTGGCCTCCGCTTCGGCCTTCTCGAGCTGTTTCCGTGCCTCCTCAAGTGCTTGGCTAGCCTTCCGTGCAGCTTCCTCAGCCTTTGCTACCTCACCTTCGGCCTTCTCGGCTCGCTTTTCCGAGGCAGTGCACTTATTGGACAGTTCATCGCGTGTAGACTGTAGTTCTTTCGTAGACTTCTCCTTAGTAGTGTCCAGTTCCGATTGCAAGGCCTTTGACGCGGACTTAAGCTCCGCAACCTCGGTCTCATGCTGCTTTCTGGCGGCGTCCATGTCAGACTGAAATGTCTTGATGGTTTCTTGGAGACTGGAGACTTCAGCTGCCTGATCTCCTTTACCATTCTCCAGCTCGGACTGAAGGCTCTCGATCGTCTTCTTCAAGTCAGACACTTCAGTCGCATTTTGTTCATTGCTGGAATCAAGCTCCGACTGCAGAGTTTCGATTGTCTTCTTCAGGTCAGAAACCTCCGCCGCGCTCTGTCCACTGCTGGCATCAAGCTCCGACTGCAGCTTCTGGATTGTCTTGTTGAGGTCGGAGACCTCAGACTCATGTTTCCCTTGAATGGAATCCATCTGCGACTTGAGCTCCTCAATCGTCTTGTTCAGGCCAGAGACTTCGGTAGCATGCTGTCCTTTACCTGTCTCAAGCTCTGACTGCAACCTCTGGATTGTAGCATTCAGGTCTGAAAGTTCGGCCGCATGTTGTCCCTTATCAGCATCAAGCGCCGACTGAAGGTTCTGAAGCGTGCTGTTCAAGTCCAGAACCTCGGCCACATGCTGTCCCTTGGTCTTTTCAGCCTCCGACTTCAACAACTGTATAGTCGTCTTCAAGTCAGCAATCTCAGCGGAGGATTGCTCCTTGCCGCGCTTGAGGTCAGATTCGAGCGAACGGATCTTCTTCTGCAGGTCAGCCACCTCGGCTTCATGATGCTTCTTCACTTGTAGACTTCTCCTCTCATGATCCGCAGATGTTTCCTTCAGCTGTCGATCAATGGCTCGTAATTGTTCGCCATGCTGTTTCAGGAGCACATTTTGAGCGTGCTTCTGCTGCTCCTTCAAGACATTCAGTTCTTGTTCGTGACTCCGCTTCAATGACTCGCAGATTTGCTGCAGTTTAGAAGACTCCAATGTGGTGGCATCTCTCGTCTTTCGGTGCTCAGCCTGCTCGTGATCGAGCTTGGATTGTAGGGCAAGCAGATCCGACTCCAGCTTCTGTGACACAGCGCCCTTTTCTTCTAGTTCTGCCCGTAGGGAGTCCACAAGTTCGCGAGAGACTCCTCTTTCAACGCCGTTTGTGATCACGGAGATCTCAATCTCGGGTTCACGGTCAATGGCACGTATCAAGCGGCTGAAATTGTCTTTGAGGAATTCAACAAAGGTCCTGTCGAAGTAGATTTCAGGAAGGCCACCATCGTAATGTGCCCCCACGGTCTGTGGTAGAACCTCAAAATCGCGCACCAGAGGGTCTTCCCTGAATCGGGTGATCCGATCAATGTATTGTTCTCGTCCAAGCTGTTCGATCAACAATTTATGCAAAGTCTTCCGCGGTATAGGCGAGTCCTTAGAGGAGAATTCATATATAATTCCCAGTAGAATAGTGCTTAGACCTGGGACAAGTACGTAAGTGGCCCCGCGGTGCTTGATTTCTTGCAGTAAGGTCTGTATGCTGCTTCCCTCGCCGAGGAAGTCATTCACAGCATCCGGTTCTTCGAAGAGCCAACCGCAGAGCAGCATCAGATAGCCAAGAGTGATTCTTTCATCATCGCCTCTCTGAATACCGGTGATCAAGTTACCTACTATCGTCTGGATGCAGGTAACGACTTCTTCGCCCTGTTCAGCATCCCCCTCAGTCACACCCATAGCGATCGATTTGGCTTCGGCATTCTCGAACAGCAGTTGGTACATCAAGACAGATGCCATCCAAGTTTGGTAGGGGTCGGCATTTCCTCGAGTTTCTGGCGGCATCAAAAGGACAGTCAGGATATTTGGGATTTGGTCTTCTCCGCTAATATGGCCTTGAATCGCTCTTCCTAGCACATGGACGCGGATCCCGGTGTGGTTTGCGAAGAATGCCTTGATACATTCGCAAGCGGCAAGTCGCGCATCAAGGAGCGACAATGGAGCAGGCTCAAGAGTCAACTTCAGCAGCGCTTCGATAACATTGATCCGCTGGAGTTCTTTATGCGTCGAATCCCCATTGACAACAGTCTGGGTAGGACTCGGGCCCCAAATGACCTCGACATCTCCAAAACGCTCCTGCAATGGCTTGTTGCTACGTATTAAGTCGGCACACGTCGCGAGAGCCTAGAACTGTTAGCTTCGACTTTAGGGACTATCAGTTTTACCTACCTTGGATGTTACATTGACATTGAACCTTTGGCCGAAAGCAGTGTTCAAGACTTGTTCCATGACACCATTGTTCCAGAATGCTGTCTGGTTGGCAGGAGTGTTGACTCCTCCTTTGATTAGAAATAGCTGGACGATTACCAAAAGTCCCCAAAGGTTCTTATCCCGATGTGCGAGAGCCCACTGTGGGGTAGGCTCTTCCAAGTCCTGTTCCTGGTTGACATCTGCGAGGAGCTTTGCTAGCCTCTTGACACATCCCGTTTCCCGGAAATATGACTGGTTGGAGATGTTGAGCCTTAGAAGGTTCGCGAGCAGAGAAAGGCAGTCTTCAACCACTTCCGACCCGTGCGTCAAAGCACCTTCAGTCTCTATCAAGGAGAAGATAAGGTCAAACGCGTTTTCGAACGCAACAAGCTTTTGGAACTCTTCGGAGGCGGGGGTGAGAGCGATCAGGAGGATTAAGGCTTCTATTCGATGCACACTCGTAATTAGCAACAGTAGCACACGGCGCTTCCGCGATAAAGGGGAGGGGGGGGGGGGGTGAGCTTAATATACCATTGCGCACCGGCTCTCTGGCATCTCCAAGTGCACTGACAAGCCTCGGTATACCCAACGGTGCTGTCAGAATACATTCTTGTGTTCTTTCTGGCCGCGCGCTCGAGATCTGGAACATCAACTGCAGGGAATACAAGCGAGAATAAAAGTCACGGGTATCCAGGAGGTCAAGGAGCGCAGTAATGTTGTCTTGACGCTGTGTACCCTGTCAGCAAATGTATGTCCACCACAATAATATGTACGAACCTGCGTAAACTCATCGGACAGCCAGAGGGCGATTTCATCTGAAGCTTCGGGCTAGATAGCGCATATCAGCACGGATTGCGGCACAGTGGGCTGAGGAGGCCACCAACACTATTCTCGTCGGGAGTAAACAACATCAACAGGGTCTCCAAGACCACCTTCAACGTATCCACATCTTCACGGTCATCTTTGAGGCTGTTGATCAACGGGCGTAGTGCGCCCGATGCAACAGAGGCAGGAAAGGACTTTGCAAAGCTTCTCAATCCTTGTATAGCTGCCCGTCGATCTTCTAGTAAAGTTGCACTCTGAAGTCGACCAGTCAGAGTGTTAATTGTGTCTGTGGCCGTTTGTTTGGCCGGCGCCTGCGACTCGAGGATTCGGAACATCGCAACTGGTAGCTCGTAATTTCATGGTCACCGCCGGCCGGGGGCGTAGCAAGTTATAGGCATTGAAGTAACGGAGGTGGGGAAGAGAGGAGAGAAGCTAGTGGATCAGCCAGCTGAGTTGTTCTCTCCGAAGCTGCAGCGGCAGCAATGGGTGGTGGTGGTGGTGACGATGGCGAGAGCACTCGGGATAGTGCCCAGTAGTCCGTAGTATGGAGTAAGTAGTAGCCAAATAAGCCGCAACGATACCTAACTCAAAAGAATCAGAGCCAACAATGCTGTACTGCTCGTGTCCCGACTGGTCATTGGTCAGTCTCGGGCCCGCTTACTACTTGCTGCTTTGAGTCTAGTGTCTAGAAGGGGAAGTTCTGCCGGAACCGCGACAAAAGAAGCGCCGAGATCTCGGATTTCGTGGGCGGGCAAGTCGACCGGCCATTGCGATCGCAGAGACTTCCACGCCTCCATCATTCCCCCTCACCTCTCGAGAGGGTCAGTCTTTTGCTCCTAGTCATTTCCACTGTGTGGGATCGCGAGTTATCCTTTTCCCCTATACCCTATACCCTTTACCCTTCTACGGAAGTAAATCATTTACGGGTCATTCCTGCAGACTCGGAGACGTTGAGATAGCCGATGCAGCGCATCAGCGAACCTGGCTTAAATCGATAGATCTACTCCGTATATTCTGTACAAACACCTTCATACGCTCCTTGTCAAATTCTACTAGCAATCATGGGTGTCCCAGCGCTTTTCAGATGGCTCTCCAACAAGTATCCTAAGATCATCTCCCCCGTTATCGAGGAGTTTCCGCAAGAAATCAACGGCGAAGAGGTTCCCGTGGACACCACGCGTCCCAACCCCAATGGAGATGAGATGGACAATTTGTACCTGGATATGAACGGTATCGTTCACCCATGTACTCATCCGGAAGGAAAGCCGCCACCGGCGAACGAGCAGGAGATGATGCTGGAGATCTTCAAGTACACCGACCGTGTGGTGAACATGGTCCGCCCGAGGAAGCTTCTGATGATCGCTGTCGGTATGTTGTAACTTTTGTCGCGTCGCCCATCTGATTGAATCGTTGAACTGACTCATGCCTCTTCTCCTAACTCAGATGGTGTCGCGCCACGCGCAAAGATGAACCAGCAACGAGCCCGTCGGTTCCGCTCCGCTCAGGAAGCCAGAGAGGCAGATGAGAAGAAGGAAGAGTTCCGCAAGATGCTAGAGAAGCAAAACGGCAAGAAGGAAGATGAGGATATGCAGGAGCACGTCATCCAGAAGACGTGGGATAGCAATGTCATTACTCCGGGAACGCCTTTCATGGATATTCTTGCGGCAGCTTTGCGTTACTGGATCGCTTACAAGCTCAACACCGACCCCGCTTGGGAGAAGGTTCGCACCTTTTCCCAGTTACCGTGGTATATCTTTTACTGACTTAAGCAGCTCAAAATCATCATTTCCGACGCGACGGTTCCGGGTGAGGGTGAACACAAGATCATGGAGTTCGTCCGGTCACAGCGCGCGTCGCCAGAGCACGACCCGAACACCCGCCACGTCATCTATGGACTGGATGCAGATTTAATCATGTTGGGTCTCGCAACTCATGAGCCTTATTTCCGGGTTCTACGTGAGGATGTTTTCTTCCAGGAGTCCAGGGCTCGGACATGCCGGCTATGTGGACAGGCAGGCCACAAGGCGGAGGAATGCAAAGGTCAGGCAAAGGAGAAGAATGGGCAGTTCGATGAGAAGGGTAAAGGAACCTCTCTCAAGCCATTCATTTGGCTCAATGTGTCAATCCTTCGGGAATACCTTGCTGCGGAACTGTATGTTCCGCAACAACCGTTTCCTTTCGACTTGGAACGTGCTCTAGATGACTGGGTCTTTATGTGTTTCTTCGTAGGAAACGATTTCCTTCCCCACTTACCGTCGTTAGATATTCGTGAAAATGGCATCGACACTCTGATAGCTATTTGGCGCGATAATATCCCCGTCATGGGCGGGTACCTGACCGAGGATGGACATGTTGACCTCAAGCGGGCCCAGCTCATTCTGCAAGGCTTGGCCAAGCAAGAGGATGCTATTTTCCGTCGTCGTAGACAGGCCGAAGAGAGGAGGGCCGCCAACGAGAAGAGGCGCAAGCAGGAAGCACAAGCGCGTGAGGAAGGTGCTAGGAAGCGGAGAAAAAGTTCTCCCAACTACGAAGCTTACGACACACCCGAGGCCAATCCTACCGGCGGTCGATCTAAGGGTGCCGCAGATGCGGCGCCTCCCAATGCCGTGGAACTGATCACGCCTGCACGGGGAGAACTGACCCGGGAGGCGAGGCAATTGACTCACAGCATGGTCACTAACCGCGGTGCGGTGTATAAGGCTAACATGGCGAACAAGAGTGCCGCGGCCATCCTGAAGAGCAAGCTCATGAAAGGTCCGGAGGCTGAAGAGCCCTCCGATAACACCGGAGAATCCGGGTCAGAAGCTCCAGAGCCCTCCGAGGAGAAGACCGAAGAGCAGACTTCGCCTTCGGTTCTCGGTAAGAGAAAGGCGGATGCGGTGGCAGAGGAGGCCGCAACGACGCCGACCAAGAAGCCATCCGCGGGCGACTCTCAGAACGACGAACTGCCCCCGGACACCGTCCGCCTTTGGGAAGAAGGATACGCTGATCGGTACTACGAGCAGAAGTTTGGCGTTGATCCCGAAGACAAGGAGTTCCGCCACAAGGTTGCACGAGCGTATGCCGAGGGTCTTGCTTGGGTTTTGAGATACTATTTCCAAGGATGCCCCTCGTGGACGTGGTACTATCCTTACCACTATGCGCCATTCGCGGCGGATTTTGTGGACATTGGCGACATGGAGTTGCAATTTGAAAAGGGAACCCCATTCAAGCCCTTCGAGCAGCTGATGGGAGTTCTTCCGGCTTCTTCCAACCACGCTATTCCTGAAGTCTTCCATGATTTGATGAGCGATCCGGACAGTGAGATCATCGACTTCTACCCGGAAGACTTCCCCGTGGACCTGAACGGCAAGAAGTTTGCTTGGCAGGGTGTCGTTCTCCTTCCCTTCATTGACGAAAAGCGACTGCTGGCTGCGATGGAAAAGAAGTACCCTCTTCTCTCTGATGACGAGAAGCTTCGGAACTGCGTGGGTCGGGATGTGTTGTTGATTTCCGAAAGCCACCCACTGTACCACGATCTCGTGGCCAACTTCTATTCCAAGAAACAGGGAGCCCCTAAGTATTCCATCAATCAGCGAATCAGTGAAGGTTTGGCCGGTAAGGTCGAGCGCAATGATTCCTACATCCCGCACAGCTCCTTAGTATCGTCTCTTGAAGAATACGGTATGCCGAGTTTGGATGATGATCGATCTCTCACGTAAGTTTTTCTTTGTTTTCTTCCCTACTCTCCAAGTGCTGTTAAGAGTGAGCTAATACATCCGAATCCATGGATTAGGGTCAATTACGAAATTCCCAAGTCCAAGCACGTCCACAAGTCCATGCTCCTTCGGGGTGCCAAGCTCCCACCTCCGACCCTGGACAATGCGGATATTCAGGCCGTCAAGAACAAGGCACACCACTCGGGCCGATCCCATGGAGGAGCTCCGCTTCGCAATGGACACCGGGGAGGCCGGATCAACTATGCCAGTGAGCGGCCAAACCCTTTCGCGGCCCATCTGGACCCCAAGTTCATGCCGCCCGGTAACTCTGGTGGAGCGCCGATGGGCATGCCTGCTGGATGGGTTCCTCCGAACGCTGGAGGCGGTAATTACAACCGCGGACCACCGCCTCCGCCCCGCGGAGGAGGAGGAGGTTACCATCAGCGATCGCACTATGGCGGCGGTGGTGGTGGTGATTCCTACAACCAACCCACAGGCAATTACGACTACTATGGACGTAGTCAACAAGGATACTATCAGCAAGGATCCTACGGTGGTAGCAACCACAATAACGCGTACCGTGGACGCTCAAATAACTACGGGGGTTCCGACCAGCGTGGTGGGTATAGCCGCGGAGGTTATTCAGGTCGGGACCACTATTCGTCCCGGAACTCTGGCGGTGGTGGTGGATATGGACGGTATTAGATAAGGGGATGTTCGAGAACATGACAGATTCGGAGTGCATGGGATGTCTATTACGCACGATTTCCAGGGCCATTGCGCCAATGCCACGTTAAACTACTTTCTTCTTCTTGTTTTTTGTATGGGTCGCTCTATCACATTGTGATTAGGGGCCAGAGAAAAAGGGCAAAAAAATGGGAGGCCAAATGGTCGGAGGGACGGCGTTCGATTGGATAAGATTTGCCGGGTTTCAATTACATCTGTATAGCAATCAAAGATCTCGCGAGCATCGCGAATGGAAACGAATTTTCCCTCTCAACCATGTAGAACAGCTTGCCAGATCACTAAATGAGTTTATAGATCTCGGCCAGCTTGATAGTAATCTTTGGTCCGGTAAGATTTCCGACCGCAATGAAGTCAGTCTTAGAACGTTCGGATCCGGATCGGGGGTGGGTTGTCAGTAAGTGAAGGAGGATTCGCGGATCCGGAATGAGGATGGAAGGAGTCTGGAAGTGTCAGCTTGTCAGCTTGACAGCACGTTTCGAAAGACAGGGGGACCTCTCGTGTTGTAAATAGTAAGATCGAGGTTGAGCAACACGAGGGAAATCGTAGCTAGTCAACTTGGTCCACATTAAGTTCTTCAGATGTCAGACAGGGCAGAGTAACTCCGGTGGAGGCGGAGTTGCCAAACGAACCAAGAACAAGAACAGCCAAACGGCGCGACGACATCGGAGCGGGAGGGAGAGAAAAAAGTAACGGAGGGAGACTGTGAGTCAACGACTCCAATTGCGACCGCCAGTGGATCTCCGTCTACGATCCCCTCCAACCCAATAAAAATTCCCCCATTCTTCCTTCTCTAGTTTCAAGTGACTATCCATCTATTCATCCATCCTCCCTCCATCCCTCGTGGTTCCGGCCCCCAACTTCCAGCCATCCGGGCAACTTGGAAGAACTCTCTCCCTCGCTCACATCTCGTCTCGTCTATTTCCTCACCGGTCAAAGCGGAGTTGCGCCCCGCTGTCGACGAGGACTTTCTTCGCTCCGTTTCTTACTCAGGTACAATTCCCTTCGTCTTCTTCTCTCTCTCTCATTTCCCCTTGCGTCGTATATATACATACATGAAGTATTTCCTCCCCTTCATACAATCCGCAATTGAACGACTTACATTCCCCCCTCTCCCCCTCTTCTCCCCCCACCTGCCAGAAGCTTACCGGTTGCAAATCCCCCACAGTATGAATTAGAGAGACACATTGGCATCTTATTCCCCGAGTTGACCACGTCTCCATCCCCCTTGCTATTCTCCGAACGATGACCGAACCCACGAAGATCAGCATCTTGGGTCGTGAGAGCATTGTCGCTGATTTCGGTCTCTGGCGCAACTATGTCGCCAAGGACCTGATCAACGGCTTGTCCTCCACGACCTACGTCCTCGTCACCGACACCAACATCGGTTCCCTCTATACCCCGAGCTTCCAAAAGGCCTTCGAAGAGGCTGCTGCCGCCATCTCCCCCAAACCTCGTTTGCTCGTCTACCATGCCGCACCCGGTGAAGTCTCCAAGTCGAGACAGACAAAAGCCGACATTGAAGACTGGATGTTGAGCCAGAGCCCGCCATGCGGTCGTGATACGGTGGTCATCGCTCTGGGCGGCGGTGTCATTGGAGATCTGACCGGCTTTGTCGCTTCGACTTACATGCGAGGCGTCCGCTATGTCCAGGTCCCCACAACACTTCTCGCCATGGTGGACTCTTCGATCGGCGGAAAGACCGCCATTGACACGCCATTGGGCAAGAACTTGATCGGTGCGATCTGGCAGCCGTCGAGGATTTACATTGACCTGGAGTTCCTGGAGACGCTCCCGGTTAGGGAGTTCATCAATGGTATGGCGGAGGTGATCAAGACCGCAGCCATCTCCAGCGAGGAGGAATTCACAGCCTTGGAGGACAACGCCGAGACGATATTGTCCGCCGTCCGCCGTGTAATCCAACCCGGACAGCGCCGTTTCGAAGGCATTGAGGACATTCTGAAGGCGAGAATTCTGGCGTCCGCTAGACACAAGGCGTTTGTCGTCTCCGCGGACGAGCGCGAAGGTGGTCTCCGGAACTTGTTGAACTGGGGTCACTCCATTGGTCATGCCATTGAGGCCATCTTGACCCCTCAGGTTCTCCACGGAGAATGTGTTGCCATTGGTATGGTGAAGGAGGCCGAATTGGCCCGCCATCTCGGCATCTTGAAGGGCGTTGCCGTGGCTCGCATTGTTA